TTCATTAAGAATAATCGACATAAAAATCTTTCATGCCAAACTAAATAAATAAATTAGTTGTATGACTTCTACAGCAGATTGGTCAAAAGCAACAAAAGCCATATGTGCTGTTTGTCTACAGGCTGTACATACAAATTCGACTATTCTAAATCAATGAAGGAGAGAAAGTTTTGAAGTGTGATGCAGACAAAAGGTGGTTTAAAATAAATTGTTAATTTCTATAAAAATTTAAAGTCAGCCTTTCGTGAACAACTATGGCAATGTGCTGGAAGAAAAATAAGGGTTGTGCAGTTTCCATCGACAAGGATGTTAGCAATTAAATTGAGTGTATAAGAAGCTGATGGAGGCAACTCTTCCGAAGTAAAGAAAAGCTAAGACGAAATTTTTCAAAACAAGATAGAACTAGAGAGATCAAATTAGTGCTGAAAGGGTATAAGGAGAAAAATTTAAAAAAGTTAGGGAGAAAGAAATGGATTTTAAATGATGCACATTAGTGGATCAGCGAGAATTTAAGGAAAGGTGTGCAGAACTTTCGTGAGAGAAGCAAATGATCGCATGAATTTTCTATGTTTTATTTAAATGATCGCATTAAGAATCCTTCCCGTTTTTGGTCTGAACGAAAGGCAAAGAACCTTTATTTATGCACTCTGATGATAAATGTAATAGTTTTTAATCATACATGTATTATTTTCTCATTGGATTTTCTATTTTTGATCATTCATTATTCAAGACGTATCTGAGGTTTGCATAATAAATCAGTGCAAACATGAAAAATATCTTTCATTTCTATTACTAAATAATGATAATGCATAAACAAATGTTTGAATTTGTCTTCTTACATGTATATATTGATGATTGATTTGAAAATTGTCTTTCATGAATTTAATTGATTTAGTTCATATTGGTTTGCACAGGCTAATACAAAGCAAACTCGACTTTATACCAATCAATGGTAGCATTTCATTGTCTAGACTCTTTTCTCTTGTTTTCTAGAAAACTTGCTGTAAAAACAATTTTTATTAGTGGAGCAAGTCGTGGTATTGGTAAAGCTATAGCTTTAAAGGCAGCACAGGATGGAGCAAATATTGTCATTGCTGCTAAAACAGCTGAGCCGCATCCAAAGCTCCCAGGAACAATTTACACAGCTGCTGAAGAAGGTCAGTTTTTGATGTCTGTTTTGATGTACACAGTCAGCAATGTTTGATGTTTAATTCTTGCAAAAGAAATTTGTTTCAATCGAATAAAAGATTTTCTTGTAGATATGCACATTGTAAAGAATTATGTAGCACTCTTGGAATAAGGAATTGCCAGATATTTATAGGATAGTGAGTGCTAAATATTTTTTCCTTAATCTTTAAAATATATCTGTGTATTATTTCAACAATCATAGCAATTGCTCAAAGAGGAGTTAAAAAAGTAATTCTAACCAAAATTCTGAGAAAGTACAAACTAAAGAGTAACAAACTACGATTGATTTCTCATGTACATCTTCAAAATTTCACTATGTGCCTTGTATTTTTTCATTTGTAAGCAGTTCTGATGATTTTTATTTTCCCCACTCTCAACTCAAGAAAATTTTTTGTTCAAGATGCGTATGTACTTACAAACTCAAGGCTTTCTTCCATTGTATTTTCTACTTTGCTCTGTTGTTAAAGTTGTGCATCTGGATTGCAGGCACATGGATTATAATTTTGCCTGTTGACTTATGATAATGATTTGATGTCTAATTGTAACACCCATCTTTGTTTTATGTGTTGGCTCACGTGTCATCATATATATATATGTTTTTCACTCATGAACATCATTCGTTATATGTAGTTGAAAAAGCTGGAGGACAGTGTCTGCCATGTGTAGAACTTTGACATACGAGATGAATCGGTCGTAAAAACTGCGGTAGAAAAAGCTGTTCAAAAATTTGGTGGCATTGACATTCTTGTAAATAATGCAACTGCTATTTGCTTGACTGGAACATTGGCGACTCCTATGAAGAGGTCAGGAAGCACGTCTTTCACATAGTAGACATTTAGCTATATGGTGACAGTAAAATATTAAATATTTTGCCTTAGTTAATATTGATATCTTTAGATGAAATGAGTAAGTACTTTGAAATAAAGGCTTACTGTTTCCTGGCAACTCGTAATGTCTGATAGAACTGTCAATTGACTGATATCCACACTGTTCACAGTTTTGTAATTAAGTACAGATAGTTGTCATCATAGGCTTATACGTATTTTCAAGACAATGTGAGGTATTAATTTGGAGTGACAAGAATATCAACTTCGAAAGTAAATTATTATTGTGTAATTATATTAAATTGAAGGCTCATTTTCAAGGATGCAAAGCGGTAAAACGCCCCTATGCTCACTGCTTATAAATACGGTGGATGTGCAAGAATAATAGCAAAGAGCAAAGATAAACCCAATAACATAGCCATCAATTTTTAATGAAACGAATATAAAAATAATTGAAACGGCTATAATAGATAAGGAATTGGGTCTAGAATAGGGAATTGTATCTCTAAACATAATAGCGAAAGTCTCGTGTGTGTAACTTATGTATGTATTTAGTAATGTTTATTTTTTCTCAGATACGACCTAACGAACGGTGTCAATACCAGAGGAACATTTTTATGGTAAAAATCTTTGTTCTATTAAGTACCCAAATAGCCCAACCTATCCTACTTGGAATTGCTGACTAAATATTGTGTTTTTATTCATATCATTTCTTTACGGTGTTTCATTTATGTAGCTCTCAAGCGTGTATTCCATATCTGGAGCGGGTGGCTGAATGGTTAATTGCGTGAGCTGTAAGCCAGACGGCGCGGGTTCAATCCCGGCTCGTGGCACATTTGGCAATGTGTCTGTAAACCTAGCCCGGGTCGACCAAAGCCATGTGAGGGAAATTTGGTAGAGGTAACTATGTCCTCGGATGGACTGTATCTGCATCTGCAATGTTGCAGCCTTGTCACACTGTCTCACGCTGATATCAGCGTTGTGGTTGCGTGAAGGGTACGAGTGATTGTAGTCTGGTCAGCTGCCTTCACTATAAGTGACCAGGATGTTCCACTTTGTGGAACCCTCATACGTCGAAATCGACGGAGTCCATTATTATTATTTTTTTTTATTACAGGAGGTATGGAATGCATCATATAGTAGCGATCTAAATATTTTTTTCATTTTCCTGTCACTTGAGCGACTTTATATTCTTTTTATGGGATTATTTGATTGAGTTCTTTTATGTATTACTGTATGTAAACATATACGTGCGCTTACTGTGCTTCCCCATTCGTGCATTTTAACATTAGTTTCCTCATCCATAGACAACTGCCCTAGAGGTTTACTTTGTGTTTTTTCATCTGTATATAAATGCCCATTATCAATATCATACTCACAGGACTTGGACAAATGCATCCCCCAACAAGTGTTGTTAATTTACCTTGTCTTGTGTAGCTATCGAGAGAGCAGCAATGGAAATGCTTGCTGGTGGAGACGCGCTACAACAATGTCGTACAAAGGTATTCATGCTTTTCATAAGCCTGTGAAAACACGGTTATATGTTTTATTTTTTTATGAAATATTTACAGAATGTGAAGTTATACGTAAACCATGCAATGTTCTCTTCTTGCTAACTCTTTATATTTATAATTGAGTACTAAAATACTCAATTTATAAGAACGCAATTTATTAGCAGGGATTGGGGTAGTTAGAATGGCGTAGCTACTACAAGGTCTATTAAAAAACTGAACAGTTTGGAAAACGTCACTAAAGACATCTGCTTGCAAGATCTGCAAAAAAATTTGTTAGAAATAGTTGGACCAATGGTCTATCTGACAGTGAAATTATCACCAACAATGACAATTTTCAAAATGAGAATTGTGTTACCTTCTAAAATGTTTAAAATAGCTTGCGCACAAAAATGAGACATTTAAAAAGCAATTACAACACCCAGATTCAAAATATGGCTCGTTGTTCAAAAGTGCTGAATATTTCAAATTTTATTTTGAATGCTGTTTCATACTCCTCATTAATTATGCGTAAATTTGTGCTAAAGATAATCCAAATAATGAAATATGAATAATTAATAAAGGTTTGCTTAGCGTTCTTTTGTCTTTTTGACAAATTTTCCAAAACATTTTTGGCTTGAACAGTATGTGCCACATTTTAACCCTATCAGTTAAAATTGCTTTTTAACAAAACCATTTTTGTGCGCTATTTAGTTCAAAAATTCTTCTCGGTAACACAATTCTCATTCTTAAAGGTGTTACTATTTACAAACATCTTACTGTCAGATGATTCATTGGAAGTCTAACAATCTATTCCATCAATGGATTTTGCAAATCCTACAAGCTGACAGCATAAGCAACGTTTTCCTATCCGTTAAATTTTTTTCATACACCGTGTTGTCCACTGCTATAGACGTACTACGTATGATACTATGTTAATTTTTCTTTGTTCACGTACCATGAAAAGAATAAATTTCTAACAAAATGAATAATAATAATGTCCTCAAATTCAGATTTCGAGACTAAAATTTGCCAGCAGGCTACGCTACTGACTAAGTATTTATCGCCAACTATATACTCACCGTAAATCAAATAAACAATTGCTTCTTGCACATGATTATCAGTAAACATAAATTACCTCACATGCAGAGGCGTAACTAGAACGTTAAATAGGGTGTGTATATTCATATATTACGTTGTGCCATACTAATTTCTTTCCAAAGTATTTTGAATTCAAAAGAAATAAGTAGGGCGCAACTGAATATATGAATATACACCTCCCCAATTAACGTTCTAATTACGTCTCTACTCACATGAACTTTGTACTCTTTATTAAATAAATAGACAACCATCGACATTCAACAATCTTTAATATACAGCATAAACAAAATATAGCATACAAATTATAAGGAACTAAGTGACCTTAACCTTTGTCCAAAGTTAATAAAATAACAACGACGTTGCATGATTAATATGTTGATGCACATTGTAACATTACGGTACTCCAGCTGTTTGTGTGAGTGCAATCTATTAAAAGAATAGAAAAGAAGAACTGAAGGAAGTTTCAATCAAACAAAAGACCGAGCCAATCAAAGACAAAGGAGACGGTTGACAAATCAAATTTAATGCATTAATATGGCTACACAATTCCCAACGCACAATTATAAATAAAGGGTGTTTCAATGGATAGTTCTTGTTTTAACTAGAAAAATCATTATGGAGCTGAAGCAAAGCAATTTCACTCTTTGTCTCTGAATAAATTTGTAGAAGCCAACGATTGGATGAAAAATGAAAACAAAGCATATGATTGGATGAAACTGACTAAAAATATCACAGATTGCATTGCAAGAGTTTACTTGTAACTGCAATAGCTGACAGAGAGGATAAGTTTCGTCTTATAAAAAAACGTAAAATAATGGACATCGCTACTCTCGAGATTATTTTACTTTTTCTAATAAAAGTCATCTACTGCAATTATAATGATGACAAAAATGGCATAGTGAAATTAAAAGACAAAGCAAAAGAAAGGTTTCTGGTAATCACTTGTATTATCATTTGATATTTTAGATACGATATGTTGTGTTGAAACTTGGCATATTTTATGATTACTGATCATATTTAGGTTGCATTAAAGTAACCTATAAAAGAAGTACTAAAAATCGTAACCAGTTGAAAAAAATTTTCCCTACTCATACTAGCTCACACATACACGTACACTAGTACGCACTCATTAAATAGGGATTTGCATAATTTTTTTGTTTTGAGCTCTTTTTGTACACCCAATTATTGAGTTTGTTTTGTCATTGCTCATTTGTTCGAGGGAGTTTGATTTCCCAATCCTTGGTAGCTGAAGACTGGAGAATATTGAAATGATTCAGACAGATTTAACTCGCTACGTAGATGACACAATCACAGCAGTACATGCAGATGAGATTGATGACTTTCATACTAACATCAACTAACAGAACAGCCACATACAATTTACCGAAGATGTCAAAGAAAACGGAACTCTTCCTTTTCTCGATTGTTTGGTAAAACATGACAATCAAAAACTACGAACAACAGTTTATCGCAAGCCAACACATACTGACCGACTACTAGACCAATCATCTTACAACCCTACATCACACAAAGCCACCACAATCAGAACGTTAACAAGACGTGCACAAATCATATGTGATTCACCGGACGCTCTACACAACGAAAACAACCATCTCGAACGTGTTTTTGACAAAAAAAACTATAACTCTGACTTTATCAAACGCAACACTTACAAACCCAACGAACCCAACGAAACGAACAACTCAGTGACAACAGCAACGATACCTTAAATCAAAGGTACGTCTGAGACTATCTCGCGTATCTTACGACCATACAACATACGTGTCGCACATAAACCAATCACAACGTTACGACAAGTACTAACGAACATAAAAGACAAAGAACAACCCAACGAACGACAAGGTGCAGTTTACAAAATAAACTGCTCCGACTGCCACGCCTCCTATATCGGGGAAACTGGCAGGAACTTAAACATAAGACTTACTGAGCACAAACGAGCTACTAAGAAACAAGACAAAACTAATCACATTGCCGAACATCACCGAATCACAAAGCACAACATTGACTGGGACTCGGCAAAATGCATTACTTACAGTACTGACTATAGACAACGGCTTACATTAGAAAGTTGGTATACCAACTTGGAACAAACCCCCCTGAACAGATCACAGCAATTACCGTCACCTTACAAACGACTTATTCACAATACAAACAAACGATCAACTAAAAACATTACCCTTCACACTAATTCACAATGACAATAAACAATTGACACCCACACATTACAACTAAAAACATCACACCTAAATCACACATCACAACTAAAAATAAAATATTTCACTTCACACTAATTCACAATGACAATACACATTTCCTTTACACACAATACAATGACGTAAGAACCAGATAACAAATACGGCTAACACCTGACGTTTACTCCTCATTTGACTCTGAAGATGACTACCGCTAAGGTTGTCGAAACGTCAGTCAACAACAACAAAAACAGTCCTTCTCAGGACTTTATTAACCTGGACGATCATCATTTACAAACAGATTTAACTAAGAGAGTATTTATCATCTAGAAAATATACTTGGGCATTTTCTTAACATTCGTACTTTGCATGGATGGAAAATACACAAAATTACTTCGTATGGCGCTTAATTAAAGATTAATGAGTTTTTTTATTTTAAATTTGTACTCCTTTCCATATTTTAAATCGTTTCACGTTTCACTGAATTTAAGCTGGCCGCGAATTATCGCTTTATAGTTACGACTTTAACTGTTTGTTAAGTATTTTTAAGAGACAGAAAGGCAAAGTAACAAGTTGTCGAGGACTTCCAGGACTTCCAGGCAGAGATGGTGAGTTACACAACTTTCTTTACTTTTGAAGTTGTGAAATATTTTAAGAGAATGTTTACTACCACAACGTAGCTCTATTACTACTGAATCTAATTTTTCTAAAATAACCTTACAATTTAGGACGTGATGGCAGAGATGCTTTTTTGCGTGGTGAGTTTTTTTAACAAAAGTCATTTTCTTTTTATCTGTAGTTCATGTGTGGTTAAATGTATTTCCTGGAAACTACGTTAAATCTTTTATTAACTGTTATGCCCTTCTTAGTTAAATAAACTATTTGATCGATTTTGACAAAATAGCTTATAAACTCGTATGAGGTAAATTACTACCTTTTTGGCTGCGTGCCATTTACGAGTCCAGATCCTGATTTTATAGATTCTAAATACTTAGATGTTTAATTCAAACGAAACGTAAAAAATCTATTAGAGAATTTTATAGCAGGCTCTTTTCCGAAATAGTCAGAACTTTATACATGCATTTTCTTTTCTCGTGCTTTGCGTGATAGCAGATTTTGTTGAAGAAATGGATGAGTCATTCAAGCCTTTGTGCTTTTTTTTTTCGCGGAATATTTTTAATGAGTTATTAGTTTTATCATTCACGCCTTAGTATAGACGCGTTAATATTGTTTTCACCAAAGCATAATATCATTGCTAAAAAGCGATAGTTATTCTGACTGGTTTGATATTATGTGACTAAATGTATAGATTTAGATGACTTGTGACATCTTAGATTGCCTGTGCTCTTGGTTTGGAAAAAGTTGCACCCTTTTAGAGAGTTTTAGAAGCGCCAAATAATAAACGCAATGCAAAGAAATTGATTTCATGTGTTGGTGTACACCAACAGTACATCGAAATAAACATGTTGATTTTAAAAAATGAGTATACCTTCAAAAAAGTGGTATTCATTCATATATGATAAACGTTCAAGTAAGAAGCCAATTTTAAAGTGTCCTTTATGTAAGGGAACCCCACGATCTACAAATTGTGGTTGTCTAGACACCAATGGGTTCCTATAAGCCCTCTAATTTCTAAAAGTCGTTTTCTCACCGTGTCTAACGGACATTTGAAAACTACTCCTGTCTAGGCTTCATATATTCAAAGGTGCTAATATTAAAGTTAAATATTATAAGGTCCTCGTGGTAGGCAGGGAAAACCTGGTCCAGCTGGTCCACCAGGACCTAAAAGTAAAGCCACGTCAACCGGTGGAGTGGTCTACACCAGATGGGGAAGAAAACATTGTCCTAACACAGCAAAAACTGTTGAGATTTATTCTGGTAAGAAAGTTAATAAGAAAAGCTACGTAATTGCTATTCATGATTTAGCTACAACAAGTATAGGTTTAAGCAAGTAAAATATGAATGTATGAGCGATAAAACTTCTGTTTCCTATTTTGAGTATTTTCTAATGTTTTCAAAACAAAGAAATCGGCTTTCTATTTATTTTAAGATGAAGTCTTTTCCTTATGCTTGCATCAACTCACAATCAAACAACAGACTTCTTGACTTCAAAGTTCACGTCATAACTTCTTCATAACTTGTTTTTTGGCCCGACCTGCTAATGTTGACAATTTACCTGACCAATCTTTAAACTCTTTTACAGCGGCTCCCCTAGTCCCTTACATTTGTGTCAAATGCTTTGATGAATGTCGTTGTTTAGTTTTGTTATTGCTCTTGATTTTGTATATTTTACTCGTGTGAATCAGACATAATTTCATTAAATATGCTCATTACAATTTTTTATGCGCTCAGAACAGAAAACTGGGCTGTCATATTTCCTTTTAACTGTAAATGTTCGACGCAATATACGCGAATCGACATTTGTATCATAAGCTATGTTCTTGTAAAAACCAAGTAGTCGTATTCATTAGTTGCAGTTCTAAAGCATACTTTTATGAAAACAGGAGCAATCGGGGGATCGTATTATACACACAGTGGGAGTGGAGCAAATTATCTCTGTTTACCATTGAATCCAATATACGAGAAATATGCTGCTGGTTTTCAAAGTAATGCAATCATTTATGGTACTGAATACGAGATTACTTCTGCTGAGAAACATATATTTCCAAATCCAAACTTACACGACCGAGATGCTCCGTGTGCTGTATGTCATGCTAAGTCACGTGGTAGTCACATGATGATTCCAGCGCGCAATATCTGTCCTTCAGGTGGACTATGGAATACAAAGGTTATTTAATGGCTGCACATTATACTCACAAGCGATCTGAGTACATTTGTGTTGATGGCAAGCCAGAGGCAATGCATGGATCTTATGCAAATACAAATGGAGCATTACTGTATTTTGTTAAAGGCCATTGTGGTCATGCTTTACCTTGTCCACCATATGTGAGTGGAAAGGAACTGACCTGTGTAGTCTGTACTCAGTGATTTTAGAGTTTCAATGCACATATTTACGTATTTTGGCATTATCTGTAGTAACACTAATGAAACATTATTTTGAATTTAATTAATAACCACATCAGTGACGTCACCATTATTGTCCTTTAAATATCCTTACATGCACTTAAGTTCAATATGAAAAATACAAGAAGAAATGTTGATCACCAACAATTAATGACTTGCTTTCTTTATATGTAGTAAACGTAAGTTCTGAACGTTTTGCATTGATGACGTCTGTCCATAATTCAGTCTTTATCTCATGGCACTCATGGTAAAGGAAAAGTGCACAATTGTCTGTTATTTTCTCTAACCACTTTTTACCAACATCACTTGTGATTGAATATGCAGAAGTTTACTTTTCAGTATTTGGTTGGCCTGTTCGAGGGGAAAGCTTGTTAGGCCTTTTTTCTTCAGATTTTAGGGAGAATATTTTAAGCAAGAATTATTTAAAGAAATGCGACGAGGACAAAATACCAATTTTCCAAAAAAAGCCGCAACTAAAGGAGAAGTAGTCAGCATGTTCTTTGTATAGTTTGAAAAAATTTGTTAACTTGTCTTCCAGTCCTCTCCTTTAAGCTGTTTTCAAAGGCAACAGATCGAAATTCGATTGATTCGAAAATCAAAGTGTGTAGAAATGGCAAAACTCGACAACTTGTCGTTTTTCCAAAAATTTTGAAAATAATATGCAGTGGAAATGGTGATGGAAAACAAAATATCGTCACTTAATTAAGCAATCCTTACATTACTTCCAATTGCAGTCATGCATTTAAATTTCAGTGTGCAAAAATCGGAAATAAACAGGCGCAGAAAGTTGCACAGACCGCAGATGCAATTTCTCTTGGAAGTAAAGGTCTGCGCACACGTTTAAATTTGGAGACTTTACTTTAATCTTTTTCTTCTCTTCTATAAAACGTTGCGGTTAAAAGTGATTTGAAGTTTGTGCCATGGTAGCTACACTAATAAAGTTAATGGATAACCTTGCCTTTTTTAGGGCAAATTCAAAATGTTAATAAGATTTATCTACATAATTTTTACGACAAATTTATTGTAAAACCCCCCCCCCGGCTACTTCGCCTCCATTTATTCTGTCATGGTAAGGAGTATTACCTCAATTGATTTTTCTATACCTACACTTTTCAACAAAGCAGTGAATTTCGCTTGCATATTCTTAAGAAAATTACCATTATGTTTTGTTTGTATGACGGCCTGCATTGCAAATGTTGGTTTAACATCATCAGTTCTTGAGACGATTATTTTCCAAACAATGTTGATGAGAAAATTTGAATGCTACTTGTTGCAAGATGTCATGACGTCGTAATCTTGCAAGATGTCATGATCTCGTAATCTTGTATACGTCACTAATTCTAAGTATTTATTACGAAAATGGTTAAATGTTTTCAGTCTGTCTTTTTTCCATTTTCCATAACACTGCAATAATACAAAAAACCGCTGTAATTGTTTTTCTTCTTGCACATATTTCAAAAAATGTTTAAAATGTGAAGATACTTCTTCATTTTTCAAATCGACTTCCAGATAAATGAATCGAGGGTTGTTTTTACAAGCATCTCCTGTTTTCGCTGCAAATGAAACAAAAAAGTAGCTGTAGATTTTGCATGTATAAAAGTAAAATTAAAGAAAGATACGCATTGCGTACATGTGGGTAACTTGAATTGATGAATAGATGGCAATGTCGTGAAATGAATTGATAAAAACGGTCTAAATAATATTATACATTGTTTTCGCTACTTTCTGAATATCTTTATGGAATAGAAGTACATTGCCAACGATTCAGTTGTGATTGCAATTAACTCATATTTAATCTTGAACGCAAAGGCTTCTCTAAAAGCAAGTATTTCATTTTATTCATTAGCCACAGCTTGAGTCGTACGTAGCTATAATGTCTTTAAATTTCATTGTCATGTTTAACCATTTTTTAAAAATGCACACTGACTGTGACATTATTAGTAATTATAGAAACTTGAATGGAAAATCTTCCTTTGCTTAACTTTTTTTTCTGTTTAAAATATCAACTCAGATTCAGAGATCAAGTGTCTCGGAGACAAACAAGACATTTGCATGCTGAAATTGAAATAAAAACTCGAGTTGAGAGTAGATGCCTTTTAAAAAACGCAGTCTCAGTTAATATAATTAAAATTACGTCAATTGCCTTTGGAACGCTTGCTTTGCTTTAGTGCAACAACTCGATCTTTGACAACAGTCTCTGTTCGCCTTTTCCTCTGATTGTTTAGGAAGACGTTACAAATAATTCTTATCGCCCGGTTATTGGCGATATCTTCGTGCTGTTCGCAGACGAACCCTTCGTTACACAAACGGTTTTCAATAGATCCTCCGCAACAAATCGCGATGGCAAGCTAGAGTCTTGAATAATATTTGTTGCTGCATTCAGTACAGCAAATCCATGAGCAACAAAATTACCCAACGCAGCAGATGGTTCCTTCAATCCGCCGCGAGAAAGTAACTGCACATATGGCGAAACACCCTTATTGGTTAGTAGTTGCTCACAGCAACTATTGCAAAGCTTAATCAGCTTTTTTGCAATGTACCCAGCAACGTTATCAGAAATTTCCTTAGAAGAATCCGTCAAACATATCCTATTAGAGTCAGATATGATTGGCTGCACGGAGTCTCTAAATTCTGCTACTTTTTCCGGTGATTTTTCATCGGTGACTTTGACCCGATCATCAATGTCCAGTCCTTCCTTCACAAGGCTTTTTATTTTTAGAATCTTTTCTAAGAATACCACATCTTTTAAGCCGACCAAAAAACGACCACCACTCATTTGGCGGTACTGACCATACCGTTTTTCAAAAGGATCACTCTGGAAGCGCGAAGTCAGCACATATAAATAACCCTCACTTAAAAGTTCTTCAATTAAAACAGCATGGCAGCGAAGGGCGCATCGAAGCGCATGACTAGTTTGAGCAGTAAGATTGAATTTGTCGCAATTGGGCAACTTAAGGTTATCCCACTCGTCAATCCAATCTGCAAAGGTTCTCAAGAATTCGGGTTTTTTTCTTCGAGAACTGCTGCATTCCCAAGGCGATTACAGGTGTTAAATCGGGATTTTGAATTTGAAATTGTCCACCAAACATCAACAAGGTGCAGGAAACTTGCAGCGTCGTCGGATTTGTCAGGAAAATAATGTCTTATGCCGGTAGCAGTTGAACGTGAAAAAATGGCTAAAGCTACGGGTACATTCTGTTTACAATTTCCCGGGTGTAAAACCTTCGCACTAAGTTCAGGCGCTGCCCTTAAATTTTCCTCAAGATTCTGATCTTTCTCGTACACCTCATGAAGTAACCGCCACGAAATCTCTCCTCCGCCTACTTAAATAGGTTCATAAAACTCAGTAAAATTGAAAGTAGGAAAAAGAAACCTTTTGCGATTCAGCAAATTATTTCTGGTGTTCTTCACCAGGTGAACAGAGTCGAAAAACAGATAGGTCTTCTGACTATTCAGGGTGATATACAGATCATCAACACCGGCGCCACACGCAGAGCGAAATTCCTTGTATGAATTGACGTTCGAAGAATGATCATCCGATACAATTCTTCTGACACGGAATCCGTTTTCTTGAAGTAGTTTCAAACAGGCTAAAAGCTCGTCTTTTAACCATTTCCAGGTTATTTGTTTCTCGGGAAGGGCTTTCCCAACATATGGAATGTTACTATTTAACCCAACGATCATGAAACATACCACACCTTTATACAGCTCACCTTGTTCATCTGCGCCATATGATTCACCAGCAATGTACTTCTGAAGAAACATTTCATCAGAAATATTGCCGTTGTCTTTAAGAAGGTTCGCAGCTTTCAATGCATCGATCTTGCCAGTTGTTATTCGCCGGAGAAGGGAAACAGATGGCATACTTTTACTAGCAATTTACACTGACCCTACGAAACCACTCGTAAAGGAAACGGGGCACCTCGGTGGTAATGGCATACGCGCAGATGAACATCCACTCGGATGCAAACTGTAACTTCAAGCACAGATTGTTTATTCTTTCCATTTTGAAAAAATGGCATGGTCGTCATGGCGTGAAAACGAAAACTGGTGACCAAGTTCGTGGAGCAGTGAGTCGTTAATGTCACCAAAATCTTTGATTATGTCAAGTTGCTTCAACTTGTCAAACTCATCTTCCTGAAAAACGCGTTGAGTCGGAGGTTTTCGAAGCTTTGGGATTGAAGGTTGCACTGAGGGACGATCTTTCAGGCTCTCTGGATGGATGGTTGGAATTGGCTTCATTGACTTGATGAGGCGAGGATACTTGGTATTTCGCTGGATATACTTGTCCTCGTAGTGATGTTCGCATATAAACACGGATATCAGTTCAGCGGTGTCATGAGCTACTCTGTTCAAGAACAAGCGCATTATCGGTTACAGCTCCTCGTCTTTTGTAAACTCGAATACAGTCCCACTAGCGTGTCCTTTGTAGTTGGTGTAACACCCAGCAACGCTACATTTGTTTGGCATTCTGCACTGCAACTGACGAACAACTCAATCAAGATGTTATCACAAACACTCAACTAACCGAGAGAAATTTACTTTTCAAGTGAACAACTTGAAACAAGCATAACAATCTTTCAGAAGAAAACAAGAAACGATTCATGAAAAACTTCCTGCCTGTCATGCTCTATTTTTAGATTTGAGAAGAAAACTTGCTGACTCATTGAAAATTCAGTGGCCTTGCATTTGTGGCCTTGCTATGGCAAGATATCAGGCCGTGTAAATTTGAGTAGGCAATGGGACATGGTTGAGGATTGCACGCCGAAAGGAGAAAATTTTCATTTGTCGAAAATGACCAAGCTCCAAGCTACGCTTTTCTAAATATAGAAGTTAAATCATCTCAACGAGACAATTTGTGACCATCATTTTACAGTCAAACCGGATGTTCTGCCCAATTAAAGTAACGCAATCGCTATTAAAATATTCAAAGGAAATTTACGGAGAAAGTTCTTTCGAAAATACTGAGATGGTTTGTATACTATAATATAGGTGTGGTGAAAAGTGAGGTACTTGACAAACAAGACCAGTTACGAGATAAAAAAATTAGAGACACAAGTCAGTTAACAAACTTTATGGATACCAATTACATTCATTATTGTTATATAATCTTAGACCAGAGCAAACAACTCAGTTGTATATTAACATGGAAGTCAGATGATCTTTTCAATTTAAATTATCAGTGTTGCATTTGTTTCCATAAACAAATTAGAAACTATGAAAGTTAATCAGAAAAATTAACGTAATTGCGATTCATGATTTAGCTACAACCAGTATAGGTTTAAACAAGTAAAATAAGAATGTATGAGCGATAAATTTTTTGTTTCCTATTTTAAATATTTTCTAATGGTCTAAAATACAAAGAAATCGGCTTTCTATTTGTTTTAAGAGGAAGCCTTTCCCTTATACTTGCGTCAACTCACAGTCAAACAACAGACTTGTTGACTTCAAATTTCATGTCATAACTTCTTTATCAATTGTTTTTTTGCCCGACCTGCTAATATTGACAATTTACCCGACCAATCATCAAACTTTTTTACAGCGGCTCCCCTCGTTTCTTACGCCTATGTCAAATGCTTTGATGAATGTGGTTGTTTAATCTTGTTAACGCTTTTGATTTTGTTTGTTTTAATCGTATGAATCAGGCATAAGGATTTTATTAAATATTCTCATTAGAATTTTTATGCGCTCAGAACGTAAAACTGAGCTGTCATATTTCTTTTTAACTGTAAATGTTCGACGCAATATACGCGAATTCACATTTGTATCATAACGTATGTTCTTGTAAAAACCATGTAGTCGTATACATTAATTGTAGTTATAAAACATATTTTTATGAAAAACAGGAGCAATCGGGGGAGCGCGTTATACACAAAGTGGGAGTGGATCAAATTATCTCTGTTTACCGTTGAATCCAATATACGAAAAATACGCTGCTGGTCTTCAAAGTAACGCAATCATTTATGGTACTGAATACGAGATTACTTCTGCTGAGAAACATATTTTTCCAAATCCAAACTTACACGACCGAGATGCTACGTGTGCTGTATGTCATGCTAAGTCACGTGGTAGTCACATGATGATTCCAGCGCGCAATATCTGTCCTTCAGGATGGACTATGGAATACAAAGGTTATTCAATGGCTGCACATCATGAACACAAGCGATCTGAGTACATTTGTGGTGATGGCAAGCCTGAAGCAATACTTGGATCTCATGCAAATGGAGCATTACTATATTTTGTTGAAGGCGATTGTGGTGTTGCTTTACCTTGTCCACCATATATTCATGGAAACGAACTGACCTGTGTAATCTGTACTCAGTGATTTATTGGGTTTTAATGCACATATGTACGTATTTTGCCATTAGCGGCAGCAACACTAATAAAACATAATTTTTAATTTATTTAATAGTAACACATCTGTGACATCACCATTATTTTCCTTTAAATATCCTTACATGCTCTTAAGTTCAATGATAAAAACACAAGAATAATTTTTAATCAAAAAGAAATTATGACTTGTAATCGTTTTATGTAGTAAACGTAAGTTCTGAACGTTTTGCACAGATGATGTCTGTCTGTCTATAGTTCTGTCTTTATCTCATGGCACTCATGCTAAATGCAAAGTGCACAATCGTCTGATATTTTCTGTAACATCTTTTTACCAATGTCACTTGTGATTGGTTATGAAAAAGTTTAATTTGTAGTGTTTGGTTAGCCAGTTCGAAAGATATCTCGCTAGGTCTATTTTCTGGTTTTACGGAAAATATTTTATGCAGGAATTAATTAACGTAGTTTACTGAGGACAAAAGCAAAAAGAAATGGCTGAAGTTGTTTTTGTATAGTTTGAAGTCTTGTGTTGCCCAGTTGTTCTGTTATTTGCTTTGAGCCGTTTTGTTTCTTTGAAAAATTTAATGTTCGCATGTACTTTGCGTTGATAAGAATCAGGTCAATTTATCTATTAATATCTACACTTATCAATATATATCGTCATATCAACTAAAAAACGACCAGTTTCAAGATATAATACTTTACATAGGATTAGTGTGTATGATGTCTATAGCAAAAACTATTTTCAATGAAATGACACGTATTCGTTCATAGAATTTGCAAGACATTTTTAAAATATGAGCGACGTCACAGTTTTCTGTCATGCAGTCTGAGCGATGACATTTAAGAAATGCAAAAGTTTTGACAGTTGTCGGGTAATTTCAATGAACAGTGAGCACAAAACAGTTTTTCAGATTTTGAACAAGTTTGGTGTAAAGAATATTAAATATTTATCATTATTTCAACTACTTTAATAATCTTTTTCATTGTGTCTATAAATTTGTGAGGCTGCCCACATAAACACAATGCGTACCTATTTTGAATTGCTGTATGCCATCATCACTGCTAACAAATCTCCACCGAGCACCATATAAAGCATGTACGCAATGCGTACCTATTTTGAATTGCTGTATGCCACCATCACTGTTTACAAATCTCAACCGAGCACCATATAAAGCATGTACACAATGCGTACCTATTTTGAATTGCTGTATGCCATCATCATTAGTTACATATCTCCACTGAGCACCATATGAAACATGTAGACAATGCGTACCTATTTTGAATTGCTGTATGCCAACATCACTGCTTACAAATCTCCACCGAGCACCATATGAAACATGCACAATGCGTACCTATTTTGAATTGCTGTATGCCACCATCACTTTTTACAAATCCCCACCAAGCACCATTTGAAGCAAAAAGTTGTTTACTCAATTGGCGTTTATTCAGTAAGAAAACAGCCTGGAAAACTGTTACCTCGTTTAAATGTTTTCCAGCAGCGGTTTTTTCATATCTTTTTACGCCCGATCATCCCATAACCTTATTACTAATATTGAAATGATAATACTCAGAGTTATTTTAGATATTTGAGTTTTCCCATTATAGGACCATTTTAAAATCGTGGAAGGTAAAAAGAATACAGTATGAAAGACATATATTACTTACATTGTCCTGTAATTTAGAGTATGTAGTATGGAGCTATAAAATTTACAGTAAAACATGAATAAAATCCAGCATTCACCTTAAATTTTGAATAAAATTGACTGCCCTTCATTGACCTTTTAAGTTCACTCTACATAATAAATAAATTAAACTCTGGACTCACTTAACTGTGAAACTTGGTGCTATATGCATATCTAATAAGATTACTTATTGCTCTTATTGGTTAGAAAACGCATTCGACTAGTACTGGCAGCCATCATGCCAATTGACAACTTACATGCAACATCAATCCACATTGATTACTGGAGAATAAGACCAAATAAAACAAAAAACGCATCCCACGAAGGGTTAAGAAGCCACATGAATTGTTCAAACTGCAGAAAGAAGAATGTCTCTTAAAGATCAGCATCCCAATAAATATTTTCAGTAGTTACTGACAGAAACATTTGCTTTAAAGGCTTTCATAATTACGAGTTCACCTTTTGATGTTCATTGCATTAACAAAATTGTTAGGTGAAACGCCAGATCCCAACCTTGGGCATAAAGAACTAATGGAAAATCGCTCCCCAATTATTCAAAATGATAAATTAAACTGCGAAGGAGGGCTCTTCAGGTAATCCTTTCTGTCACCTGTCTTATAAAATTAACATTACCTTTCCCTATCAGCTGGTGACAACATCCAGGAGCAAATTATCTAGTTAATTCTTTCCCTTTTTCACTATCAATAAAGGTCGATATCTGAAACAGGTACTTACAAAACATTTACGAATATTGGTTTAAATAATTCAAGTATGTAAAACGCAAGGTTGGGGACCTTTCCTCCTAGATCTGAGCCTTGCAACACCGTGACTACTTTCACTTTTTCTCTGACTTTTAATAAGACGACAGTAAGGTAACTCACAAGTCAATAGGCAATTAGCAAGGAGACTTGTATCCATCAATCGTACTCAACAGCTGTTGTTTAAAATTTAGAACTTGCTTTGCCCCGCATGAAAAAAGAGTACTTTAATGTCAGCTCAGCGAAGACGAACCAGCTGGATTTTTTCTAAGAGAAATTAATTACATTTGAACAAATCTTGTGTCTGTAAGAGTCAACAAAACTTTGAATGTACATCGTTTGCTATGATCAATGACTTACCGAAACTTGAGAGGAATCTTCAATTTAAGACCATTTAGTATGCACTGCTACCAAAACATTTGTACATATAGAATATTGAAATCATCATTGACTCCACAATCTTTCATGAGAATGACAAGGCGTTATCAATAAAAAGCTTGTCACTTAAAGCTTATGCCCCATAGTCATTTGCTTATTCTGTAATGGCCAAAACATAACCAAAATATGCAACAAGATAGACCTTTTTTAACAGATGATATTTATTTGCGCATGCGCAGCAGCTACTCTTAAAAACTGTGGCTACTTCTCACACACTCACAAACATAAAATTACTGTCGTATCTTTTTGTCTATGCTAACACCAAACTTTTTAGATTATTTTTTCCAGTATACTAAGATGAAATTGACATTGGGTTTAACTCAAATTCGATGATCACCGATTCTTTAATATAAAATCGCGTGCACTGATTGATCTAGCTTGTTTTATAATACCCTCAGTGTACAAAACAATTTTATCACTATCAATTAAATCAATCTCAACATCCGATATCTAGTTCTCTCAAAGGTATTCATGATTTTCATAAGCCTGTGAAAACACGGTACACGAAAAGAATAAATTTCTAACAAAATGAATAATAATGTCCTCAAATTCACATTTCGAGACTAAAATTTGCTGGTAGGCTACTGACTAAGTATTTATCGCCAACTATATCCTCACCAAAGCAAATAAACAATTGCTTCTTGCAAATGATTATCATTCAAATTGCTTCAGAGTGAAAGAACGTGTTGAGTGTATATTACGTTGTGTGAATTTCTTTTGAAAGAATTCTTGAATATTGAATATACACAATTAACGTTCTAGCTCTCTAACATGAACTTTGTATTATTAAATGAATAGACAACCATCGACATTCAACAATCTTTAATATACAGCATAAACAAAATATACCATACACATTACAACCAACTAAGTGACCATAACCTTCGTCAAAAGTTAATAAAATAACAACGACGTTGCATCATTAATTGTTCACGTACTATGAAAAGAATAAATTTCTAACAAAATGAATAATAATGTCTTCAAATTCACATTTCGAGACTAAAATTTGCTGGTAGGCTACGCTACTGACTAAGTATTTATCGCCAACTATATCCTCACCGTAAAGCAAATAAACAATTGCTTCTTGCAAATGATTATCAGTAAAATAAATTCACATGCAGAGCGTGACTAGAACGTGTGTGTATATTCATATATTACGTTGTGCCATACTAATTTCTTTTGAAAGTATTTTGAATTCCAAAGAAATCAGTAGGGCACAACTGAATATATGAATATACACCTCAATTAACGTTCTAGTCACGTCTCTGCTCACATGAACTTTGTACTCTTTATTAAATGAATAGACAACCATCGACATTCAACAATCTTTAATATACAGCATAAACAAAATATAGCATACACATTACAAGGAACTAAGTGACCATAACCTTCGTCAAAGTTAATAAAATAACAACGACGTTGCATGATTAATATGTTGATGCACATTGTAACATTACAGTACTCCAGCTGTTTGTGTGAGTGCAATCTATTAAAAGAATAGAAAAGAAGAACTGAAGGAAGTTTCAATCAAACAAAGACCGAGCCAATCAAAGACAAAGGAGACGCTTGACAAATCAAACTTGATGCATTAATATGGCTACACAATGCCCAACGCAGAATTATAAATAAAGGGTGTTTCAATGGATAGTTCTTGTTTTAACTAGAAAAATCATTGTGGAGCTGAAGGAAAGCAATTTCACTCTTTGTCTCTGAATAAATTTGATAGAAGCCAACGATTGGATGAAATATGAAAACAAAGCATATGATTGGATGAAACTGATTAGAAATATCACAGACTGCATTGCGAGAGTTTACTTGTATCTGCAATAGCTGACAGAGAGGATAAGTTTCGTCCTATAAAAAAACGTAAAATAATGTACATCGCTACTCTCCAGATTATTTTCCTTTTTCTAATAAAAGTCATCTACTGCAATTATAATGATGACAAAAATGCCATGTTGAAGTTAAAAGACAAAGCAAAAGAAAGGTTTGTGGCATTATCATTTGATATTTTAGATACGATATGTTGTGTTGAAACGTGGCATATTTTATGATTACTGATCATATTTAGGTTGCATTGAAGTAACCTATAAAAGATAAAAATCTTAACCAGTTGAAAACATTTTCCCTACTCATACTAGCTCACACATACACGTACACTAGTACGCACACATTAAATAATGATTGGTATGATTTTTTTGTTTTGGACTCTTTTTGTACCCTAATTATTGAGTTTGTTTTGTCATTGCTCAATTGTTCCAGGAGTTTGATTTTCAAACCTTGGTAGCTGAAGATTAGAGCAACTTGAAATGATTCAGACAGATTTAACTAAGAGAGTATTTATCATCTAGCAAATTTACTTTGGCATTTTCTCAACATTCGGACTTTGTATGGATAGAAAATACACAAAATTACTTCGTATGGCGCTTAATTAAAGATTTATGAGTTTTATTATTTCAAATTTGTACTCCTTTCCATATTTTAAATCGTTTCACGTTTCACTGAATTTAGGCTACCTGCGAATTATCGCTTTATAGTTACGACTTTAACTGTTTGTTAAGTATTTTAAGAGACAGAATGTCAAAGTAGCAAGTTGTCGAGGACTTCCAGGACTTCCAGGCAGAGATGGTGAGTTATACAACATTCTTTACTTTTGAAGTTGTGAAATATTTTAAGAGAATGTTTACTACCACAACGTAGCTCTATTACTACTGAATCTAATTTTTCTAAAATAACCTTACAATTTAGGGCGTGATGGCAGAGATGCTTTATTGCGTGGTGAGTTTTTTTAACAGAGGTCATTTTCTTTTTATCTGTAGTTTATGTGTGGTTAAATGTATTTCCTGGAAACTACGTTAAATCTTTTATTAACTCTTATACCCTCTTAGTTAAATAAACTATTTGATCGATTTTGACAAAATAGCTTATAAACTCGTATAAAGTAAATTACTACCTTTTGGCTGCGTGCCATTTACGAGTCCAGATCCTGATTTTATGGATTCTAATTACTTAGATGTTTAATTCAAACGGAACGTAAAAATCTATTAAAGATTTTTATAGCAGGCTCTTTTCCGAAATGGTCAGAACTTTATACATGCATTTTCCTTTTGTCGTGTTTTTGTGATAGCAGATTGTGTTGAAGAAATGGATGAGTTATTAAAGCCTTTGTGCTTTTTATTCGTGGAATATTTTTAATGAGTTATTAGTTTTATTATTCACGCTTTAGTATAGACGCGTTAATATTATATTCGGCAAAGCATAATGTCATCGCTAAAGTGCGATAGTTAGTCTGACTGGTTTGATATTATGTGACTAAATGTATAGATTTAGATGACTTGTGACATCTTAGATTGCCTGTGCTCTTGGTTTTGGAAAAAGTTGCAAATTTTTAGAGGGTCAATAATAATCGCAATGCAAAGAAATTGATTACACCAACAATGCATCGAAATAAACAAACATGAGGTTTCAAACTTGCATTTCACATCACCTATGAACCACTATGAATGTATGACATAGCACAATAATCATATTTATACATAACACAAAAATCTCTTTACACTTGCATTTGCTCATCACAAAAATAAATGATATAAGAAAATCATAAATATTGTTATGAAATTATGAAAAGTTTGACGCTTTCAAAAGTTGATAACATTGTTAAACAGTCTCTAAGCGTTATAAATAAACGATTTCAAATGACATGTTGTTGTTACGTTCAATAAGTGCACGGGGGTATTGCTATCGCCAGTTAGGTGAAGGGCTCTTATTCATATATGCATGAATGCTGAATTAATATCTTTTGAAATGTACGGATTCATAACATGTATATATGAATAAGAGGCCCCTTAGTTAGCGATAGCAATACATCCCTAACTTTGCTGTGAGAAAAGTTCAGAAAACATATTAAAATGACAGAAGCAAACGTTTTTTGAGCTAACAAAGACATGTAATATAATATAGCATCCATTATCCATATAGGCTTACATAGTTAAATAGCTAATGGGACATAGAATTTATATTGGAAGCTTTCATAAGATTAAAGTGTTCCATGCTTAAAATGTGATCATTTACAATGGTTAAGCCTGTAATGAAACTTTTTGATATTAGATATTTTTATTCAGTTTTTAACTGCATCATGTTAGAGTGATCTGTTGATTTTAAAAAAATGAGTGCACCTTCAAAAAAGTGGTATTCATTCATATATCATAAAAGTTCAAGTAAGAAGTCAATTTTTAAGTGTCCTTGTAAGGGAACCCCACGATCTACAAATTGTGGTTGTCTGGACACCAATGGGTGTCCTATAAGCCCTAATTTCTAAAAGTCGTTTTTTCACTGTGTCTAACGGAGATTTGAAAACTACTCCTGTCTAGGCTTCATATAGTCAAAGGTGCTAATATTAAAGTTAAATATTATAAGGTCCTCGTGGTAAGCAGGAAAACCTGGTCCAGCTGGTCCACCAGGACCTAAAAGTAAACCACGTCAACCGGTGGAGTGGTCTATACCAGATGGGGAAGAAAACATTGTCCTAAAACAACGAAAACTGTTGAGATTTATTCTGGTAAGAAAATCTACGTAATTGCGATTCATGATTTAGCTACAACCAGTATAGGTTTAAACAAGTAAAATAAGCATGTATGAGCGATAAAACTTCTGTTTCCTATTTTGAGTATTTTTAATGGTTTCAAATACAAAGAAATCGGCTTTCTATTTATTTTAAGATGAAGTCTTTCCTCATGCTTGCATCAACTCACAATCAAACAACAGACTTCTTGACTTCAAATTGCATGTCATAACTTCTTTATCACTTGTTTTTGCCAGACCTGCTAATGTTGACAATTCATCCGACCAATCATCAAACTTTTTACAGCGGCTCCCTCGTCCCTTACGCCTGTGTCAAATGCTTTGATGAATGTCGTTGTTTAATCTTGTTAACGCTCTTGATTTTGTTTATTTACTCGTGTGAATCAGGCATAAGAATTTCATTAAATATGCTCATTAGAATTTTTATGTGCTCAGAACGTAACACTGGACAGTCATATTTCTTTTAATTGTAAATGTTCGACGCAATATACGCGAATCGACATTTGTATCATAACCTATGTTCTTGTAAAACCAAGTAGTCGTATTCATTAGTTGCAGTTCTAAAGCATCTTTTATGAAAACAGGAGCAATCGGGGATCGTTTTATTCACACAGTGGGAGTGGATCAAATTATCTTTGTTTACCGTTGAATCCAATATACGAGAAATACGCTGCTGGTACTCAGAGTCATGCAATCATTTATGGTACTGAATACCAGATTTATTCTGCTGAGAAACATATATTCCCAAATCCAAACTTACACGACCGAGATGCTCCGTGTGCTGTATGTCATGCTAAGTCACGTGGTAGTCACATGATAATTCCAGCGCGCAATATCTGCCCTTCAAGATGGACCTTGGAATACAAAGGTTATTTAATGGCTGAATATCATGGTCACAAGCGATCTGAGTACATTTGTGTTGATGGCAAGCCAGAAGCAATACTTGGATCTCATGCAAATAGAGATGGAGCATTGCTATATTTTGTTGAAGGCCATTGTGGTTCTTTACCATGTCCACCATATATTCATGGAAAGGAACTGACCTGCGTAGTCTGTACTCAGTGATTTAAGGGTTTCAATGCACATATGTACGTATTTTGGCATTATCTGTAGTAACACTAATAAAACATTATTTTGAATTTATCTAATAACCACATCAGTGACGTCACCATTATTTTCCTTTAAATATCCTTACATGCACTTAAGTTCAATGATAAAAATACAAGAAGAAATGTTGATCACCAACAATTAATGACTTGCTTTCTTTATATGTAGTAAACGTAAGTTCTGAACGTTTTGCACTGATGACGTCTGTCCATAATTCAGTCTTTATCTCATGGTACTCATGGTAAAGGCAAAGTGCATAATTGTCTGGTATTTTCTGTAACCTCTTTTACCAACATCACTTGTGATTGAATATGCAGAAGTTTACTTTTCAGTATTTGGTTGGCCTGTTCGAGGGAAAGCTTGTTAGGCCTTTTTTCTTCAGATTTTAGGGAGAAAAAAAGCCGCAACTAAAGGAGAAATAGTCAGCGTGTTCTTTGTATAGCTTGAAGAATTTTGTTAACTTGCCTTCCAGTCCTGTCCTTTAAGCTGTTTTTAAAGGCAACAGATCGAAATTTGATGGATTCGAAAACCAAAGTGTGTAGAAATGGCAAAACTATACAACTTGTCGTTTTTCCCAAAATTTAGAAACTAACATGCAGTAGAAATGGTGATGGAAAGCAAAATATCGCCACTTAATTAAGCAATCCTTACATTACTTCCAATTGCAGTCATGCATTTAAATATTAGTGTGCAAAATCGGAAATAAACAGGCGCAGAAAGTTGCACAGACCGCAGATGCAATTTCTCTTGGAAGTAAGGGTCTGCGCACACGTTTAAATTTGGAGACTTTACTTTTATCTTTTTCTTCTCTTCTATAAAACGTTGCGGTTAAAAGTGATTTGAAGTTTGTGCCATGGTAGCTACTAATTAATTATCTACAAACTAAGATTTATCTACATATTTTTATGACAAATTTATTGTAAAAAGCCCGCTACTTCGCCTCCATTTATTCTGTCATGGTAAGGAGTATTACCTCAATTGATTTTTCTATACCTACACTTTTCAACAAAGCAGTGAATTTCGCTTGCATATTCTTAAGAAAATTACCGTTATCATGTTTTGTTGGTATGACGGCCTGCATAGCAAATGTTGGTTTAACATCACCAGTTCTAGAGACGATTATCTTCCAAACAATGTTGATAAGAAAATTTGGATGCTGCTTGTTGCAAGCTGTCATGACGTCATCATCTTGTAAAGGTACATACGTCACTAATTCTGGGTATTTATTACGAAAATGGTTAAATGTTTTCAATCTGTCTTTTTTCCATTTTCCATAACACTGCAATGTTACAAAAACTGCTGTAATTGTTTTTCTTCTTGCACATATTCAAAAATGTTTAAAACATGAAGATACTTCTTCATTTTTCAAACCGACTTCCAGATAAATGATTCGAGGGTTGTCTTCACAAGCATCTCCTGTTTTTGCTGCAAATGAAACAAAAAAGCAGCTGTAGATTTTACATGTATAAAAGTAAAATTAAAAAAAGGTACGCATAGCATACACATGGGTAACCTGAATTAATGAATAGATGGCAATGTCGTAAAATGAATTGATGAAAACGGTCTAAATAATATTATACGTTGTTTTCGCTACTTTCTGAGTATCTTTATGGAATAGAAGTAGATTGCCAAGGATTCAGTTGAGATCGCAATTAACTCATATTTAATCTTGAATGTAAAGCCTTCTCTAAAAGCAAGTATTTCATTTTATTCATTAGCCACAGCTTGAGTCGTACGTAGCTATAATGTCTTTAAATTTCATTGTCATGTTCAACCTTTTTTAAAAAATCCACAATGATTGCGACATTTGTAATTATAGAAACTTGAAAGAAAAATCCTCCTTTGATTAACTTTTCTCTTTAAACTATAAACTCATTAAAACAGAGGGACTTGGTTGAGGATTGCACGCACAAAAAGAGACAATTTTCATTTGTCGAAAATGACCAAGCTCCAAGCTACGCTATTTCAAACATAGAAGTCAAATTATCTCGACGACATAATTTGTGATCATCATTTAACAGTCGAACCGGATGTTCCTCTCAATTGAAGTAAAGCAATCGCTATTGAAATATTGAAAGGCAATTTACGGAGAAAGTTCGTTCGAAAGTTCAACAAAGTTTGCACATCCCTTTAGCAAATACTGAGATGGTTTGTATACTATACCATAGGTATGGTAAAAGTCAGGTACTTGACAAACAAGACCAGTTACGTGATAAAAATAGAGACACAAGTCAGTTGACAAACTTTATAGATACCAATTACATTCATTGTTGTGATATAATCTCAGACCAGAGCAAACAACTCAGTTGTATATTAACATGGAAGTCAGATGATCTTTTGAGACTAAATTATCAGTCTTCATTTGTTTGCATAAACAAATTAGAAACTATCAACTGCCATAAATGACCTCTAAACAAAAAACCATAAACAACATTTAAACAAAAAAGCATTGTATAAAAAACTTCAATTGTGAATTTGATTTATCATCAATTTAATTTGAACATAAATATTAGGCAACCTTTACTGTTACAAAAAATTGCTAATCAATTTAGTTTGGTCACCTTGAAAAAATGAATTTTGCTTCCTAGTTACAAATCAATTTTAACACTTTTCAACTAAACCAATTTTCATAATTTTCATAAATTCATATTACTTCATACAGTTGATACAGCAATTTTTCAGTATCAATAAATATATTTTTCCAATATATCACAGCATCCAGAGTACATCCCAAACAATGTAAATTGCTCTAATGAGCAACGGTAATGAGAATAATTGTGAAATTCTCATGCAAACAAAAGAACAACTAAACAAGAATATTATAATTGCTTCACTTGAATGGAATGATGTTTTATAAAGTTGTACAATGTACTTAACAGAAGCAGATTTATTAGCAATCTCTAAGATAAATTTTTAACAGCTGATTCAAATCACCTCATTTATGCCTCATTGTTCACACATACAGGTTTATAAAATAACAACAATAAAATGCCTGCAATGGTTGGTTAATGGCTGAGTTTGCAATTTGCTTGTGCAAACCGATATGAGCTCAACCACTGGAGCTGAATGAATGAAATCAACTAAAGAGAATTTACAAATCAATCATCAATACATGCTATAAGAAAAATTTTTGTTTAAATTTATCTGTTTTGCATGATTGGTATTTTATAGAAAAATAAAAGATGATTTTTGTGTTTGCACTTGATTATACAACCAAGGAGAAATTTGTGAGAACTCTCAAGCAGATGGAAATCACTGATCTGTTCTCAATTTTTTCTATACATCTCCTCGGTTTGCATAAGACTGTGCAATACTGGTAAATATCTTTATTTCTTGAATAACAAACACTCGTGCATAGAGAGACTTGACTCTGCCAGTCTAGCTTGTCTTTTATACTGTATTTACCTGACTGACTTTGACTATCTTGCTGAGTGACCTCTTCTACTGAGAATTTCATTTGAAATTCAATTCCACGACAAGCCCCTTGTATTTGATGTTTTCTAATACATTTAACCCCATCATCTTTCTCAACTTGGATGATTATATCATGAATATACAAGCCTGTAAACTTTTCTAGACGTTCGATATCGATATGGCCATCATCATGCAGTTTGCCATGAATATCTTTTCCATCTAACAAAGCCTTTTGTCGTGCGGTAAGTTTTCAGTCAACTTGTCAAGAGTCTGGAGTAAATGTACAGTTGAAAACGACTGCTTGTCCTCGTTTAGCTCGGCTTCCAATTCAGATATTTCTGAGCGTAATTTATCAATTTCTGCTCGATACCATGATTCGGTGCGGTTGAAGTTTGAACACAAGTAGTCATCCCATCGATCGCGTTTCAGTTTAGTTTTTACACGCAAGTGAGTGGTAGAAAGACTTGAAGACACAAATTCGTCTTCCATTTTCCATGAGAACAACAAAATCAGTGAACATTATAAGTGAGTTCGCGCCAAATGGCTAAAATAAGCATGTCCCGTTTTATCCATAAGTACTGCCTGTTGCCCAAAAATGTTGCGCAAAGAAAATACAGTATCATCAATAAGCACGACAACGTCAAATGGTCAAAGATCAATTTCATCGTTCAAAATTTCGAATTGAATAGTTTATATCTTTGAATCATGCTAAACACGGGGTAAGTACGAGAAGATTGCTCTAATTTGCGGCATTTCTGTCAAAGCAGAATGTTGGAAGGTTGATTGTGAAGAACAATCATTTGCTTATTTTTGAATGTCATGTCAACTGGCCTTTTTTACCTGATGAATTTCTGTATGACTAGTATTTTAGACAGTTTTATTGATTTTTATTTAAATGATCGCATTAAGAATCCTTCCCGTTTTTTGTCTGAAAGAAAGGCAAAGAAACTTTTATATGCACTCTGATTATAAAATGTAATTGTTTTTAATCATACATGTATTATTTTCTCATTGGATTTTCTGTTTTTTGATCATTCATTATTCAAGTATCTGAGGTTTGCATAATAAACCAGTGCAAACATGAAAAATATCTTTCATTTCTATTACTAAATAATGATAATGCATAAACAAATGTTTGAATTTGTCCTTTTACATATATGTATTGATGATTGATTTGCAAATTGTCTTTCATGAATTTAATTGATTTAGTTCAGATTGGTTTGCACAGGCTAATACAAAGCAAACTCGACTTTAGACCAATCAATGCTAGCATTTCATTGTCTAGACTCTTTTTTCTTGTTTTCTAGAAAACTTGCTGGAAAAACAATTTTTATTAGTGGAGCAAGTCGGTATTGGTAAAGCTATAGCTTTAAAGGCAGCACAGGATTGAGCAAATATTGTCATTGCTGCTAAAACAGCTGAGCCACATCCAAAGCTCCCAGGAACAATTTACACAGCTGCTGAAGAAGGTCAGTTTTTGATGTCTGTTTTGATGTACACAGTCAGCAATGTTAGATGTTTAATTCTTGCAAAAGAAATTTGTTTCAATAGAATAAAAGATTTTCTTGTAGAAATGCATATTGTAAAGAATTATGTATCACTTTTGGAATAAGGAATTTCCAGATATTTATAGGATAGTGAGTGCTAAATATTTTTCTTAATCTTTAAAATATCTGTGTATTTTTTCCAATAATAGCTAATTGCCTGTAAGGATTCTTTCTTTAATGAAGATATTGTTTACAATGACATAATCTAGTAATTTGCTATCTTAAAATGTTACTCTACAGTCTACCAACATTCTGGTTTACAAAACAGCTGAAATTTTCAACTCAAGTTTCCTTTCTACAGTTTTGACTGCACATTTTGGAAGTTCTTTAGGAAATCTGTTTGTTAATGTCTCAACATTTGTTAATATGTATTTCATGTTCTATCAAAAGAAATTTGTCTATATCTTCATGTTCTTTTGAAAAAATTGTCTCCTAGATTGTCCTCATCTTTCAAACCACTGTATTGCAAATGTTAGGTAAATGGTTTTTATTCTTTTTCAGTTCCTTGAACCTTTTTCCTCACTCTCTAAAATCTTAATAACGTATTTGACCTACACCACCCAAATACGAATACTACAAAATAACTCGCCATGTTTTATTTAGATGTTTCATGTATGTTTTACTACTGTTTCCTGCAAACCAACTTTCAAAGATCTTTTACCAATTTTCATAACCATTGGTTATATAGTCTAAATATGAATAATGAGGTTAAGCGACTCACGTGATCAATTGTTTGATGTAAATCGTTAAAATGTGCCTATTAGTTCAACATTTGTAGCTATTGCTCAAAGGGGAGTTAAAAAGTAATTTTAACCAAAATTCTGAGAAAGTACAAACGGCTATATTAGTTAAGGAATTGGCTCTAGAATAAGGAATTGTATCTCTAAACATATTGGCGAGAGTCTCGTGTGTGTATCTTATTTATGTATTTAGTAATGTTTATTTTTTCTCAGATACGACCTAATGAATGGTGTCAAACCAGAGGAACATTTTTATGGTAAAATCTTTGTTCTATGAAGTACCCAAATAGCCAAACCTATCCTACTTGGAATTGCTGACTACGTATGGTGTTTTTATTCATCTCATTTCTTTACGATGTTTAATTTATGTAGCTCTCAAGCGTGTATTCCATATCTGAAAGTGGCCAAGAACCCTCATATTTTAAACATCAGTCCGCCATTAAACATGAAACCTCTTTGGTTTAAAGGACACGTAGGTAGGCCATCGTATTTCATTTCAAGTAGGTCCACGTACTTAGCTGTTGAGTCCGAAGGCCCCTCTTACACGTTATGTGCCGTACATATGTAGCTATAAGGTAGTCAACCAGCTCTGTTTTCCAGCTTTTTCAGTTAGTTCAAAACACTTTTATTCACTATATATATTCTGTATTTTTAGTGGACATTAATTGAATCAAAAGTATTAACAATGCAGTTTTTAAAATTAGTGGTGCTCATATTTATGTACTTAGCTACGTGCCCTGCGAACTATTCGAGAAAAGTCACTTTTGCCAGTGAATTAAAACCGATTTTTATGTTCTGGTATTTTGATAGCATACACGATCGCTAAATATGGTATGTCCATGTTCTTGGTATGGCTATGTGTGTTCTTGGTATGGCTGAAGAATTTAAAGATGATGGTGTAGCAGTGAACGCTCTTTGGCCAAAACAGGTCAGTTACGTGTTACAGTGTCATATAGCTAAGGGTTCATTTTAACATTGTGCTACAGGAGGTATGGCATGCATCATATAGTAGCTATCTAAATATATTTTTTTTTCATTTTTCTGTCACTTGAACGACTTTATAATCTTTTTCAGGGATTATTTGGTTGAGTTCTTTTATGTATTACTGTATGTAAACATATACGTGTGCTTACTGTGCTTCCCCATTCGTGCATTTTAACTTTAGTTTCCTCATCCATAGGCAACTGCCCTAGAGGCCTACTTTGTGTTTCCTCATCTTTATATAAACGCCCTTCATCAATATCATACTCACAGGACTTGGACAAATGAATCCTCAACAAGTGTTGTTAATTTACCTTGTCTTGTGTAGCCATCAAGACAGCAGCAATGGAGATGCTTGCTGGTGGAGATGCTCTACAACAATGTCGTAAGACAGACATCATGAGTGATGCGGCTTATGTTGTACTAACTAGAGACAGTAAATCAAGGACTGGTGAATTTCTTATTGATGAGGATGTTTTACGCGAATTGCTGTATGCCACCATCACTGTTTACAAATCTCCACGGACCACCATATGAAGCATGTACACAATGCGTACCTATTTTGAATTGCTGTATGCCACCATTACTGTTTACAAATCTCCACCGAACACCATATGAAGCATGTACAATGCGTACCTATTTTCATTTGCTGTATGCCGCCATCACTGTTTACAAATCTCCACCGAACACCATATGAAGCATGTACACAATGCGTACCTATTTTGAATTGCTGTATGCCACAATCACTGCTTACAAATGTCCACTGCACTACATGAAGCATGTTCACAATGCGCACCTATTTTGAATTGCTGTATGCCACTATCACTGCTTACAAATCTCCACTGACCACCATATAAAGCATGTACACAATGCGTACCTATTTTGAATTGCTGTATGCCACCATCACTGCTTACAAATCTCCACCGAGCACTATGAAGCATGTACAATGTGCACCTATTTTGAATTGCTGTATGCCACCATCACTGTCTACAAATCTCCACGGACCACCATATGTAGCAAAAGTTGTTTGCTCAATTGGCGTTTATTCAGTAAGAAAACAGCCTGGAAAACTGTTGCCTCGTTTAAATGTTTTCCAGCAGCGGTTTTTTCATATCTTTTACGCCTGATCATCCCATTACCTTATTTTTAAGATTGAAATGATATTACTCAGAGTTATTTTAGATATTTAAATTTTCCGATTATAGGACCATTTTAAACTTTTAGAAGATAAAAGGATTACAGTATGAAAGACATGCATTACTAATATTGTCTTGCAATTTAGTGTATGCAGTATGGAGCTATAAAATTTGACAGTAAAACATGAAAATCCAGCATTCACCTTAAATTTTTGAATGAAAAAACTTGATTGCCTTTCATTGACCTTTTATAAGAGAGCATACTTTTGATAGTGTAATTACATATAAGTGCACCTCTACATAATAAATAAATTAAACTCTGGACTCACTTTACTGTAAAACTTGGTGCTGTATGTATATCTAATAACATTACTTATTGCTCTTATTGGTTAGATAACGCACTCGACTAGTACTGGCAGCCATCATGCCAATTGACAACTTACATCCAACATCAATCTACATTGATTACTGGGGAATAAGACCAAATAATACAAAACACGCATCCTACGAAGGGTTGAAGCCACATGCATTGTTCAAACTGTAGAAAGAAGAAAGTCACCTAAAGAACAGCATCCCAATAAATATTTTCAGTAGTTACTGACAGAAACATTTGCTTTAAAGGCTTTCATAAATACGAGTTCACCTTTTGATGTTCATTGCATCAACAAAATTTTGAGGTGAGACGCCAGATCCCAACCTTTGGCATAAAGAACTAATGGAAAATCGCTCCCCAAATATTCAAAATGATAAATTAAACTGCGAGGGAGGGCTCTTCAGGTAATCCTTTCTGTCACCCGTCTTATAAAATTAATAATTACCTTTCCCTGTCAGCAGGAGACAAGATTCAGGAGCAAATTGTCTAGTTACTTCTTTCCCTTTTTCATTTGTGGGTCGATATCTGAAACAGGTACTTACAAAATATTTACGAATTTTGGTTTAAATACTTCCAGTATGTAAAATGCAAGTTTGGTGACCTTTCCTCTTAGAACTGAGCCTGGCAACGCCGTAACTACTTCACATTTTTTCTACTTTTTAATAAGACGACAGTAAGGTAACTCACAAGTCAATAGCCAATTAGCAGGGAGACTTGTATCCGTCAATCGTACTCAACAGCTGTTGTTTAAAATTTAAAACTTGCTTTGCTCTGCATGTAAAAAGAGTAATTTAATGTGAGCTCAGCGAAGACGAACCAGCTGGTGTTTTTTTTAACAGAAATTGATTACATTTGAACAAATCTTGTGTCTGTAAGAGTCAATAAAACTTTGAATGTACATCGTTTGCTATGATCAATGACTATGATCAATTTAAGGCCATGTAGTATGCGCTACTACCAAAATATTTGACCATATGGAATATTGAAATCATCATTGACTCCACAATCTTTCATGAGAATGACAAGGCTTTATCACTTAAAAGCTTATCACTTAAAAGCCTATGCCCCCATAGTCATTTGCTTATTCTATAATGACCAAAAGATAACAAAAATATGTAGCAAGATAGACATTTTTTAACAGATGATACTTATCTGCTCATGCGCAGCAGCTACTCTTAAAAACTGTGGCTTCTTTCTCACACACTCAAACACATAAAATTACTGTCGCATCTTTTTGTCAATGCTAACACCAAACTTTTTAATTTATTTTTTCCAGTATACTAAGATGAAATTGACATTAAGTTTAAGTCAAATTCGATGATCATCCATTCTTTATTATAAAAAAAACACAATAAATCTCGTGAACTGATTGATCTAGCTTGTTTTATATTAGCCTCAGTGTACAAAACAATTTTATCACTATCAATTAAATCGATCTCAACATTCGATCTTTAGTTCTCCCAAAGGTATCCATGATTTTCATAAGCCTGTGAAAACTTGGTAACATGTTTTATTTTTTTATGAAATATTTAGAGAATGTGAACTTATACGTAAACCATGCAATGTTCTTATCTTTTTGTTAACTCTTTATATTTATAATTGAGTACTAAAATGACATCAATTTATTAGCAGGGTTGGGGTAATTAGATTGGCGTAGCTACTACAAGTTCTATCAAAAAAACTGAACAGTTTGGAAAACGTCACTAAAGTCATCTGCTTGCAAGATCTTCAAAAACATTTGTTAGAAATAGTTGGACTATTGGTCTATCTGACAGTGAAATTATCGCCAACAATGACAATTTTCAAAATGAGAATTGTGTTACCTTCTAAAATTTTTAAAATAGCTTGCGCACGAAAATGAGACATTTAATAAGCAATTACAACACACAGATTTAAAATATGGCTCGTTGTTCAAAAGTGCTGAATATATAATATTTTTTTTGAGTGCTGTTTCATACTCGTCATGAATTATGCATAATTTTGAGCTGAAGATAATACAAATAATGAAATATGAATAATTAATAAAGATTTGCTTAGCGTTCTTTTATGTTTTTGACAAATTTTGCAAAACTTTTTTGGCTTGAACAATATGTGCCATATTTTAACCCTATGATTTCAAATTGCTTTTTAACTAAGTCATTTTTGTGCGCAATCTATTTCAAAAATGCTTCTCGGTAACACAATTCTCATTCTAAAAAATTGTTACTATTTACAAACATTTTACTGTCAGATGATTCATTAGAAGTTTAACAATCTATTCCATCAATGGATTTTGCAAATCCTACAAGCTGACAGCATAAGCAACGTTTTCTTATCCATTAAATTTTTTCATAAACCGTGTAGTCCACTGATATAATCGTACTACGTATGATACTATGTTAATTTTTCATTGTTCACGTGCTATGAAAAGAATGAATTTCTAACAAAATGAATAATAATAATGTCCTCAAATTCACATTTTGAGACTAAAATTTGCTGGCAGGCTACGCTACTGACTAAGTATTTATTGCTAACTATATCCGCACCGTAAAGCAAATAAACAATTGCTTCTTGCAAATGTTTATCAGTAAATATAAATTACCTCACATGCAGAGAAACTAGAACGTTAATTGGTGGAGGTGTGTATATTCATATATTACGTCGTCCCATACTAATTTCTTTTGAAAGTATTTTGAAATCAAAAGAAATCAGTAGGGCACAACTGAATATATGAATATACACCTCCCTCAATTAACGTTCTAGTTACGTCTCTCCTCACATGAACTTTGTACTCTTTATTAAATGAATAGACAAACATCGACATTCAACGATCTTTAATATACAGCATAAACAAAATATAGCATACACATTACAAGGAACAAAGTGATCATAACCTTCGCTAAAGTTAAAAAAATAGCGACGTTGCATGATTAATATGTTGATGCACATTGTAACATTACAGTACTCCAGCTGTTTGTGTGAATGCAATCTATTAAAAGAATAGAAAAGAAGAACTGAAGGAAGTTTTAATCAAACTAAAGACCGAGCCAATCAAAGGCAAAGGAGACGCTTGACAAATCAAACTTATTGCATTAATATGGCTACACAATGCCCAACGCAGAATTATAAATAAAGGGTGTTTTAATGGATAGTTCTTGTTTTAACTAGAAAAATCATTGTGGAGCTGAAGGAAAGCAATTTCACTCATTTGCCTGTGAATAAATTTGATGGAAACCATCGATTGGATGAAATATGAAAACAAAGCATATGATTGGTTGAAACTGACTAAAAATATCACAGACTACACTGCAAGAGTTTACTTGTAACTGCAATAGCTGACAGAGAGGATAAGTTTTCGTCCTATATAAAAACGTAAAACAATGTACATCGCTACTCTCCAGATTATTTTACTTTTTCTAATAAAAGTCATTTACTGCAATTATAATGATGACAAAAATGCCATGTTGAAGTTAAAAGACAAAGCAAAAGAAAGGTTTGTGGTAATCACTTGTATTATCATTTGATATTTTAGATACGATATGTTGTGTTAAAAGGTGGCATATTTTATGATTACTAATAATATTTAGGTTGCATTCAAGTACCCTATAAAGGAAGTAATAAAAATCTTAACCAGTTGAAAACATTTTTCCGTACTCATACTAGCTCACACATACACGTACACCAGTACGCACTCATTAAATAGGGATTTGCATGATTTTTTTCTTTTTAACTCTTTTTTTGACTTATTAGATTGCAATAGCCTTATATTAAAGTAATATAATAATAGTCACGTCTTTGACAAGTGCTGTTTTGCATTTCAATAGTAAAATTACAAAAATATTTACAATGTAGGCTATAAAACATGGGCGGAAAATTTGATCCATCTTATTCGAATAAACGATTCTCTGGATTTGTAACAAAGAAGAGCGTCATTTTGCATTGAAGTTTGATAAAGCTAATTCTTTAATCAATACATACACAGTAATATATTCATAAATAAGTTTGCTGCTTCTGTCATGTGGGTTTGCGTAGACTCATTTGTACCCCCAATTATTGAGTTTGTTTTGCAATTGCTCATTTGCTCGAGGGAGTTTGATTTCACAAGCCTTGGTAGCTGAAGATTAGAGAAACTTGAAATGATTCAGACAGATTTAACTAAGAGAGTATTTATCATCTAGCAAATTTACTTGGGCATTTTCTCAACATTCGGACTTTGTATGGATAGAAAATACACAAACTTACTTCGTATGGCGCTTAATTAAAGATTTATGAGTTTTATTATTTCAAATTCGTACTCCTTTCCATATTTTAAATCGTTTCACGTTTCACTGAATTTAGGCTAGCTGCGAATTATCGCTTTATAGTTACGACTTCAACTGTTTGTTAAGTATTTTTGAGAGACAGAATGGCAAAGTAACAAGTTGTCGAGGACTTCCAGGCAGAGATGGTGAGTTATATAACATTAAAGTAAATGGTTTGAACCCAGGAGTATCGTTAAATGTTTGTAAATGTAGATCGTCCATGATGGTATAGTCCTGAGAAGGACTGTTTTTGTTGCTGTTGGCTGACGTTTCGACAACCTTGGCGGTAGTCATCTTCAGAGTCATTTGACGAAAACGTCAGTCAACAACAACAAAAACAATCCTTCTCAGGACTATACCATCCTGGACGATCTACATTTACAAACATGTAATTATACATTATTCTTTACTTTTAAAGTTGTGAAATATTTTAAGAGAATGTTTACTACCACAACGTAGCTCTATTACTACTGAATCTAATTTTTCTAAAATAACCTTACAATTTAGGACGTGATGGCAGAGATGCTTCATTGCGTGGTGAGTTTTTTTTAACAGAAGTCATTTTCTTTTTATCTGTAGTTCATGTGTGGTTAAATGTATTTCCTGGAAACTACGTTAAATCTTTTATTAACTCTTATACCCCACTTAGCTAAATAAACTATTTGATCGATTTGACAAAATAGCTATTAAACTTGTACAAATAAATTACTACCTTTTTGGCTGCGTGCCATTTACGAGTCCAGATCCTGATTTTATAGATTCTAAATACTTAGATGTTTAATTCAAACGGAACGTAAAAAATCTATTAGAGATTTTTATAGCAGGTTCTTTTCCGAAATGGTCAGAACTTTATACATGCATTTTCCATTTGTCGTGTTTTTTTTGTGATAGCAGATTGTGTTAAAGAAATGGATTAGTTATTTCAGCCTTTGTGCTTTTTTATTTGCGTAATATTTTTAATGAGTTATTAGTTTTATTATTAACGCTTTACAATATACGCGTTAATGTTATATTCGCCAAAGCATGATGTCATTGCTAAGGTGCGATAGTTAGTCTGACTGGTTTGATATTATGTGACTAAATGTATAGATTTAGATGACTTGTGACATCTTAGATTGCCTGTGCTCTTGCTTTTGGAAAAATTTGCAAATTTTTTAGAGGGTCAATAATAATCGCGATGCAAAGAAATTGATTACACCAACAATGCATCGAAATAAACAAACATGAGGTTTCAAACTTGCATTTCACATCACCTATGAACCACTATGAACGTATGACATAGCACAATAATCATATTTATACGTAACACAATCTCTTTACACATGCATTTGCTCATCACAAAAAATAAATGATATAAGAAAAATCATAAATATTGTTATGAAATTATGAAAAGTTTGACGCTTTCAAAAGTTGATAACATTGTTAAACAGTCTCTAAGCGTTATAAATAAACAATATCAATCGCTTATTGCTATCGCTAATTGGGGGGGGGGAGGGGTTCTTATTCATATATGCACGATATGCTGAATTAATGTCTTTTGAAATGTACGTATTTATAACATGTATATATGAATAAGAGGCCCCTTAATTAGCGATAGCAATACATCCCTAATTTTGCTGTGAGAAAAGGTCAGAAAACATATTAAAATGACAGAAACAAACGTTTTTTGAGCTAACAAAGACATGTAATATAATATAGCATCCATTATCCATATAGGCTTACATAGCTAAATATTTAATGGGACATAGAATTTATATTGGAAGCTTTTATAAGATTAAAGTGTTCCATACTTAAAATGTGATCATTTACAATGGTTAAGCCTGTAATGAAACTTTTTGATATTAGATATTTTTATTCAGTTTTTAACTGCATCATGTTAGAGTGATCTGTTGATTTTAAAAAAATGAGTGCACCTTCAAAAAAGTGGTATTCATTCATATATCATAAAAGTTCAAGTAAGAAGTCAATTTTTAAGTGTCCTTGTAAGGGAATCCCACGATCTACAAATTGTGGTTGTCTGGACAGCAATGGGTGTCCCATAAGCTCCCTAATTTCTAAAAGTCGTTTTTTTCGGAGATTTGAAAACTACTCCTGTCTAGGCTTCATATAGTCAAAGGTGCTAATATTAAAGTTAAATATTATAAGGTCCTCGTGGAAAGCAGGGAAAACCAGGTCCAGCTGGTCCACCAGGACCTAAAAGTAAAGCCACGTCAACCGGTGGAGTGGTCTATACAAGATGGGGAAGAAAACATTGTCCTAAAACAACGAAAACTGTTGAGATTTATTCTGGTAAGAAAATCTACGTAATTGCGATTCATGATTTAGCTACAACCAGTATAGGTTTAAGCAAGTAAAATAAGCATGGATGAGCGATAAAACTTCAGTTTCCTATTTTGAGTATTTTTAATGGTTTCAAATACAAATAAATCGGCTTTCTATTTATTTTAAGATGAAGTCTTTCCCTCATGCTTGCATCAACTCACAATCAAACAACAGACTTCTTGACTTCAAATTGCATGTCATAACTTCTTTATCACTTGTTTTTTTGCCAGACCTGCTAATGTTGACAATTCATCCGACCAATCATCAAACTTTTTTACAGCGGCTCCCCTCGTCCCTTACGCCTGTGTCAAATGCTTTGATGAATGTCATTGTTTAATCCTGTTAACGCTCTTGATTTTGTTGATTTACCTTGTGTGAATCAGGCATAAGAATTTCATTAAATATGTTCATTAGAATTTTTTATGTGCTCAGAACGTAACACTGGACAGTCATATTTCTTTTTAATTGTAAATGTTCGACGCAATATACGCGAATCGACATTTGTATCATAACCTATGTTCTTGTAAAAACCAAGTAGTCGTATTCATTAGTTGCAGTTCTCAAGCATCTTTTTATGAAAAACAGGAGCAATCGGGGGATCGTTTTATTCACACAGTGGGAGTGGATCAAATTATCTTTGTTTACCGTTGAATCCAATATACGAGAAATACGCTGCTGGTACTCAGAGTTATGCAATCATTTATGGTAGTGAATACCAGATTACTTCTGCTGAGAAACATATCTTCCCAAATCCAAACTTACACGACCGAGATGCTCCGTGCGCTGTATGTCATGCTAAGTCACGTGGTAGTCACATGATGATTCCAGCGCGCAATATCTGCCCTTCAGGATGGACCTTGGAATACAAAGGTTATTTAATGGCTGAACGTCATAATCACAAGCGATCTGAGTACATTTGTGTTGATGGCAAGCCAGAAGCAATACTTGGATCTCATGCAAATAGAGATGGAGCATTGCTATATTTTGTTGAAGGCCATTGTGGTTCTTTACCATGTCCACCATATATTCATGGAAAGGAACTGACCTGTGTAGTCTGTACTCAGTGATTTAAGGGTTTCAATGCACATATGTACGTATTTTGGGAATATCTGTAGTAACACTAAAAAAACATAATTTTGAATTTATCTAATAATAACCACATCAGTGACGGCACCATTATTTTCCTTTAAATATCCTTACATGCACTTAAGTTCAATGATAAAAATACAAGAAATGTTGATCACCAACAATTAATGACGTGCTTTCTTTATATGTAGTAAACGTAAGTTCTGAATGCTTTGCACTGATGACGTCTGTCCATAATTCAGTCTTTATCTCATGGTACTCATGGTAAAGGCAAAGTGCATAATTGTCTGGTATTTTCTGTAACCTCTTTTTACCAACATCACTTGTGATTGAATATGCAGAAGTTTACTTTTCAGTATTTGGTTGGCCTGTTCGAGAAGAAAGCTTGGTAGGCCTTTTTTCTTCAGATTTTAGGGAAAATATTTGAAGCAAGAATTATTTAAAGAAATGCGACGAGGACAAAATACCAATTTTCCAAAAAAAGCCGAAACTAAAGGAGAAGTAGTCTGCGTGTTCTTTTTATAGTTTGAAGAATTTTGTTAACTTGTCTTCCAGTCCTGTCCTTTAAGCTGTTTTTAAAGGCAACAGATCGAAATTTGATGGATTCGAAAACCAAAGTGTGTAGAAATGGCAAAACTATACAACTTGTCGTTTTTCCCAAAATTTAGAAACTAACATGCAGTAGAAATGGTGATGGAAAGCAAAATATCGCCACTTAATTAAGCAATCCTTACATTACTTCTAATTGCAGTCATGCATTTATATATTAGTGTGCAAAAATCGGAAATGAACAGGCGCAGAAAGTTGCACAGACCGCAGATGCAATTTCTCTTGGAAGTAAGAGTCTGCGCACACGTTTAAATTTGGAGACTTTACTTTCATCTTTTTCTTCTCTTCTATAAAATGTCGCGGTTAAAAGTGATTTGAAGTTTGTGCCATGGTAGCTACACTAATAAAGTTAATGGATAACCTTGCCTTTTTTAGGGCAAATTCAAAATGTTAATAAGATTTATCTACGTATTTTTTATGACAAATTTATTGTAAAAAAACCCCCGGCTACTTCGCCTCCACTTATTCTGTCATGGTAAGGAGTATTACCTCAATTGATTTTTCTATACCTACACTTTTCAACAAAGCAGTGAATTTCGCTTGCATATTCTTAAGAAAATTACCGTTATCATGTTTTGTTGGTATGACGGCCTGCATAGCAAATGTTGGTTTAACATCACCAGTTCTAGAGACGATTATCTTCCAAACAATGTTGATAAGAAAATTTGGATGCTGCTTGTTGCAAGCTGTCATGACGTCATCATCTTGTAAAGGTACATACGTCACTAATTCTGGGTATTTATTACGAAAATGGTTAAATGTTTTCAATCTGTCTTTTTTCCATTTTCCATAACACTGCAATGTTACAAAAAACTGCTGTAATTGTTTTTCTTCTTGCACATATTCCAAAAAATGTTTAAAACATGAAGATACTTCTTCATTTTTCAAACCGACTTCCAGATAAATGATTCGAGGGTTGTCTTCACAAGCATCTCCTGTTTTTGCTGCAAATGAAACAAAAGCAGCTGTAGATTTTACATGTATAAAAGTAAAATTAAAAAGGTACGCATAGCATACACATGGGTAACCTGAATTGATGAATAGATGGCAATGTCGTGAAATGAATTGATGAAAACGGTCTAAATAATATTATACACTGTTTTCGCTACTTTCTGAATATCTTTATGGAATAGAAGTACATTGCCAAAGATTCAGTTGTGATTGCAATTAACTCATATTTAATCTTGAATGTAAAGCTTCTCTAAAAGCAAGTATTTCATTTTATTCATTAGCCACAGCATGACTCGTATATAGCTATAATGTCTTTAAATTTCATTGTCATGTTCAACCTTTTTTAAAAATCCACAATGATTGTGACATTATTTGTAATTATAGAAACTTGAAAGAAAAATCCTCCTTTGATTAACTTTCTTTTCTCTTTAAACTATAAACTCATTAAAACAGAGGGACATGGTTGAGGATTGCACGTACAAAAGAGACAATTTTCATTTGTCGAAAATGACCAAGCTCCAAGCTACGCTATTTCAAACATAGAAGTCAAATTATCTCGACAACATAATTTGTGATTATCACTTTACAGTCAAACCGGATGTTCTGCTCAATTGAAGTAAAGCAATCGCTATTGAAATATTGAAAGGCAATTTACGGCGAAAGTTCCTTCGAAAGTTCAACAAAGTTTGCACATCCCTTTAGCAAATACTGAGATAGTTTGTATATTATACCATAGGTATGGTAAAAAGTCAGGTACTTGACAAACAAGACCAGTTACGTGATAAAAAATAGAGACACAAGTCAGTTGACAAACTTTATAGATACCAATTACATTCATTGTTGTTATATAATCTCAGACCAGAGCAAACAACTCAGTTGTATATTAACATGGAAGTCAGATGATCTTTTGAGACGAAATTATCAGCCTTGCATTTGTTTGCATAAACAAATTAGAAACTATTAACTGCCATAAATGACCTCTAAACCAAAAAAAACCATAAACAACATTTAAACAAAAAAGCATTGTATAAAAAACTTCAATTGTGAATTTGATTTATCATCAATTTAATTTGAACATAAATATTAGGCAACCTTTACTGTTACAAAAAATTGCTAATCAATTAGTTTGGTCACCTTGAAAAATTGAAATTTGCTTCCTAGTTACAAATCAATTTTAACACTTTTTTAACTAAACCTATTTTCATAATTTTCATAAATTCATATTACTCCATACAACTGATACAGTAATTTTTTCAGTATCAATCGATATATTTTTCCAATATACCACAGCATCCTGAGTATATCCCAAACAATGTAAATTGTTCTGATGAGCAATGTTAATGAGAAAAAATTGTGAAATTCTCATGCAAACAAAAGAACAACTAAACAAGAAAATTGTAATTGCCTCACTTGAATGGAATGAAATTTTACAAAGTTGTTCATAGCAACTTGTAATTTGTTTATAGCAACTTGTAATTTGTTCATAGCAACTTGTAATTTGTTCATAGCAAGTTGTTCAACTTGTAATTTGTTACTTCATAGGTAATTTGTTCATAGAACATTTTTCATAGCAACTTTGTAATCATAGCTTGTAATTTGTTCATAGCAACTTGTAATTTGTTCATAGCAACTTGTAATTTGTTCATAGCAACTTGTAATTAACAGCAGCACCAGATTTATAAGCAATTGCTAAGATAAATGTTTCACATCTGATTCAAATCACCTCATTTATGCCTCATTGTTCCCACATACAGTTTTATAAAATAACAACAATAAAATGCCTGCAATGGTTGGTGAATGGCTGAGTTTGTAATTTGCTTGTGCAAACCGATAAAGAGAATTTACAAATCAATCATCAATACATGCTATAAGAAAAATTAAAACATTTGTTTTAAATTTATCTGTTTTGCATGGTTGATGCTTTATACAAGAAATAAACGATGTTTTTTTGTGTTTGCACTTGATTATACAACCAAGGAGAAATTTGTGAGAACTCTCAAGCAGATGGAAATCACTGATCTGTTCTCAATTTCTTCTATACGTCTCTTCAGTTTGCATAAGACTGTGCAATACTGGTAAATATCTATTATTTGTTGAATAACAAACACTCATGCATAGAGAGACTTGACTCTGCCAGTCTAGCTTTTCTTTTATACTGTATTTACCTGACTGACTTTGACTATCTTGCTGAGTGACCTCTTCTACTGAGAATTTCATTTGAAATTCAATTCCACGACAAGCCCCTTGTATTTGATGTTTTCTAATACATTTAACCCCATCATCTTTCTCAACTTGGATTATTATATCATGAATATACAAGCCTGTAAACTTTTCTAGACGTTCGATATCGATATGGCCATCATCATTCAGTTTGCCATGAATATCTTTTCCATCTAACAAAGCCTTTTTGTCGTGTGGTAAGTTTTCAGTCAACTTGTCAAGAGTCTGGAGTAAATGTACAGTTGAAAACGACTGCTTGTCCTCGTTTAGCTCGGCTTCCAATTCAGATATTTCTGAGCGTAATTTATCAATTTCTGCTAGATACCATGATTCGGTGCGGTTGAAGTTTGAACACAAGTAGTCATCCCATCGATCGCGTTTCAGTTTAGTTTTTACACGCAAGTGAGTGGTAGAAAGACTTGAAGACACAAATTCGTCTTCCATTTTCCATGAGAACAACAAAATCAGTGAACATTATAAGTGAGTTCGCGCCAAATGGCTAAAATAAGCATGTCCCGTTTTATCCATAAGTACTGCCTGTTGACCAAAAATGTTGCGCAAAGAAAATACAGTATCATCAATAAGCACGACAACGTCAAATGGTCAAGGATCAATTTCATCGTTCAAAATTTCGAATTGAATAGTTTATATCTTTGAATCATGCTAAACACGGGGTAAGTACGAGAAGATTGCTGTAATTTGCGGCATTTCTGTCAAAGCAGAATGTTAAAAGGTTGATTGTGAAGAACAATCATTTGCTTATTTTTGAATGTCATGTCAACTGGCCTTTTTTACCTGATGAATTTCTGTATGACTAGTATTTTAGACAGTTTTATTGATTTTTATTTAAATGATCGCATTAAGAATCCTTCCTGTTTTTGTCTGAACGAAAGGCAAAGAAACCTTTATTTATGCACTCTGATGATAAAATGTAATTGTTTTAATCATACATGTATTATTTTCTCATTGGATTTTCTGTTTTTTGATCATTCATTATTCAAGTATCTGAGGTTTGCATAATAAACCAGTGCAAACATGAAAAATATCTTTCATTTCTATTACTAAATAATGATAATGCATAAACAAATGTTTGAATTTGTCCTTTTACATATATGTATTGATGATTGATTTGCAAATTGTCTTTCATGAATTTAATTGATTTAGTTCAGATTGGTTTGCACAGGCTAATACAAAGCAAACTCGACTTTAGACCAATCAATGCTAGCATTTCATTGTCTAGACTCTTTTTTCTTGTTTTCTAGAAAACTTGCTGGAAAAACAATTTTTATTAGTGGAGCAAGTCGTGGTATTGGTAAAGCTATAGCTTTAAAGGCAGCACAGGATGGAGCAAATATTGTCATTGCTGCTAAAACAGCTGAGCCGCATCCAAAGCTTCCAGGAACAATTTACACAGCTGCTGAAGAAGGTCAGTTTTTGATGTCTGTTTTGATGTACACAGACAGCAATGTTTGATGTTTAATTCTTGCAAAAGAAATTTGTTTCAATAGAATAAAAGATTTTCTTGTAGATATGCATATTGTAAAGAATTATGTGTCACTTTTGGAATTGCCAGATATTTATAGGATAGTGAGTGCTAAATATTTTTTCCTTAATCTTTTAAATATATCTGTGTATTATTTCAACAATCATAGCTATTGCTCAAAGAGGAGTTAAAAAAGTAATTCTAACCAAAATTCTGAGAAAGTACAAACTAAAGAGTAACAAACTACAATTGATTTCTCATGTACATCTTCAAAATTTCACTATGTGCCTTGTATTTTTCATTTGTAAGCAGTTCTGATGATTTTATTTTCCCCACTCTTAACTCAAGAAAATTTTTGTTCAAGATGCTTAAACTCAAGTCTTTCTTCCATTGTATTTTCAACTTTGCTCTGTTGTTAAAGTTGTGCATCTGGATTGCAGGCACATGGATTTTATTTTTGAGTGTTGACTTATGATAATGATTTGATGTCTAATTGTAACACCCATCTTTGTTTTATGTGTTGGCTCACGTGTCATCATATATATATGTTTTTCACTGTGAACATCATTCTTTATATGTAGTTGAAAAGCTGGAGGACAGTGTCTGCCATGTATAGTTGACATAATGAGATGAATCGGCCGTAAAACTGCGGTAGAAAAAGCTGTTCAAAATTTGGTGGCATTGACATTCTTGTAAATAATGCAAGTGCTATCAGCTTGACTGGAACATTGGCGACTCCTATGAAGAGGTCAGGAAGCTCATCTTTCACACAATAAACATTTAGCTATATGGTGACAGTGAAATATTAAATATTTTGCCTTACTTAGTTATTATTGATATCTTTAGTTGAAATGAGTAAGTAGTTTAAAATAAAGGCTTACTGTTTCTTGACAACTAGTAATGTCTGATAGAATTGTCAATTAACTGATATCTACACTGTTCACAGTAACAGATACTTGTCATCATAGGCTTATACGTATTTTCAAGACAATGTGAGTATTAATTTGGAGTGACAAGAATATCAACTTCGAAAGTAAATTATTATTGATGAATTATATTTAATTGAAGGCTCATTTTCAAGGATGGAAAGCTTTAAAACGCCCTATGCTCACTGCTTATAAATACGGTGCATGTGCAATGATAATAGCAATGAGCAAAGATAAATCCAATAACATAGCCATCAATTTTTAATGAAACGAATTTAAAAATAATTGAAACGGCTATAATAGATAAGGAATTGGGTCTAGAATAAGGAATTGTATCTCTAAACATAATGGCGAGAGTCTCGTGTGTGTAACTTATGTATGTACTTAGTAATGTTTATTTTTTCTCAGATACGACCTAATGAACGGTGTCAATGCCAGAGGAACATTTTTATGGTAAAAATCTTTGTTCTATTAAGTACCCAAATAGCCTAACCTATCCTACTTAGAATTACTGACTACATATTGTGTTTTTATTCATCTCATTTCTTTACGATGTTTAACTTATGTAGCTCTCAAGCGTGTATTCCATATCTGAAATTGGCCAAGAACCCTCATATTTTAAACATCAGTCCGCCATTAAACATGAAACCCCTTTGGTTTAAAGGACATGTAGGTAGGCCATCGTGTTTCATTTCAAGTAGCTCCATATACTTAGCTGTTGAGTCCGAAGGCCCCTCTTACACGTTATGTGCCGTTTATATGTAGCTTTAAGGTAGTCAACCAGTTCTGTTTTCCAGCTTTTTCAGTTTGTTCAAAACACTTTGATTCACTACATGTATTCAGTATTTTAGTGGACATTAATTGAATCAGAAGTATTAACAATGCAGTTTTTAAAATTAGTGGTGCTCATATTTATGTACTTAGCTACGTGCCCTGCGAACTATACGAGAAAAGTCAGTCACTTTTGTCAGTGAATTAAACCCGATTTTTATGTTCTGGTATTTTGATAGCATACACGATCGCTAAATATGGTATGTCCATGTGTGTTCTTGGTATGGCTGAAGAATTTAAAGATGATGGTGTAGCAGTGAACGCTCTTTGGCCAAAAACAGGTCAGTTACGTATTACAGTGTCATATAGCTAGGGGTTCATCTTAACATTGTGCTACAGGGGGTATGGCATGCATCATATAGTAGCGATCTAAATATTTTTTTTTATTTTTCTGTCACTTGAACGACTTTATAATCTTTTTATGGGCTTATTTGGTTGAGTTATTTTATGTATTTCTGTATGTAAACATATACGTGTGCTTTCTGTGCTTCCCCATTCGTGCATTTTAACATTAGTTTCCTCATCCATAGACAACTGCCCTAGAGGTTTACTTTGTGTTTCCTCATCTGTATATAAATGCCCATTATCAATATCATACTCACAGGACTTGGACAAATGCATCCCCCAACAAGTGTTGTTAATTTACCTTGTCTTGTGTAGCTATCGAGACAGCAGCAATGGAAATGCTTGCTGGTGGAGATGCGCTACAACAATGTCGTAAGACAGACATCATGAGTGATGCGGCTTATGTTGTACTAACTAGAGACAGTAAATCAAGGACTGGTGAATTTCTTATTGATGAGGATGTTTTACGCGAAGTTGGTATTACTGAATTTGAACAATATTCTTGTGTTCCCGGTAAGAAAATAATATTTTTTTTCTTTACTCGTTTCTTCAACACACTATTTTGTGAATGTTGTACCCGTCTTTCGCTAGAAACATCGAGCTATCATTATTAGAAAAATAGCGCATTAAGTTTTGTTTAAAATATGTGATTTTGACAATGTACGTAGCTACTCTCCCCTTCTATCACACTAAGAGTTTGCTGTGGTCTCGAATCTTCGATTTATAAACAATATTTTGTCACTGATTGTCAAAGAAGTTAGTGTGCACCAATTTACCACGTCCTTGGTACGTCACTTTATTTTCGGTCTTCATAAACTTTTCAAAATGTTTATGGCTTAAAGTAGCGATGTTTGTGCAACGAATGTTTTCACACCACAGTTTATGCCTTAGTTTATGCAGTAAAAACGTTAAAATGAAAATAAAGTGATAAATGGATGCTCCTTTTGCGTAAATTTTCACGCAGATAACTTATTTTATGGATTGAGTGCCTGAAGAAGAGTGGCTTCGTAACATGTCGAGTTTTTTTCCTGCTATTTTTTGACAGATTGTTTTGTTTTCATTGTATGTATTTTAAGTGATGACGAAGGCTGTGACCATCAGATTAATTTCCTACGTATGGACGTGACTTTTCCGTCTTTTTATAGGCTCAGACTTGCTTCCAGATTTTTTCCTTGATGTTGAGGATATTTCAGCGCGTGATTTTCATAAATTGAAACAAAGTAATACAAGAAAGGCTGCTGATGGTGGTAAAGATGACTGTATTTCTTCTGTGTTTGAAAAGATTCAAGGACTTTGTGATGAAAATGTTGTGGCTGGTACTCAAGCCGTCTACCAATTTAATATTACCGATCATGGGACGTGGTTTTTAGATCTCAAAACAGGAGGAGGTACTAAATTATAAAACACATTAAGTTGATGAAGAATTTTTCTGTGAATACGCGGCATTTGATCACAAATAGTGTGAAACTGTTCGAAGAAAACTTACGAATGGTGTTTTTTTGACTTATACAGATAAAGTGAGTTGCAAATTCTGTGTGAATGTATAGATGCATATTATTCATTATTTAGGAAGTGCTGGAGAAGGAGAACCTTCAACACCGGCTGATTCAATATTTTCATTGAACAAAGACAACTTTATTGCGATGTTTACTGGAAAACTTAAACCTACAGCCGCGTTTATGCAAGGAAAACTTAAAATCAAAGGAGATATGCTAAAAGCCATGAAATTGGAAAGTTTAATGAGTAAATCAAAGTTATAGCTGAAGGTGATGTTCACAGCACAACCCTATTCGCACGCACTTTTAATTTTCTCGCGTAACGAAAAAATGGAAACTTCTTTTTTCTTATGATAAATACATATGAACGTCAAAAATCTTCACTCTTTATTTTCCTGAAGCAGTACTCCGCTGACATTTTTACCGGCTTACATTTAATTCTCACAACTCAAACAGTTGTTTACTTTCTATGACACATTGACATCCAAATTTGCGGCTATTTTTTAATAAAACATTACTTTAAACCCTAAAGAACTGGATTCATTTGGTATTTGTTAGATGACAACAATAACGACCTTTCTTTGCCAAACAATCCACGCGGGATTGTTAGTTTTCTGAAAAATCTTAGGTACGCAGAGGTCACAAGAAATATCTGTTCCATGACAAAAAACTGTCAATAGTAGCTACTTTTTCATTGACAAAACGAATGTATTTGCTCACGAGAAGTTCAGAGGCCGGCTGCACGAAGGCCGAATAGCGCTATCCACTGGATAGCAAATTTTTTTGAACGTTCAAAAAATCTCTTATGAAAGAAAATTATACGATTTTAACTGTGCAATCACTGAAATAAGATATTGTTTCGAAGATTACAAAATTTCTTTGTCGCAAGAAAATATAAACACCATTTCTACAAATTTGAAAATTTTGCTATCCAATGGATAAAGCCTCGGTCACACTGCACCCGATAACGATCCGATAACGATGCAAAAAAAAATTGGCTTGTTATTCAAACTCTTGTGTGCGGTCACATTGGAGCGATAACGATAACGATTTATCGTTAGTATGTGACCATTGAATATCCTTATAGTTTATTGTTATCGTTTATCGTTATCGTCGAACCGAGGCTTGACGCTATCCAGGCTTCGTGCAACCGGCCCAGTTGTTGGTTTTCATGCATTTGCGAATGCTTACGGTACAGCAATAGGCATCAGTCGAAGGTTAATTGAAGGGGACCATATTCATATATTGATTGCTATGTTTCTTTTAAAGTTAAATTGTTTTCATGAGAAATTAGCCATGTAGGCATTGCTGAATATATGAATATAGTCCCCTTGACCAACGTTCGATTGACGCCAATGCAGGTATATATAATATATATAACCGCACATCCTGTGTCCCAAGTGCAGGAGTCACCATTTTAATACACTTTGTATATTACGCTAAGTTTGCGTGCGCAGTTTGAGCACTCTCGGATTGTGTGGAGAGTCTCATAATAAGACGTTCACTGTGTTCGCGATATGCAAAGCTCACCTTTATAGGTTTAAGCACTCTTGTGACTCTACAATACAATCCATACAATGTGTAACCGCACATCCTGTGTCCCAAGTGCAGGAGTCACCATTTTACTATGGTGATAGCCGGGAGAGCACATTGTAATACACTTTATATATATATACATCAGCTTAAGGTGTCAAGGCTTGATATTTGTTATTAGTTCGGTTTATTATATTATTGACGTGGATTGCTGTTGGCATTTTAGAGAAGACAAGTGAAGTATGTTAGACGTATTACACAATCAATATTGTGGAGGTGGTTGCCCTCAGATGTTTTCATGTTATATACAGGAGTTATTTTTCTATCTTTGTTTATAAGGCAACAAGTTTGAGCTTAGATATCGCAGCCAGCCTGACTTCCTGCCTTGCGAATATTTGGGAAATGAAAGATGGTAATGATTCAACATTTAAAGACTAATTATTTGCACATTAAATGAAGAACTTTGGTCGATACTTATGCAATATCTAATATACCCTTGATTTTCTCCAAACAAAGTCTCGTTGCTATGTACAGTAATATCCCTTGTTTATAGTCTGTATACGCCAATATCCATATCTCAATCATTGTATTGATTGATGAGTAAAATTCCGTATATAAATGTAAAATTATCTTTTTTACCTGTAGTTTCAATAATTATATCACTGTGGGAGTAATATCACATGGCTTTTTGATGTTGTACGGTTGTTATGTACGTACAAAGTATTGGAAACATTGTGTCTGTAGAATATTGTCATGATCATTTTGCCTACATTTTCTGTGTTGTTTTTGTGATAGCTAACTCCAGCAAGTTCTTTTAAGTCAATGCGTGTAATATTCTTCCATCTGTTTTACAAAAAATGCACATATTACATGAATTTGATATCAGATTAGATCTTTTAACCAACTTGTGCAATGTGTACTATAAATACCAAAATTTGTTTGCACCAGACTTCACATTAGACTGTCAATGGCTAGATAAATAATTACTCATTTGGGGTTTAAAAATACATTTCCACGTTGAGTAATACACGTAATAATGATTGTATGTACAAAGGGGGTTACCAAGGTGTGCACTGCGTCCTTACGTCGGTCATTATTCCAGCCAGATGATTAGGATTTCTCACTTGTTTCCAACCATTAAAATTACATCACGTCAATACTTAATAATGAATTCAAGAATATTTTGAGATAAGAAATGACTTCGGATCATTTTGAAGGTTTGGAAAAAGTCAAAACCCCTAATGAACTGGCTGGAATAATGGCGGCCACCATGCGCGGCACAACATGTGCGAGGACAAAAACATCAAAGGCTCCGATATGAGTGACTCTTCTGTATATTCTTATTCTGTGCTTTAGGGCTTGTCACTTGTTTTCAACCATTAAAGAAACATAACGTCATTTCTGAATAATGAGTTCGCGAATATTTCGACTTAAGAAATGACTTCGGATAATTCTCAAGGTTGGGAACAAGCAAAAAGTCCTTATCACCTGTCTGGAGTAATGGCGACCGATGTACCGGGACAACCACTGGGCACAACATGTGCGATGACAAAAACATCAAAGAGTCAGACACGAGTGACCCTTCTTTATAACCATTATTCTTTGGTATTATTAAATTAAACTTTCAAAGTTATTAAAATTAGTTTGATTCATTACGAATGGCTCAGCGTATGGCTTTAACGCAATTATAAAATCCCGGAAGCTTAATTATTTGCAGAGCCATTGAAGTTCTAATGTTTGATCTCGTGCATACAAATTATGATATTAGCAGTTTTTTAATACATTCTGTGCAAAAGACGTACGCCTGGATTAAGATGAAGAAATTGGCGTACTGCGATAATTTCATTACTCATCATCATTCTGAGCCCCCGGGTGCACACACACACTCATGTCAGCTACGTGCAAATGTACAGCGTGGCCCAAAAATGTCACCCCCACCCTATAAAAATTACTCATCTCTTCTTGAATGCGCTTTATCTTACCTCTGGAAATTAAAAATAGTTTGCTTCCATCTTAGCGATTAATTCATTGAGGTATAAATTACTTACAACGTTTATGTACAGTTCAATAACGTCAAGAATGATATTTGTATACGTGGGACATTTTTGGGGGACACCTGCATATTACATATCTTTGTTACCATCATAAAAGCTTTTCTGCTCCTGGGAATTTAAATTTCAATATTGTTGTACGTTACGTAAACGTTGCGACTTACATTTGAATAAAACTGATGAAAGTGGAGGAACATATGATGCCACTTTCTCACATACCAGCCTAAATACAAATGCTAATTTTGAAAATCGCAAACACAATTACACAATTAGTTTTATGTGAAGAAAGTTGGAACTAACATGCATACCACTCTTTCCGCACAACCTGACAGCCTTTTACTTCATTTATATTTAAAATTTATTGTTGACAAACTCTATACTGTACATGTTAATAAATATATTAATTGTGTTTGATGTTTGCCTTAAGATATAACTAGCTATTTTAATTTTTGAACAACAGACGTATGTTTAAGGTTCACAAATTCTGGCTTTTATCAGTCCTTGTATCACATCCACTAACTTATTTTCGCAAAACTAAAAAAGTAATACATAAAAACTTGATCCATCTTGGTATGTCACACTTTGGCACGAGAGGAAGTTTTCGCTGTTAGAATAATGTAGATTCTTAAGAATAAATATTCTATACTTTTTTAGTTTTCTTTTTAAGAACGTTCTAAATTATCAATATAGCAGTTGATACATCAACTACTAAACAAAATTTTTAATACAAACATGGACTAATAAGAGACAAAACAAAGTCTTTGAAATAATCTTCAGGTCTCTCACACACCTGACCGAAAAAACCTCTAAGCTGATATGAGATATTTTGTTTTTCATAGACGAAACAAACTTTAATCTGAAAATGTAAAAGGATAATACTGCAATATGAAGATTATGTGTGTTCATCCAGAATAAACATGAATTATGTTTTTATCGAGTTACATAAATATTTTTGCCCATGGACTTGCATTGATTAAACTGTCATTTAATTGTGAGAGTTTAAAGTTTATTTGAAAATTTAGATGAATCAAACGCAAGGTTTGAGCTGATGCTGTCGATTTAAAAGAACGCAAGGCGAGTAAAATTTTAAATGAAGTGGAAACTCATCTTTCAAGTAGTAATCGATCCGAACGAGATATTTTTGCATTTCGCGTTATAGTTTTTGCAGGAAAATAACCTTTTTACAATTTTCAACAAAATTGTGAAACTATTTTGCAGCTATACGTTTGCATGACTTCTAGCATCAAATTTTTCCAAATTTAAAGCAAGGGGATTGGTAACTATCACATAGCGGGCATCATGAAACACTTAAATGTCTTATCGAATGATCTAAGCGATTGGGCATGATGGTTGATGTAATGACGATTGACGTATGTCTGACATCCTTGTATGTAATACATTATGCATAGAACATAATTGTGGCGTGGAGTATGTTAAAGTGTTCGGACCATTTAAGGTATAAGTACAATATTCATTGCTCTGTTATAATATCCTGATTATTTCGGAAAATTCCTCTTTGCGTACTATTTCACAATGGCGCTTCTTGATGCCACTAATTTTCTTTCAGTATTTTGTCTCTGCTTTTTTGTGCTGAGCGTTTTAGAGTCTTCGTATGAAATGAATAACACGGTGAAAGTATACAGCACAACGATTTTCATGAATAGTACTTTTTCTAACAAGGTAAATCCGACACAGCAAACTACACCGAATACAAGAAATGATTCAGATATTCACGGAGAACTTGAGTCTCGCAGAAAGATATTTGAGAATATTTTACAAACATTGCAAGTCGATGGCGAAATGAAAGTTGAGAATCTTGAAAGTCTATTACAGAAACTGGGAATGAAAAATTGTTCAAAAGCAAGCCCATTCAAGGTAACAAAACAATATTCATTTTCACAGATTCTATTACTGTTGAAAAAAAATACGAACCGATAATAATGTGATCGTTTGTTATGTTTCACGTTAAAATAACATGACGAGCATTTCTATAGAAATCTCAAGATCTCCAAATGAAGTTTTTCATTACTAAGGGGTCGTTCTACTTTGTGTGGTACAAGTATTTCAATTTGAAAGTACGATTACATTTGCTGCAAAAAATAACCTATTGTTGCAAAAGTTATTGCACTAATCTTTATTTTGCAAAGGAGGAAACTCCTTGACTCTTGAAAAGTTATAGCTATAAAAGTATATTTAACGCACGACAGCAACTAACGAACAATTATACATTATGTAGACCAACATTTTAATATTGTGGAAACTGTTGTCACCCTGGACACAGAGTGAGATTAAACGTGGATATTGTTATTTTTAATGGCTCAGCAAGTGCGCATGCACGATAAATTAAAATTCTCCAAACAATAAAAATGATTATGCTCTTTAGTGCTGTAGGCATGAACGATTTTCTAGTTTTTTCACTAACTCTACATCCAGTTTTAAGAACTGAACGTGAAATTATGGCGAGCATGGAAATACATGGAGAAGAAAAAGAAATGCACGTAAATTATAATAAGGTTTTAAAAACGCCATGATCAACTTGTGACATCAATAAAATGATGGTATCAGCGTGGTATCAATGGTTAAGGTCTTTCATTTCCCCGCTATTCCCTCGTCACTGTATCCAAGACAAGCTGGCGTTGTTGCAATGTTAAAAAAATATCGAAAGAAACAGAGTAGGAGTATATTAGAAAAAAATAAAAGCATTATTTTTACTGGATTATTATGTACAAACGTATAATAATTGCACTATTCCAAACATTGAAATATGTAAATTCGGCACTCCACTTGAAAAAATTCCATAAAGCTCAGCTGGGCAATTTCGGCACAAGCATCTGTTGATGTGGGGCTTCCTGTCAGTGAATGTTCATAACTGAAATACTTTCTTCGTTTATGGGTGTGCAAAGATTAAGTTGGTGCGTTCCAGCTTTAATTTTTCTTCATGCATATACGCCTGACGTTTTTACTTCTGTAATTCATTTAGAGCTAGTTACTTATATATTATTTTTTTACTTTTTCTAGTCAATAGTTGAAAAGTGATTTGTGCATCACCTTTTCGTGAATATACGTACAAGTTTTACTTTCATTAATGATTGATCTCAAGTTAAGTAATTAATTTTTATTATTTTTTCATAGTGTGTATCATTGCAGTCTTTGAAAAACATCCACAGTTTGGAAGAAGATGTTGTCATCAAAGAAAGTGTTTTTTCTCAGATTTCAACAACGATTATAATTTCTTTGACTTTGCCCAAGTCAAAAACAATTTTCACAAGAGAATTTGATGCTTACGAAGAAATAAAGAAAAAATATTCCACAAGTGCAATATGTGAACAAATTGTTGATCAAATGCTGTACGATTTAAATAGAACACTTGGAATTAAGCTCGAGCGAGAGAAGGTTTGAATAATGATAATTCTATGTTTGCTTTTGAAAGGAGTTTCTGTGAAAGAAATCTTGAATGGTTTTAGATAAATATTCTTCGATAGAGAGATCTGTTTTCACTTTTTCAGCATGCCTTGTGCATGACTACTAAACTTTATGCAACATTTGGGAATTGGGAGCACAATTACTCAAACAAATAATTTTTACACGAATTTTTTGCTGCATTTTGCAGTGTTTTTCAGCAGCTGATTTGCTAGTTGACCTGAATCTTCCTATTAATGGTAATATTAAAAAGAAAATGGTCCCAAAACTACACATGGCAATCATCTCCAAACTTCTTCAAAAACAATGTATCAAAATAAAATACGAAAATCCATTACCTTGTACTTCGTATTTTGCGATCAATCTTTTTCAAGAGTACGCTCATAATAACGTTATTTACAAAGAAAGCGTTCAAGAGCTAATGAAGAACTTAAAACTTGGTCGGCAGCTCAAGAATGAAAATTACTTGCAAGAAGAGTTATCGGAAAACAAGTTTGCTAGGCGCAAAAGAAGACGTTCTTCAAATCTACGCAAAAATCAGCATGGAAATTTCTCCAATGTCTATGAAAAAGTTAGTGATAATAATTATACAGAAATAGCATTTTCTGAAGAGTTTATAATCAAAGTTATATAGTATTAAGGTTGCGTTTGTATGTGTAGGATTCACAGGATCATAGTTTAGTGCAAAAACTTTACACGGAAGATTGGATAATGTTTGCAATTGATCAAAATGGTATACTTCGTATATTTCAAAAATTTCAAATTAGATATTTCAAAGTCACACAGAAAGTCATATATAGGAAATCTGAAGTGTCAAATTCAATATGTTCATGCATCTTGCACAAAACGATTTTGAATGATCTGAAGCTAATATTTGAGGTATACTTACGAACAATAAATTTGAGATCCACATCAGACTTTATAGTGAGATAACTTTGATTTACTCATCAGATTTATAGTGAAATGACCTCGCAAAGACGAACGTCGTATCATACATACCAAAAAAAGTCATATTTGATATGTCTTCCACCTTTTCGAAAAAAGACTATGCACATAACTCAAGTGAACATCGTATATTCTTTCAATTAAGCCATGTTTATGCATGCAAAAAAATTATGATGTTATTTTTGCATCCAGGTGATATGTGGGCGAAGGAAATTGTTTTTTAGCCCACTCCATCTCCCAAGATTGATTGCTCGGCAAGACTTTTAATTGTAAAATCAGTGGTGCATGTAGACATCAAATTGTCTGCAAAAGATTTTCTGCGCTCAATTACTGTACAGTCTAAGAATGTGTAGTGAACATTATTGCTCTGAAACTTACTTTACATGGCAAGCATAGTCTGTGTATACTATCTCTAGCTTTTCTTTCAAATGCTGATTTTTTATTATCTCAAATAATTACATTAGATGAAGACATTATTATTAATAAAAACTGCTCAACATCCATATTCTCTTTCAGTGTTACTCTGTTGACGAGCTTTTCTCAATATATCACGTGAATAAACACGATGGCTTCAATATTAAACGTTTTGAAAGTTTATCAATAGCTCTTATCGATCAAATCGAAAGTAATGTGTGCGTTGATGAACACAATGATAAAGACGTAGGCAATGATGAAAACAACTACGATAAAGAAACAAAAACTCCCAATGTGGCAGGTATTTATAAAGCAAGTATTACGTTTTTGTACTCCAAACTTCAACAATCTTACACAATAGACATAAAGGTCACATGATCACGTTTGCCATCTTTTCGAAAAATTCATTACACGAAGCTTTTAAAGACATTCTTTTTGCTTGCTTTTTACATTTTATTTCAACCAGAGCATGTGCTTAATAAGAGAAATGAAAAGAATGATTGACAAGTCATATGATGTACATTAACAATGTTTAAATTAAATGAAGATATGATCTTCGCACTTTGCTGGACAATTTAAGCAATCGTCTCAGGACCTGAAAAAATCAGGTGACTCAACGGGATTCGAACCCATGACCTCTGCGGTTCATGGGTTCGAGTCCCGTTGAGTCACCTGATTTTTTCACGTCCTGAGATGATTGCTTAAATTGTCCAGCAAAGTGCGAAGATCATATCTTCATTTAATTTCAAACCGCACTGCATAAAACATTCATTAACAATGTTTGTTACTTTTACATAAAGTTTCAGTATGGGGATTTGGAGTTGCTGCTGCTTCGATTGTCAGTCTCATATCCGTTTTAATGATCATACCACTGCTACATACGTCATTCTACAAAAAATCTCTCGTGTTTCTCATTGCTTTGGCTGTGGGTACCTTGGTTGGCGATGCATTGTTTCATCTGCTTCCACGAGTATGTATTTTTTTGAAATTTCACTTCAGAAAAATATTAAATATAGAAATCACTTGGAAGGAGAAAACATTCGATTAAAAATTCAAGACGATCTTTTGTCACTAGTGAATATAGTTTGAACCCGGAAGTATCTTTATACGTTTGTAGATGTAGATTTTCCAGTATAATGGAGTCTTGTGAATGAAAGTTGGTGTACGCGATGACGTATCAGTAGTCACTTACCATTACAAAGATTTGACTATCTTTTAATCAAATTTAATTGAATTTGTCTCGCTTCAGGCAACAGGCTTCAGTTATATTGGAACTGATAAAGATCACTTTTGGAGATTTTTTTCAGTTCTTGGTGGAATTTATGGTTTTTTTATTTTTGAAACAACAGTCCATCTTGTTTTGCGACAAAAACGCACGATACAGGTAAGCTATATTGCTTGACCATTAATTAATATCATGAAGGTAGAATGCTTATAAAATTTTACCTCTGTTTTTCATTGTTAAAGTTCGCCCTTTTTACTCGTAGACAATAGCTTGAGTAAAACCATTCATCCATGCAATCGTGTATAGTAAAATTTTTCAAAAAATCATTTCTTTCTATTTGAATGCATTTATTTTATGCGTTTAAAATTGACGACAAAATTTTTAGTATAAACATTAAATCATCTTGAGTATATGAATGAAGTTAAGTAATTTATATGATTTTTCTTACTTTCGGATGGGTTTACTATCTCTATTATAATATATTAAAAACAACCAAATCATAAAATATTCAAATGTTTTCATAATTCATAGATTACAAGTAAAAAGCAAGAATGCATCGACAAAAATTTGGCGACAAAAACAGATGAAAAGAATGGAAAGAAGATGGACAATCCGATATTCATCATTTCCAACAAGGTAAACAATTATTTAGACAGTCCAACTGTAAAATATAGCATGAAAGGCTTAGGTCGTAAGCCGAGTGACAAAATAGCAATGATTGCGAAAAAATTGTTTGATATTTTATTTTTCTTACTGATTTTAAATTTCGATAAAATTTTAGCTGCGTCTTTTTTTTGCATGCGCCATGCAGTTTTCACTTATTTAAATGCCTTCGTGATTTCAGAAGCAATCACGAAGAATGACGTTTAATTAAATACTTAATTGCGAAAATTGAAAATTTAGAAAAAGCAGAATACAAATTCCCTACTTTTTTGGAATCCACCAGAAAGGATGAAATGCCGCCAATTTAATGGACTCGAAATCAATGCGTTTTTTCATTGCTTTTTACCTTCAACTAAAACACAGGAGATAAAATATCTAATAAAATATTATATTTTATGAATTTATATATCAAAAATACCTTCCCTGGCATTCCACGATCAAAGCAAAAATTTACAAGCATTACACAGCTTTATTTTCATAAAATCTTACGAAAAATTTAACCACGTTAAATCATAGAGTTATCCAGCGAGTAATATTGTAAACAATAGTTGATTTGAATTGAACAATTGCATTTGGTCAAACTTTAAAATTTATAAGAATGTCATATGAACACATGAATCAACTTCGAATAGCAATAATTATTTACATATAATATCGTCAAATTTTGTTTCATAATTGCTAGGCCTAAAACAATTTACTATAAGCAACTGTACGAATGAAGTCGAAAAAAGATTGACGACTTTTTGACAGATTTCCACATATTGGGGAGGAATTCATATATTTTTAAAGTGATCATGCAAGCCAGCCTACACAAACTAGTTTTCGGACATTAATAGCTACATGGTTGTTAAATGGCAGCTGAAAACGTTCAACTGCACGCTACGCCATATGCAGGACGTTATTGATTTCTGTATCTTAGCAACTATCGTAAAATCAACAAAATCTATATGGACATTTTGTAATTATGTTTATAGACTAGTTTTTTCAAATGAACATTCTGTGTGTTTACGAAAATATTAATTCATCGCACAAATTAAATTTTCTGTTGATGTCTTTCTACATTTTCATGCTATATTATTTTCTACAGCGCATCAATGTTGAAATACAACTTGTTTCCATTAAAAATAACACTAAACTTTGAAATTATTATCATACTATCATCATAGATATTTCTGAAATTGAACACTGTTAACTTTGAATTATTTTACTGAAAAATGAATTTAATTGATCAGAAATTTCAATATTTGAAATTGTTTAACCATGTTACAATGATGGAAAAAATTAAAGCTTATGACATATGATTTTCACAGTACACGGCAACAGGCTTATCTACTATGAAAGGAGTCATTGTTTTTTTTTTACATACTACAAGACGAATAATACAAGGTTGAGAATTTTGACAAAAGTCTGCTAGGTTGCTAGCTGTTTTTCGTATGTTCAAATGCAATTCTGAGGAGATTAAGCTCATTGAAAAAGTCAGACGATTTCTAACATTTACGGTTTCGTTTGAAAACATTCTGAAAACTGTATAGAACTTTGATTCCTTCGCTTCTCAAAGCGTTATTTTTCCAAAAAAATATGAGACAGTTTAAGGTTGCATTGATAGTTAAAAGGCATGTGTCATAGTAATGTATTACCGTTCGCATCTCTTTATTTAAATTCTTTAAGTAGGATGTTGCTTTGAGACAGATGATAATAAGTGAAGGAAATGAGCAGATAAATACACACGCAACAGCCAAAGCACATGTTGATGTTTTTTTGACTTTCATCAAAGTAGTTTTGTTTTTCATTATATCGATGCTGGATTCTGAAAAAGAAGGAACAACGACACTTTCTTGCAGATTTCTTGCAATCTTATGCAGCTTAAAGTATACGAAAAACATGACAATTAGGAGAATTGATAACAGAAATATTGACAGGAATGTTCCATCTTTTTTCTTCCAAAAACAAAGCACAACAACTGATATAATCGTCATTTGCAAAACCAACATTACCATAAACAGTCTTCGTTTAGTGACTGATCTCTCGTGGAAAAATGGGAATATCAACGCCATGTATCGCTCCACATTCATCATCAACAATGTAACAAACGAATTAGAATATAAAATTAGACGAATATAACGAACAATATTTTCATTAAGAGGTCTTTTTCCATCTTCATACAGCCGCCATATTGCACGATGCACGAGGTCGGAATGAACAAAACTAGATAGAAGAAGATCATTACAAGATAGCAGTAGAATCATAAAATAACATGTCTTGTTTCGAAGGTTTATTGAGCTTACGAAAGTCAAGATAACCATTGAGTTCAAAAATACGCCACATACTGCAAAGAACAAGTTTATTATGCAGATAATAGCCAAATGAATTTGAAAATGTGTCATCCTCTTTAATCGTATATTTGTATTTCCTGATGCTGTAATGTGGCTTAAAAAAAGAGCGACAGCATACTATTTTTCAAATGAAAGTTTTGAGACTACGTCAATAACTCCTCTTAATTTTTATACACAGATGACATAGACAAAGAAAATAGGAATTTGCATAATCGAAAAAGATGCCGTATAATCGTATAATAAGTATGGAATTAGATATACTAGATAATTAGACAATTTAGTTATAAGTGCAAACAACGGTATCGAGTTGAATACCCATTTCTTAAAAGTAACTAATGATAGCAAAGTAAAAGATAGTGAATCTTTTTACACAGTAGATATTATTTACTATGCAGTACTACAAAACTGTTTGATTGCAAATGTAAATTCAATAATTTATTTAATGAGCTGAGCAAATATTATATTTTTGCAGTACGTACAAATATTACATTCAACAAGTAAAGTTAACATTTTTGCAGTATAAGTAAAGATATATAACTTGAAAGACTAAAGCTTGGACATGATAGAACAAGCCGCAGTACTTCTCGAAACAGATGAGTACAGCTGGCATGCTATTTGCTATGGCAAGGAAAACAGAATTTTTGAAGAGAAGTACAAATATATGACAGCTTCTGAAACAAGTTTTAAATGGCAGTGTTGCAGCGAAAAAGCTGGCCAGTAGAGAAATGGGAAAGAGTGTTTTCAGATCAATCAATTTTCCAGTTAACACTGGAGGAAAAACATTAGTTACAAGGAGGTTAGGGAAGCACTCTCTTCTAGAATGAATTTTACAGAACAGGAAAATACGTGTATGGGGATGTGTGAATTGCTATTGGGGCTGCTGCCTTCATGGTGATTAAGTCGGTTAGATATTTTGAGTTGAGCTAAATACAATGGGCTGTTCTGTCGCAATATTTTGTGTTATAAAAAATCTTCTAATAATGTTTTCATTATCGTGGCTTGCAAGTACAATAATAGCCGTACAATCATCAGATAACATAATTGGTTTCGAAGGGACATTGAGCTAAGGAAAGTCAAGATAACCATCAAGTTCAAAAATACGCCATATAATGCAAAAAAATCTTATTATATACAGATGAGAACAAAGTGAATTTGAAAATATGTTTTTATTTTTTGATGCAGTACTATATGGCTTACCAAAAAAGCGACAGCAAACTATTTTTTACAATTGCATGGTTGACACTCAAGAGAACATTAATTTGAATACATACAAAGAAAATGAGAATTTCATAATCCTATCACTGTAAAAACTGATTGGTTGAAATAACCATATGATTGGTTAAAGTAACCATAAAAATATTGGTTAAAGTGGTTAAATGCATCTGAGGTAACTAATTTTTATGGTTATTTTAACCAATCAGTTTTTCCAGTGAGGGAAAACAGATGTCGTGTAACTACATAACGAGACAAATTAGTGCATAGAACGCACGGTAACATGTTGAGTATCTACTCATTAAAAATAATTTAGGGCAGCAAACTGAAATATAGTGAATTTCTTTACAGAGTAAAATATTGTTTCCTTGTACTGCAAAATTGCTAGGTTACAAATGTTAATTCGATAATTCGTATTTTGACAGTATCAGGTACAAATAAAATATTTCACAAGTAAAATAAGCTCTTTCGCAGGAAAGTAAAGACTTTTATATTCTAAAACCTGTCTGATGTTAAGAAAAGACAGCAAAAAAAACAAAACTTGGTCGTATATATATAGCAACAAATAATAAATATCAACAAATAATAAATAGCAACAAAACGTGACTTGCAAGAAAGAAGATAAATCTTTGTCTCTTTCTGGCAATTGCTAGTGAAAGCCCTGACCTAAGCCCTATTGAATATCTTTGGGACATAATGAAGAAGTTAGATAGAAAGCCTTGTAGAGTTTATTGTGGAATTTATGGCTATTATAAACATAGCCTGTTCACATCAATGATTTATTTGTGCAGCTGTGCAAATGTAAAGAGTTTTAAAATATAACGTTTCTACAATTATGATTATTTTTGTGGGGGAACTAAAACTTTTCTACAAAGCTCTTATGCACAGCATTTTTCAACTCACACACCAACAATAAAATACCAGGCTTAAGTTCCAGTAAAATTCATGTTTGCATGTTTAACATATTCCTTTCAAAACATAAAGGTTTGCATCAGTTCCATATTTCGGCCTCGCCTTGTTACTTTTAAGATGAACGAAAAAATACAATATTATTTCTTTCAATATAGATGAATGAAAAAGAAGAATCTGCTGTGGCAATGAACGGTCATAAATTTGAAATTGAAGATGATATTGATGATGAAAAGCACATTGCACCAATGGCTTGGACAGTTATTATGGGTGATACTTTGCACAACATTGCTGATGGGATTGCTATTGGTGTTGCCTTTAGTGATAATATTGCAGGGGGGATTAGCACATCCATTGCTGTATTATGTCATGAAGTTCCACATGAGCTAGGTAAATCTAAATTTACGTAAAAGCCCAAACGACCTTGCGAACTGAATGTAAAATCAAACTTTTTAGTGGCATATATCTTATGTGCCATTCATAATGACCAGTTCGTGTATTCTAAAAACAAGCTCACACTTGCACTCATTGATTGCGACTCAGAAATGGCGCTCCCACTGATCAACGGCAAATTCATTTTTCTATCAATGGCAAGGTTTTGCATAAATATTTAAAATCAAGCAGTCGATGGAGTGAAAATGCTTTCCTGGAATAATTATAAGATGATTTTCTAGCCCCTTTCAGTAAGTGTGAGCTTTTAGGATACGGTTGTCAATGTTTATATTCAGTTGACAACAGGCAAGCTATTTTTAAGATGTAGCAACATGCCACGGCGAAACGGAATTACCAACTTACATAGCATATAAGGACTAAGTAATTATTTTTTAACATGCTATAGTCAAGTGTCGTTACTACGGACACTCTAGAGACCACAAGTTGTTTGTCCGTAATGGTGGGTTGCGAAATAAATGACTCGTTTATTGTTTAAAAAGGGTTTGTTTCTAACTCGTAGTTTCAAAAATTAAATGTCCAGCACAAATCAATGATGAATTACTCAGAGATTTCTCAAGTGTTAACTCTCTACAGATAAATGGGCAATAAAGAGAAAGTAGCTATATCCTTTAGCACTAACTGAAGAAAATAGACGATTTTTAGGTCACATTCTTCTGGCCGCTATCGAAAAGCTTTTAAAAAGATAAAATTAAATGGCCGAGCAAATATTTGTGGGAAGAGAGTAAACATAGGAGTTGATATGGAACTTGAGACTCTAGGGAAGTTTAAATTAGGTATAGCTATGAAAAAGAGCGATTTACTCGTTTGTTATAGTGGAGGCTGTCAAAATAGACGATTGGGAGAACACAAAGTGTCCAAATTCTATAAAGCCAAAAATCCACAATCGTGAGAGTATATGATTTTAATGCATTTCATAACATTTTTAGTTGTTGGTGAATCTGCCGTCCGTAGGGTCCATTAGGCGAGAGTTGGTTGTTTTTGATACATCAAGAAAAACAAGATTATATAACTATATCTATTTTAACATATGTGAGTATTTTCAAACGAGAAAATATGTGGTTGTGTTTTAGGTGACTTTGTTGTGTTGCTCTCGGCGGGAATGAGTGTTCGACAAGCTGTTGTTGCCAACTTTTTGTCATCGTGTTTCTGTTTTATGGGTCTTGTACTTGGAAAGAAAATTGCTGAGATTGAAGATGCTAATTTGTGGATACTCGGCGTTACTGGAGGATTTTTCTTGTACATTGCTCTTACAAACAAAGTAAGTGTAATTTTATGTATACGCGTCAGACGTGAAAACTCGATTAACTGTAATGCTGCTGATAATCAAAGTACGTATCATTTTCTTTTTTTAGTTACCTGAGTTGATGCACGTGACTGAAGAAAGTGACCAATCAAAGATCACCTTATTTCTTCTACAGAATACTGGAGTTATAATTGGCTTTGTCTGCATGTTCTTCTTGGCTTATTACAAAAAGGAAATAAATATTTAGCTATAGTTATTGCACTTGACTGCACAATTACTTTCATTGCTTTGCTGGACAATGTTTAAATACATAATCTTTTCGTGGCTTTAGCTGTATGTTAACAATGAATAACGATAACTTAGTAATAAATAAACAACGACAAAATGGATTTATATGTATGCCAATCGTTTGAAAAAGTTTCTTCAATTTTTTTTCACAATTGCAATGATTTCAATGCTATCAAACATTTCTTTTCATGAGTATTTAGCGCCCATTTATGTTTTTGCTCTTTACTAGTTATTTTCTTATAAACATAACCACAAACATCAGCAATGAACCGAATGATGAACAAAAGAAACTTCCGTTTTTTTTTGTATTTCATCAGTCTCACGAGAATAAAAAACTTTAGATTTGTTTTTCATACTTATTTTTAGTGGAACTCCATTCATTGATGACCTCAATTTTAAACTATACGCTGAACTTGTCAGAACGCGTCTGTTAACAATAGGGCGGGCATCAAGCCGTATGTTTACAGAATTCGTCGAGCAATTTCTTCTGTTCTACATCGAATTTACATTAAAACTTCAGGATGTAATTCCTTTAAGTTAATATATTTTATATAAATTAAAATTTTCTGGGAGTAGAGTATCTGAGAGCAGAGTATAGAGTAGAGTATCCCCTTAAATTAACGCTAGCTAATCCCGCAAGTTTCATCTGAAAAGCGCATTGCATTGAGGTAATGGATTAAGGTAAAATCTTAAATTTTGCGAGCTGGAAGCTTTAAGGCGGATTTCCATTCAGTGCAAATTTTCGCGCGATCGACTTTTTGCGATCACTTTCTTTTGAACTGTGTGCAGCAGTGTGAAACTGTTCCGGTCAAGACCTTACAATTGAAAAGAAAGTGATCGGGAAAAGTCGATCGCGCGACAGTTTGCACTGAATGGAAAGCAGCCTTTAGGTTGGCTGCCTTTCTCGCTGGCTTATTCCCGAACATCAACTTCACAATAATATAGATGTGAAGATATGACTTTGACATGCTCACTAGACAATATTTAACGTCCACAAGTATGCTCAACAGGCCGACGGGCTAAACCATTTAAGTCGGTGAATGTGATTTTTAACTACATTTCTGGCAGACCCACACTGACTCCTGTAGTGAACTGAATACATGCAATGACGTTACTTCCAAGAGATTAAATGAATTAGGTCAATTGGTCTAATGTAACAAAGATGCATCAAGCAATTTAGTGACTGAATTCTGTGTAGGCTTTTTTAATCACAAAACAAGAAAATGACGGCATGCATGACGTCATATATTTGATGTAAATAATATTAAATCTTTAATTTTAGTTTAACTAGGTTTATTAAATCTACTTCATTCCGTAGCTATGTACTTGCTGGCTACCAACATGTACACACTGCGCACCTATTTTTGTAATGCACACCGTTGTATTTAATAAATGCATTGTTGTAGGAGATATACCCAAAGGTTAAGAAATGAAAAAGAAACGTATTAGAAAACATAAAGAATATTCATGATAGCTACAACAAATAATGTTATGAGAAATGGCCCCTAATTTGGACACCGTTTTTTCCCAAAACAAAACGAAATGGTAGGGGAAACCGGTTGATCCGGTAAAAACCCCTCCAATAAAAGAAAAGATCAAAAATTTAGAAAAATTTCCTTAATTTTTTGTACTCTTAAGAAGTTTCATATTTTTGTTGTTTTCAATGATCCCGATGATCCACTTCAACAAGTAGCGTAGTCAGATCGTGAGTTACGGTCGTATGCATATTTGAATTTACACGGCGAAAAAAAAGCCGGCTGATTACCCAATTGACACAGCAAATATTTTTTACTCGAGCAAAAGTAACGCAAACTTTGGTAGAGAACAAAAAATAAATGAGCTATACTAATAGCAAGAAACTAATAGCAGCCATATCTATATCATATGAAAAAATTATTCAGTACGAACGACCTGACCATTCACCGGTCGAATTGACGTCATTACTTGCAAAAAAATCATTTTTGATGTCTACTAGACTTCATTCGATTCAAAATTTCCATGTTGCTTCATTAAGACCTTCATTAATAGCTGGCTTTCACTCGTGTGTTTGGTCAGAAAATTTAATAATTGTGAAAATTTAGTTTTACGGAAATTTTTAACGGTTGAATTTGAAAATATTAACAAAAGTCGCAAGTGTAAATCTTTCAATAAGAACACTTGTTTCTTGGTGCTTTAGTTGGTCGTTCATTCATTGTCCAGTTTGTAGGCCAATAGAAATATTAATCTATGAAAAAGCACCTTATATAGTTACCAACATAATGAATATTCCAGGTTAATCAAGTGTAGACAAGTTACAAACGTATTTTGATGTTGTTGAATATGGTCGACACCTTAGCGGTAGTCATTGTTGTAGTGATCACTACAACATTATTTACCCAGAAATTCAATGAACCCTACCTACAGCATTGCAATTTTCTTTATAAACGTTAAATAAAATAAGTAAAAGGAAGTGTGTGAAAGCCAGCTATTTTCTCACAGAAAGTGACATCTTTTATTGACATTTTTTTATTTGAATGTTTTGTTGTTTGTGGTTAAAAGAAAAATAGAAATCAGGATCCTTTTAAATGTTTGGTCGAAATCCCATACAACACGTGTTACTTACCTTACAAACCACCAGACATGGATAACAATGGTTTTTCCAATACTTAGTTTATTCAGTATTCCTTAGAACGTATTTACACGATTTATTGTTCTAAATTTCAATGAAAAAATGTTCATAAATACATAAACCGTTATGTGATTGCATTCATTTTATGTTTCATCCAATTGCAACAAACAGAATGTGATTTCATGGCTAGAAGTCTACTCTTTCATAATATTTTAAAACTGCGGTCCATTTCCATATATTACCCATTTAAATGCATTCTTATGGAAACTTATAAGCAAAGAAAAAAAAATCACTACAACATCCCAATTATATCATATGGAAAGAATGATAATGCAGAGTTGATCTTATGAGAGAAACTTGACCATTTTTGGGAGGGCTATATAAAATTATCATCATTATATAAATACAACTGTATTATTGTAAAATAAAAATAAAATAAAATTTTTTGAAAAGAATCCCTGACCACTGTATTGACAATCTAGTAAACTAATTGAAGTGTTTAGCCAGCCCGCAAGTAATTAAACTCTATCCATTTCGGATCTTTACGTTATCATTTCTATGAAACATTGTTTCGTTTTCATGAAAATAATTCACATATGACGTTAATTTATGTTTAATAATTCTTAATCATAAATATTGGATGAGCAAATTCCAATATGAGAACAATTCACGACCCAAATGGAGAATTTGAAAACCTAATTAGAACAAACCTCTTTCAGTCGTTGCACTGTTAAAAAAATTACAGCAATAACGCATGCATGCATTATGATTTAAAAAATGAACATGTGTGGGATGACATGTTCGACTTGGCAAAAAGAGTGATTACCATAACATATAACTATAAGATAAGTCTATTCTCTTGAGCGAGCGTTGGTATAAATGAAAGTGCTTCCACTTTTTGTAAAAAATTTATTTTAAAATTGTATCAATAAATTGAACGTAAAAAAAAACAACTCTGACTAACCCTATCAGTGCCAACATGAAAAATGTTCGTATCAAAATTCGACAATTGCACGACTGAAGCCTGGATTGGATGACCAAAAAACATTTCCCTTAAAAACAAGAAAATCCACCAGCTATCGATGGCGGTAATATTTTATTGATTGAACATTTACAATACACCTTTGAGGTGTCGGAACAATAATAGAAGTAGTCTTAATCAATTTTACTCGTCCTCCAGGTATAAGACCTATACAAACAGAAAAAGATTAAGTAGCTATGGGGGTATTTCTTGATAAAACCATATTAAAAACCGACCAAATTAACAATAGAAGGTCGCACTCCGAAGAATTTCAAAACATTTTGCACTGTACATGCGTATCCAAACGACAAGAGACATTCACAGGAATTTTACAAACAAAACTATTCACGTCAACAATACAAAGTCTGAACAAGTATTTCTTACCTAAATCATTTTCAGATCCTGCTTCATCAGGTCTATCAAATTCAACCACAACCTGGTACAGGAAACAATAGAAAATCAAGACGTAACGAATTGTAAATCGCCAGCAAGATTCATATGAAATATAACAAAAATATAAACTCGACTTACCCAGATGTTAATAGTACCGCTTTCATCCATCGAGGCAACCTGAAATGCTATGCCACCAAAATCATCTACAGAAATCAGTGAACAGAATGAACAGTTGTCATGCATGAAAAAAGACTTTGATACAGAATTTTTTAATAATTAACTAACGTGCTGCGGTAAACAAAGGAAAAATTACAAGACGTATTTTAGTAAATTTATACCTTGAAGAGAAGAGGATTCCGGCAAAGCTTGGAGACTAAAAATAAGACAAACAAGGTGCAAAGGAGATATGGTTATAGAATCAAATATTAAATGAAGAATCCAACCTGTCCATGCGTCGTGTTATTGGTAAAATACAAATCACGGGACTCAGATGGTTTTCATTGAACAAAACCCCGGCTATAAAGTGTTAAAAAATAAGAAAGGACGAGAGAAAGCGACAACCACACAATAAAATGCAATGTCGTTGATGAAACACAGGACATGCAGTAATGAAAAATACACTAGTAAACAATTAAATGATAACTTAAGTTAAATTTTGTTTAATGTCATCATCTAACGTCATCTTACTTTTACAACTTAAACAATAAACTTAAATATTATTACACGTATCATCATCATCGCAAGGAATGTTGTGCAAGTGACCTTTTACATGTTTTTGGTTTAATGCAGTGTAGCTTACCTGTGGAAAACGTAGGTCTACGTACTATCCAATGATGATCTTTGATTTTTATTTTCTTATGAAGAGATGACGATTCACGAACATCCCAAACCACCACAGATCCATCATCCTTTCAAGGATAAAAAACAAGTGTGAACAAGTAAAAAAACAAAAACAATGGCTATCCCTAAAGTCTTTAATAAAGGGTTTTTTTAGGACAAAAAGAACTATATTTTAAGGTCAATCAAATATAGTTTTAAACACACTTACTAAGCCAGCGAAAACAAGTGACGACTTCAAAGGACTGAAACAACAAGCGTTTGGCCAAGATTCGCAAAGTAAGATTCTAGTAAATTAAATCAAATAATCGTATTGTAATGGCTGACATAATAAACAACATACAAAATTACACCAGAAAAAAAACCAACTTAATCAATGTTACTTGGTTTACCATACAACCAAATAGCATTTGAAAAATCAAAAAAATATTATTGAAAATGTTATATTATTGTAGTTATGTGAACGACCAACAAAAAATGACATACGTAACAGTTTAAGTTTACTTTTAACTATTTATCGTACGTAAACCGTACGTCGCCAGAGTTGTGTTAATGTCATTACAAATCCAAAAGTATTGCAGCAAGCATCACAATAATAAAACACTTTTTTCTAGATGAAATGTACAACTTAAATTACACAAAGCCGGAAATTAGAGATATAAGAGCCAACGAACAAGACGGAAGCACGCGGTGATCATCACTATCACCATCTTAATAACTAACACAACAAACATTGCAATGATTATTGTGACCATAGATCAATAGCAATAACATACACAATGACCATTTACAATGACCATCATAAGAGGCACCTACAATGACCATCACAAAGACCATTATAATGACTGTTACAAGACCCACTTACATTGACCATAACAAGAACATTGTAATGGCTACTACAAAGACCATTTACAATGACCATCATAAGAGGCATCTACACTGACCATCACAAAGACCACTATAATTACCCTTACAAGACCCACTAACAATGACCATCACAAGAACATTGTAATGTCTATTACAAAGACCATCTACAATGACCATCATAAGAGGCATCTACATTGACCATTGGAATTTGCAATACAGTAAAGTAATTTGGCTTCAAACCACTAACTTTTGAGGTCGACTTGGTTCATTGACGTTCCAGTAGCAAACTATTCCGCTTCTTGCAAAACAGTCTTCTTCAGTGCTGTTCTCACCATCGTCATGCGCAGTCAGCAACAAATGTGTTTGTACAGAATTAAACTTCATGTCAAGAATACGACGTCCTATGTAAAAAAACATATGATTCCTCGTCATCATCAGGTGACAAAACACGTGACACTAAAAATGTTTGTAAATACGTGTTTACAGTCTTGAAGGCAATACCAATGATTCTTTACTTATGTAAACAAATGAACAAACCGTCCCAAATAAGAGGCGAAACATATTTCTTAATCCCTAGGTAAAGTTTTATAAAGTACGGAAATCATTCATTCAGTTATAGCTTAATTTTATATTACCTTCAAGAAAAGAAAGTTTCCTTGCAAGTTGAATAAATCCATCGCTGATATTCAAATCGTTTTTTTCTTTGAACATCACATCTTTTCTGGCAGAGACTTTTTCTTCCAACAGAATCAGACATACCTAATAAAAATTAAATTTACAAAAATACTCATACAATAACTAAACGGTATCGACTTTCATAAGTACTATCACACATATATATATGTAACCAGCTGAGTTTCAACAGCTCAATCAAAATGATAAGAGTTGATCTTAGATGAAGTAAGTATCTCAAAAAAGTTGTATTTTCCAAGCTCAAAAATGTACCTATTTACACAAGATTTGAGCAATAGTTTTCTAGTTGTACCTGTCCGGCTTGTTGTAAAAAGTTTGTCAGACGAATACTGTCAAAAGAAAGAGATGTAAAATCCTGCTCTTGAAGATTATGTTCTTTCGGATTTTCATCATCGTCTATAAATAATTATACAAGATTGATACGATATCAGCTATACTTTGGCAACGACATATTGCATATTTACAACTTTTCATAGTTTCTTCCATCATATATCATGTACACGTATCGTGCATGGATATTAAAAAATCCAATAATTCAACATGATATAAGGATTAATTTGCGATGCATTGCCAAAGTTAATTTAGTCCACAACGAGGACTTACGCAGCTTTTTATCAATCATATCATGGTTCAAGTGCTTATTACTTACATAACTGAATGCATGTATAAAGCAACAACAAAATATAAGCCTTTATTTTTTTACAAATTCAAATGCCTTTCCTAATATCTGATTGGCTGTAGCAGTGAGCGGAATTCTGTGATATCTGACCGCGGTCCAGAATCCTACAGCTAAATAGCTACTTGAAAGAAGCGTTGTTTTGCTATGTTTTGTTTTGAAAAGGCAATTATTGGCCTATTTGATTGTAATCATCTATTTTAAGTGAATTTTAAGTTTTTTATAGTAAAATGAACATTGGGGGAGGCTAATATTCATTAATCCATTGTATGCTGTGTTAAGTTTCTTTTAACTTCATTGTTTTTACTGACTACAACATGCATGCATATGAATATGAGTCCCCCTTCTCTGACAATTATCGACCTTCCAGTACGGTCACGTGTACCCACCTCCCGATCCCTTGAAATCATCGGGTGGATATTGCGTCCATTTTGTGCGGGTCTCAATAAAGTCAGTCTGCAGTTCCTTCTCAATTACATCTTCACGACATTGTACGTATGCCTAGATTAAAGACAAAATAAACTGATCATTCAGGTTAAAATGTGTTTGCACCAAAGGTATCAAATGTAGACAATTTATCGTCAACTGTGATCAGTTGTATGTGAAGATGTAAAAAAATCATCCTATAAAGAGATCAGCTACAAGATAATTTATCCTGACATCAACTGAAAGATGGCTTATATCTTGTACAACGATCAGCTGCAAGGTGGTTAATCGGATAGCATGATCAGCTATAGGATCGTTAACCATGTGCTTATTCAGGGTGTAAGAATATGTATTTTGTATCAATAGACGTAGGAGGAGGGGCGTTATGTATTATGAGAAATTGTGTGCTTTATTGAAAGCATTAGTTAATCTTTGAAAAAACGTGTATTGGTTGCAGAGAAAATTGCTGGAATCTAAAAGAACATTTAACTCAAATTTAATATAACTAAGCATTTATCAAAAAAATAGTTTTTTAAAATGAACTTGACAGAAATTCATAAAGTAAGAATAAAGAAGTTATGGATCAAATCCATCACAATGAAATTCTTCTTTAAAATGAGGAATTTTGAGCTAAATTCGTGAAAGAATTTCTAAATCTAACCTGTTTACAATCAGACTGACCATAACTTTTTATATATAGTTCATATTCATTTAGAGGTGGGAGATCAAATATATCAAATGAAGCCACATCAAGTTCAATGAGGTGCAATAATTCCTAAACAGAATGTTAAATAAATGAAGATTAAAACGTGACAGTTGTTTGGATAGAGATGGTGTGAACAAAACTTAGGAAATGAATATTGACACGTGACAGATGTTAAGATAGAGATGGTGTGAATAAAATTTAGGAAATGAATATTGACACGTGACAGATGTTAGGATAGAGATGGTGCTAATAAAATTTAGGAAATGAAGATTAACACGTGACAGAAATGGATAGAAATGGCGTTATGAACACATTCTGACATCTGACAAACAAGGAAAGTGAATATAAACTAATTTCATTTCCCAACGATTGTTTAAGTGTTTTCAACACTGCGATTTTTTCATCCGAGTAACAACTATCTTACTTTTGCTCGTTTCTTCGTCTTAGATACAATAATATCTGTCGCGTGTTTTTGTTTTGCAGCAAAAAAATTTATTCTGCCGTGTGGTTCACCATTATTATTATTTTTTGATTTTTCGATTATCTACAAAAAAATAAAGATAGCTGTTTCTAGTCCACTACTAATTTTTAACTGTTCCCATAAAGCTCAACACCTCTTCACTCTAGATAAACAGTCTTTTATATGATAGTAAATCCCTTTATTCTATCCAAAAAATATTCAATTTACTCATTCCGCTTGTTTGGTTTCATCCCCTTCCTTCCCGCACTCCTACAGTTTTAGCATTTACATAGCTCAACATTTTTTTGTGGCGTCTTTGTTTCACCTTCCTTTGAGACAAAATCGTCTCCTTTCATTTTCAAACCCCTACTCTACAAAACGTTTTCTTCTTTTGCGATTAAATCCTTCGTCAGTTCAATTCTTCTACTTCATTCACTCTCGCTGTTCTTGTCAATAAATCCTAATTACGTACATGCATCATGACATTCACAGAGATTCCCAATTATGCAAAGAAAGTTTATAAAATTTACGTAACGCAGTGGACGAGAATATACGTATATCCTAGAAGAAGTGTAATAGATTGAAAATAAACGTTTATTACCTCAACATCTTTTTTTCGTACAGATCTTATGTCGTTGTTTTCAGCATTGATAGCTTCAAAAATCTTAATGAAGAAGATTATGATAACAAAATTAGAAGATGATCAGCGAGAGCATAGATTAATACAGCCATTTATTTACAAACTACACAAACATAGATTTAAAGATTTTAAGTTTGAAATTTCAACCAAGAGCATGTGAAACATGAATAACAGCCTAAGAAAGTGTACCTCGAAAAGTTTTCCTTTATCCTAAAAAAAATAATTTAAGAAAGATGACATAATAAACTCGCAATGGTATACGTTAACAGGAACTTCTTTGGTTTTCGTGTAATTTAGAGTGAATAATTTGCCATTTATAAATAAAATTGTGAAACCTACCTCCTTGTGTTCGCTTTGATCATCATCAATGTCAGCATCTTCATCATCATCTTCAAAATCATCTTCATAATCCTAAAAATGAGGGAAAATTGGGTTTCATTAGGTGAGTGAACTTATGCATGTCACCTTTCCATGATAAGCCCATAATAAAACATGTAAAATTTCTGTAATGTCAGTTACCCATGTCAATTAAACATGTCATTTACACATGTTAGTTACACATGACTGTGTTATAAATATCAGTTAAACATGTCACAGTTAAACATGTCAAGGTTAAACAGGTCAGTTACACATGATAATAACTCAATGTCAACTTAACATGTCAGTTCAACATTCAGTAAAAAATAGCAGACTGAATAAAAATGTTGGTCAGGAGAAGATCCTGTGTTGAAGTAAGCCGATGAAGTTTCATTCAATCCAAGTTGACTAACACAAATACATTATCCATACACAGAAATTTGTGAAGTCGTCTGAAATTTGAATCTAACCTCAAAGTCATCCTCATAATTTTCATTACTGTCTTCATTTTGAATGTCTTCATCAACTTCAGTCGCATTTTTGTTTGCTAAAGTGTCGTTGTTAATCTGCGTAGATAAAATCCATATCATTAATTCGCATTACACATGCAATAAACCAAAGCAGGCGTTGGTGGTAGTGGTCAGAAATCCAGAGCTTAAAATGAATCATAAATTTAGTATAGAATGTTAAAATTTAGAGTAACCTCGAACAGTGTCGTGGTCAGCCTTTTAGTCCAATGATGTTCTTTAAATATTGGATCATTCGATGCATTTGTTTATATGTAAATCTATTATTTTTACAGTGAGTGAGCAACGAAATGTTTTCAAAACCAATGGCAAAGCCAGCCCAAACTTTTATCAAACAAATTATTGTTTATTACTAAGGAAATGACTACCATTCATTATTTTTCCAGTGAGTGAAAGCAAAGATTATTTGCATTGTAGGAAAAAAAAGCGCTACCTTTGCGACTGAGCACGACTAAAATTACAAGATTTGATCTTAATATCGTGAATTATTTAAATAAAATATTTTAGAGTATTATACATTTCTCAAAACGTCTTACCAAAAAAGTGTTCCTACCTGATCTTGCACGCTTGATTTTCTTTCTTTTTTATCATCTTTCAAACTTTCAAGACGATTCCTACTTCTTGTATCTTTCTGTTTTGCTGGATCATAATCACCATCATTTTTTTCTCTTCTTTTTCTACCACCTTCATTATATCCAAGATTGTGGTCTTTATCAGTTTTCTCGCGTTCATTATAATCAATTTTTTGTTTTTCTTTATGCTTTTCATCTTTATCCCGTCGTCTTTCTTTTTTATTTTCATTGAATTCATGTTCATCCTGTCTTCCTCTACCATCCTCAAAAATTTTCCTTTTCCCCTTTTCCCGTTCCTCTTCATCCACTCTACTTCTGTGTTTTCCATTTCCTTCACTTCGATCGTGCCATGTATCAATATCTCTTCGATGTCCACTTTTGTCTTTAACTCTTTCATCCTTCTCTCGTCTTCGAATGTCATTTCCGTATAGGCTACCTTTATTGATACGGGGATCTTTTCTTTTTTCTTTATAACTATCGTGTCTGTCTCGCAGTCTTTGTTCGGTTCCACTGTCATCTTTTTCACGTTTATCTTTGTCATGGTGTGATTCCATTTTTCTCCTTTCTTTGGCTTCTCCATCAAATGGTCGTTCATTGATATCTTCTGAAACTGTAGCCTTTCCTTCATCTCTAGAACTTTTCCTTTCTCTTCTGTCTTCCTTTTGTCCTTTTTTCTGGAGTACTTTCTTATCTTTACTTTCTTCAACATTATACCTCCTATCACCATCATGTCTCCTTTCACCATTATGCCTTCTTCCACCATCATGTCTCCTTTCACTATCATGTCTCCTCTCACCATCGTGTCTTCTTTCACCATCGTGTCTTCTTTCACCATCCTTCCTCCTATCACTTCCATGATTCCTTTCACTATCACGCCTCCTTTCTCTATCATGACTATGCTCACCAACACGCCTCTTTTCACTATAATGCCTACTTTCATCTCCATGAATTTTTTCACTTTCATACCTCTTTTCATCACCATGCTTTCTTTCATCTCTATGTTTCTTGTCACCATCAAGTTTTTGTCCACTTTCTTTTTTTTTATCTTTTTCTCTTTTCCTTGAATGTTGATCTTCTTCACTTTTATGTGGTTTCTCTTTAAATCTTTGTCTATCAAAATTTTCAACATTATGTTCGTCATCATCCCTAAGCCTCCTCTCCTTTTGGCCACTTGTTTCTTTAGAATACTTTTCATGTTTCCTATTTTTCTCTTGAAATCTTTCATCATGATATCCAATATCTTCTTTCTCCCTCTTTTCCATTTTTTTCTTAAATCTTTCCTGACTCCCATCACCATCATCTGGCTGTTTCCTGTTTTTTCTCTCCCTTGTTCTCAGACTTCCACTCGTACCATTGATCTCTGTTAAATCTTTGCCTTTATATCTCTCTGATTTTTCATGTCTACCATCCTATTAGGCAAAATTATCACTATTGAAGGTACTATAGATCATGTTATGTGAAGAAAAATAATTTTTTGGGTTGACTATGCAACAAATTTAACTTAAATTAAATCAAAGTTATGAGGGAAAATGGCATGATGTCAATGACTATTATCATATTTACTGATAATTCCACAAAAAATTCTCGCAAATGCAAAGTAACATGAACAAATTATCATGTAAACACACAATTTTACAAGAAATTCAATAAGGGATAAAATTAATAACTTGATCAATTTTGATCAAAACTTTCTTTACCATATCATCAGTCCCCTTGTGTTTTGAATCCTTCTTTCTCTGCAAATGCGAGTCTTTTCCAGAATCTTTTGTTTGCTTTGCTGTATTCCCCTAGAATGTAGGCAAACTGGTGTCTTCATTCAGTATAGTTTTCAAATTTGATAAATGGATACTACATTGTCAATGGTTTAACAATGCTTCCCATAGAAAAATTGTTACCAGAATTTATAACGCACACACCTGTATTGCATCGGCCAAATCTTTCTCTGTCCATGTATCTTCTTTGCTCTTACTCTAAAAAATGGAAGCATAAAATTAAGAATAATTTTTGACGAGATGTTGTTGATGTTAACGAACAGTTATTTGTAATTTAAAAATATCGTTGTAAAACTTTTTATATACATACTTTTCGTAACGACATTATTTGATAAAAAATCCCATTTTCTAACGTCTTTCTGAAAATCAAAAGCTTTATATATCTGAGCACGTATGAAAACACAGTAACACAAATATATTTTGATGTTTGACAAATGACAAGTTTGCTTTATTTTGCCGCCATAGTGACAGACACCCGATTCATTTAAGAAATACGTCATGTTACTGTGATCACATTAAATCTCGCATGCTTGGAAAACGTCAGTCAACAGAATGTCAACACCTACACCAAAACAGTTCTCGCAGGACACCACCAAACTTGACGATCTAATTCTACCAACATATAATGGTGGACTGTATTTTAAGATACTCGAAGAACATGAAAATATTTGACGACAAATTAACAACGTTTAGTCGCTCATGATCTTCCTTCGTCAAAGTTAATGTGGATGATTAACAGTAACAGTACATAACGGCTAAGTGGCAACAGGTGATGGTTGATGACATTATGTGATAATAAATGACAATGGTCTAGTATAATTGATATTAGGTAATGGTGGTGACTGTAGATGATGGTAGGTTGCCCCAGTTGACTTCCTTGACTAGGGGTGACCGGTGACGGTAGTTGACGGTAGATGAGGGTAGGTTACAGTGGATTACGATAAATAACAATAGATAACAGTAGATTAAAGTGAATTACAGTAGACGGACGGTACACGACAGTAAATGATAAGTAGGTGACGGTAGGTTACATTTGGTCACAGTAGATTATGTTAGCTTGTGGTAAACGATACGTAATAGTAGATTATTGAAGATGAAAATTGATGGTGGTAGTTGTCAGTAGGTTACTGAGGGTGACAATAGGATACTGAACACTATAGACAATGGATGACGGTAGAGAAAGAACAGAAGGTGACGATGACAATGTTATTAATACATGTTGCTTCCTCCAAATTGGCGTATGTAGAATATGGAATTATAACCAAAATTTGTTGGCATAAAAAATCATGCTTGGTAACAAATTGCTATTTACGTATCCATCAATTTTACTAAGTTAATTCAACAATCTCCAAGAATATTGTTAAAAGCGTGAACAACATTGTCAGGCTTTATTGACATAGTACAGCACAAAATTGCTGCAAACTTGTTCTCAACAATCTTTAGCAAAGTTAATGACGTCTTGCGACTATTTATATGATTGAAACCATTTCAACAGTCGACCTCTCCCCCGTCCAACACAGGCACACACGTCAAAAAATGCTCCGCCGTCATTAAACTTCACAAACATAACGCATTAGCAATGCTTGTCACATTCATAGCCTTATTATAGGTTCAGTTTTTTTATTTTGCAATTGCATATGTTATTATAAGTACAGCTTACGTACAGTGCAGAATAACAGATCACTTTTGATGAATGACAAAGTTGGAAAGTGTGAGCAAACCAAGTTATGTATGAAGGTACATTTTTTTCATCTTGCGAAACTCAGTTAATTCACAACAAAAAAACTATACATTCAATATACATTCACTATACAATCCGCTGTACATTCAAACAAGATCTTTGTGTTCTTCAATAAATTTCTTTAAAATTATAACGTCCAACAAAATAAGAAGATAGTCCACGCCATCAGTTCCCTGGAAAAATAAATGTAAAATGTAATCTCAAGGTTTAGTTTGGCGCACGGAAACTACGGAATATCGTATGAGTTGGGCGAAATGGGAATGGTTATTACATTAGTCAAACAGCAAGCATGATAAAGATGGTGTTTCCAAGATACACGTTAATTACCATGCATGACCTAAACAATATACCGACAGAGCTCTTCCGATAGACTTCTTCCGTGATTATACAAACACTTTCTAAACGAATGCGTTTACAAAAATCGTATTTTTCAGAAAATCACAAACCTTTTTTAACCGCATCAACTTGTGATCCTTAAATTCTGTTAATTGAGCTCGAAGTGCTGCATCGCTATTTACAAGAAAAGCCTCGCGACACTTTGTGTAACAATCGGAAAACGACATTCCTAGAGATAGAAACTTGGCTATTAAATGTAGTCTATATTGGTATTAACTAATCTTATTCAGTAGACATGGACTAACCAACATAATTTACTTCGTTTGAACGTTCCAATTGATAATTTCCAATGAGCAGGAATATACCTTTCGCATTCGCGGTTAAACTTTGAAATACGTGAATTAATGAGCTAAGGCCCATTGATCCAGATTGTTGAACCAACAAAGAATTTTCATAAGAAGTTTCTTCAGTATAAGGCTCAAACGTTGTAACATCATACCACAACCAGTTAAAACGGCCCATTTGGGATTGATCCCAAACTACACGTAAACAAATCAAACTTGTTGTTGTCACAGAATCGATTTTAGTAAAGGTGAAAAAAATTGTTGTCATTCAATTTGTTTACTTACTAAGAGGTGCATGTATATGATCTATAGACGCTATAACAAAAATAGACGAGCATTGTGCAAGTAGGCTGATAATCGTTTGAGTCTATATGAAAATATAAAGTAATTTTATAAAACATTTATACATGAAATAGGCTTGGACTACAGGGGCCTGATTCAGTCTTACGTTGTATATGCGATATAGCCCAAAAAATGTCAAAGAAAATGACTGCAAAGTATTACATGGCGTTTTTCATTATTAGGCTCATCACCGAGTCATAATGACTTAGAATTTAAGCAATGAAGCCAGACTGCCTTTAAAACAAAGTTCTACAAGTTCAAATGTTCACATTAATAGCAAGATCATCTTTCATGCTTCAATGTATGTGGTACAAATGGCAGGCACGCTTTGAACAGTCGAAGAAAAATTTTCATTGATTTAGGGACATTGTGTCGACAAAACGTATATTTTGCGAACTTGCAACATGATCTTTAGAGGGCAAAATAAAAATTGAACTCAAGAAAAAGTGAATGTTTTCGTATATTATTCGACTACTTCATGTATGACAAATAACAAATAATCGCCAGCTGATCTCACGTCTTGCACAACTTCCTTCGACAGCATAAATATCATGCAAACTATATTTAGCTGTTCACATGAACTAATGGAACCTGGTTGCAAAGTTCATTTGCTCACAAATTGGTGCAAAACTTACCGAACTTGATCTCAACATTGTCCCATCTATATTGTGAATGGTTAAATATAATTCTTCATCCTTATTTTGTTCAAAGTAATCAGTGATAAATGCACAATGTTCAACAAGATTTTTGAACGTTTCATCGTGTTCAAGAACATCATTCGTGATGGTATTGAGAATCTGCGTAAAACACAAAACCTTAAGAATACACGTACGCAATTACTTCATGTAAAATATTACAAAGGCTCTATGAAAAAAGTTCTTTCGAGAGTATACTTCATTTAATGAAATATTTAATTATATTTATCAACTAACGCTTTTTATAGTGACGCTCGGGAAAAATCCATTGACAACCATTTGCATACGTTGTGAGAGCATTTTTTCTCGAAACTGATCAATGACGGTTCGTTTGGATCCAAGGCCATAAAGTAGCAAATTGAAACCGTTTCTAAAATAGAGTATTATTATCGACTTAATAACAGCACATTGAATCCATTGATACTTGATAACAAGAAATGTGGAGGAAAAAATATACTGAAATATAATAACATCACAATTCTCACCGTAGTTGAAACATCCATTTTGGAAAGTACGTTTTATATTCATTGAACAATCTTAATCGCTCATTTTGATGATCTCCGATTCTGAATTTCAGTACAGAGGACAGCGTCTGGATGAAGAACCATGTAGATGAGATGACATACGAAAATAGCGTTTGCTAATTTTGTTAAAAGATGACAAACAAGAAATACTAATCCATATGAATCAAGTACGTAGCTTATACGTGTATACATACGTATACGTATTACGCTCGCTGCGCTTGCGCAGTTTGAGCGCTCTCGGATTGTGTAGAAAGTCTCATAAAGAGACGTTCACCGCTTTCGCTTTATGCAAAGCTCGCCTTCATAGGTTTGAGCGCTCTGATGACTCTACAAAACAATCCATACAATGTGTAACCGTACATCCTGTGTCCCACGTGCAGGAGTCCCCATTTTACTATGGTGATAGCCGGGAAGGCACATTGTTATACACTTTGTACGTATACGTATTATGTACATACATGATTTCATACAGTACCACCTTAAGATAATATCACTTTAAAAGTGTATGCGAATATAAACTCCGGATTGTTTTACGACGATGGTCATTAAAAAACACTTTAAATTCACGATTCACATCGTAAAAAAAATCATATAATGACGTAATCAACAATTGCGTGAAGTACAAATAAGATAAACTTTATGGTCCAATCAAACCTCTGGATCCATTCTTGGAGTAGGAAGACTTGAGAGGGTTCTGTCTGACGTTAAACAATCCCTTTCATCGTGTGCAAGAAAGTATTCATCTAGCATTCCTTCCTAAATAAATCAAACTATTTAGTATAAACTAAACTGGAGAGAGAGCGGGTGTTTGCATGTAATGGCCATAAAAAATGGCGAACTCTTAAATACAAGACTTTTACCACACAAACGAGAATTTCACTGCAGAAAGGACTCAGGATTTTTTGTCATAACGTGCTCATTTCTGATGCCATTTAAAGTGCCTACACTACGTCTACATTTTCTTCTGGACGTTGTATATACTACGTAAAACACGAGGCAACACAAAAACCATCCTCCAAAAAAAAATTTTGATGACATACCATATTATTTTTTTTATCGCTCCTATTGTTCATTGTTCTATATTTAACACGAAAAAAACAATTTACTTCTTAATTTCTACTAGGGTATTACGTATAAGACGACATTAAAAATATTATGGCCAGTGTATTCACAATCATCCAAATTGTTACTCTACAGTACTTACGTAGCAACGTTTTTCCTCAATTCTTCCATTTCATCATCATTATCAGATTCCAAATGAGAACTTTCATCAGAGGAACCATTGCTTTCTAACAAGAAGACCAATTGATTAGAAGAAAGTTTTTGAAAACACTATCAAATATTCAAAAAGATCTAATTATGACTTACTACGAGTATTTTCTCCTCTGATTCTTGTTTTAGGAGTTTTGGTATGTTGTGCTGCAGATGCTAGTATATCAAAAAAGAATAACAAAAAGTGGAAATAATACGTAAAATACATACCTATAAACTATATTTCTTTAGATAATTCATTCATACTTCATTTTAATACAAACCTGCAGTTGCCAGAGCAGTTTTTCGTTTTGTTTTCTGAAAACTGAAAACATTGTGACTAGATATTGGTGTACAACTTAGGACGGCTTTAAAAAAGAAAGACTATTTGTTATAGAAATAGGTATATCATTGAGAACAGATTCTTAAATGTACAGAACTGTACATAAAAAAAAAATTACAAGGGCAAGCATTTACCATAAAATTGTAATTTAAATTTCATGAACTATGATTGAGTCTCCAACACCTTTCCTTTCTCATGCAACATCGTAGTTCTTGTGTATATCAAACACAAAAAATGTTCTGGTTGTAAAATTTATAGGCATGGAAATCTTGTTATTTTCCATCCAGTGCTAGGAGGAAGGGGAGGAGGGGGGAATCAGGGGCAATTTCCCAAAAACATTTTTAACCACAGTCCTGGAATTTCATTCTTCAAACATTTTTTCTTTGATTTTCTTCAATGTATTTAGGACAATTCTTTCCTCTTTACTATTTAATAACTAAAATTACATTAACACAAGAAAGTATGCTAGTTGCACATTGCACCTGAAATTACATAATAACTTAGACTCAGAAGAATTCAGAGGTTGAAAGCAAGATCTTACAGTGTTGCTTGGTTCAACTATTGAAATTTTGAAGGCTTTCTTGGAAAATTATGATTGATCATGTTCAGTTGTCTTTCTTTTAAAATAATTTTGCAAAGGCAATTTACTGCAAACATACCTTTGCCTGATACATGCATGAATTCAATTTCATCATCTGAACTACTGTCCAATGCAACTGTTTCATAGTAGAGAGAAGCACGATCATCAACCAATTCCAAAGATTTCAGTTCTTTCCTAGCAGATCTTAATCCTAAGAAATAATTCAACAGAAAACATAAACAAATGGGAGAGCAGCCATTTAATACAGAAATGAGCATTTTGACATCAGCATTCACATCAGTTGGCTAAGCAGTGATCCTATTCTATTTCATACTTAATCTTCTTATGAAGAACATTAAGGTGTTAAACATCTACAACTCTGAGAGCACATGCCACTATTATGATAGTGATGATAAAAATACCATCTACATGGCAAAAGTTGACGCTTGTGAGAGAAGTCAGTTAAAGTCATGGATCATGCCTAAGTGTTCTCTGTCCAAGATACGACAGTGTAGGGACCGTTGGCATACAACATTAACACGTGCATACTTTCACCTGTTCTTCGGGGTGTAAAACATTGCTTGACATCGTCATCGTCAATAAATACGATAGGCATATCTTTTTCAATAGAGTTTGCCATTTTTCAATGATATAGCCATTATTGTTGACCAGAGAACAAAAAGTAAACCAGTACCATTTGAACTAGACTCGGTCACCACTCATCATTACATCACACATCTGTCTTTACATCTACTGATGTATGTCAACATCGTACTGTATGCGCTGAGCATGCGCTGTTTAGACCAAAATAACAATTTACAGGTTACACGTCGAACGTAGTGACTGCCATTTTGTCATATATTTTATTCAAAGTTTTTCCTGCTCGTCAACTGTAAAAAGTCGTGTCTGTTTTTCGTGTCTCTTTGGAACGTATGTTTGTTCACAAGGAGCGGTTGTGTTACTCTTTGTAATTACTCGATCGAAGGTATTTAAAAAAGTAATTGCTATTTTTATTTTTTTTGAATTAGCAGATATCAGCTTTGAAATTTAAATCTGCGTACGTGTAAATTGCATAATGCGAAGCTTAACAGGTTTTACTAAACTTTTTTTCTAAATTTGAGCTGTTTCAAAGTCCAAACTACTATTTTTAGAATGAGCGATAGAAGGAAGAAAGCAAGAATGATGTCAGAATCAGATTTTGATGATGATATTGTTACATTGAGATTTATCATGAATGGAAAGGTAATTCACTCAAAAGTAAAAAAGCAAATGCCATTTTGAGCAGTGAAAATCATTTGGATAGCAGGTTGTTGCCATAAAGTTATTAAAGAAATCTTTATTTTAGAATATCCATGCTTTAATTTTTCATGTTTTTGCATATTCTTTATCTGTTCCCTTTCAATTTGTTCCACCAATGATAAGGTCTTTACTCTGACTGGAAAATTGAGTGGTTTTTACTTAGGGAAAGGAGCTAAGACCTTTCCTGAAAGAGACTTTGAGGCCATGGGTTGCAAATTTGAATAATCAACGCATTTCAAATATGTATCCACGTTTTAGCATAATTATCACCATTGTCTTTTTAATCTTGATCAGCTCCTTTATTTTTACTTCCTCATTTTATTCACAATAATTTAGACCACTAGCATATTACACCTTTTCTTTGCATCATTAGTTTTTTGTGGGTAGCCTCTGCGCATGCGCACTATGTTACAATAAAATTCCATGTGTTGGTTTCATGTCCACAGAATCTGCACCTTATTGTAGGTGCATCACAACCACACTCTAAATGTAGGCAGAATTTATAAGATATATGGCGTCTAACCCTTATTGAACTCACATTGTTAGTTGTTATAAGTTTGTCAAAATAAACTTCCACTATTTTCACTGAATCTTGTTCAGCAAATTATCATGATACGTATGGGGTAAGATATTCAATTTGAAGTAGTTATAAGTTCAATTTATGGCATTTGTTGTCTACGACCAACTTACAGATGCTTTCAACAAGTATAGAAATGTTGAAATGCCTTATTATTATGCTGAATAATCTGAATTCACTGGTATTTTCATTATTTGGCCACAGTCAGTTAATGAAAATGTATCTACCATTAGTATTTTAAATGCTTATTTACGATTACTGTCTATATATTTGACTTTGCACTGATACAGCTCTGAATGATACATGTCAACATAGTTAATATTGCATAATATTACAAAGCATACACATACACAACATAACATGATTGGAATTTGGTATTTCGGAACAACACAAAATGTTTGCAACAGGTTTGATTGAGCAGGCATTATTTTTAAGTGTGGTGAGTGGTGTGGCAGTGTGGCTGCAGGCTGAGAAAATTGGATCAGGGTTATTTTATATCTCTGAGGTTAAGCAAGACAAGACAGTTGTTGAGATCAAACCTGCCGATAACATTCTATGCACTATCTTTACTATGCTATAATTTACAAATACTTCAATCAATTTCGTAAACCCCCACAAATATTTTCAAGTCTGCTACTACTAGCAGAAGTTCAAATCATCAAGATAAACTAAGTAGTCAATCAATGAATTAAATGTTTCAAAAAAGTCATATATTTTGAACATAACTTATGTAAGTACTAGGCAAGGATTGCAAAGCTAACATAAATGGGATAAAACATAACTCAACTGACTTTAAAGTGAAAAGCTGTATTATCAATGTTTTTATTGTGCTCTAAGTACAAATTTGAATCTAATAGCGTCAACTATCCAAGTAATGTAACCAAATTTTCAAACCATGTACACATCAATAAGTTTAACACATTTGTGATTGTTTATAACCTGATTCAACAAAGTATAAAATTTCACATAAAAGTGTATCAGTCAATGTTTTTAATAGTGAATGTTACATAAAACAAAATCTCATTATAACAAAATCTACTCATGAAAATGTTAAATACAATGTGATTTAGCATATGACAAAATTTCAACATAATAAAAATGACAATGTTTTCAAACATTTGTTGTTCAAGCTACCCACATGTATGCAATTCGTACCTATTTTTGATTTTAAATTATTTTTGTATTTAGGAAGCTGGTTTGTTGATTGGAAAGGTATGTACGTTAAATTACTTTTAGGAAAGTAAGATAACATTAAGTGGGTTGCCTGCTAACAATTTTTGTGAATTTTCTTAGGGTGGTGAAACCATTAAGAATCTTAGGAAATCTGTGAGTTTGAGATATTTAATTTTTTTATATTAGATATTCAAGGAATGAATTTTTTTAAGAATTTGGGGCTTTTGTTGCAAGTCATATCCAGACTCTTGTGTGCCCAGTCCTATCTAGACTCTTTAGTGACAATTATGTTGCTTGCATGCACAACTGTAGAAAGAGTAAAGCTGGCTATTACAATATAGGTAGAAGAAGTCTTTATTTTGTATAAATGAAAGCATTGATTCTTGCTTAAATTGTTTTAAATTTGCATTCAAGTTAGTTTTGATGACATAGTGAACAAGATTACATAAAATTACAAAAATTTTGTTTTGATTAGATACTTTCACTATACACTGCTCCTTGCGACTCGTATTTCCTTGAATACATGAAGTTTTATGTGACATTTAATTTTTTATGTGTTTAACAGAGTGATGCAATCATTAATATAAGTGATAATACTTCAAGAGAAAGGTTTGTTGCAAATGTCAGGAGTCATTCAACATTATTTTTGTTTTTGACAAAGATTTCTCTTTGTTTTATGTTTGTAGACTGGTTTCTTTAACTGGTCCTGTCAACAGTGTTATTCATGCTTTCAAATTGATTATTGAGCGGTTTGAAGAGGTAATTTTTGTTTTCAATGGTACAAAGTAATTTCATTTCATTGCCTTCACTGATGCTCCTTGCAGTTAAATCAGTTTGAACTTGATGTAGGTTGTTCGTTTTGTTTTAACAAAAAGCTGTTTTCTTTATAGAGAACTGGATAGGGTTTCAGTCTAGTTCCCATGACCACCACCCTTGAAAACATAACAACCTTGTGCTTTACCCATCAGTGTATCCTAATGTCCCTGATGTTCAGTCACTCAAACCTTTTTCCCTACAAGATTTTGGAATCGTTAAAATATGGAACTTGGTTATCCATTAATCCAACATGTTTGATGAATTCCATTTACTCCCTCCCTTTTACCTTTTGAATTGACCCGACAACGTTTGTAGATATTCCCATTATTTTTCTGTAACTAACCTTCAGTAAATTTTCCTTGCTCTCTGGAAGTAGTCGCCATCTACACATTTTGACTCCTTTTCTTTTCTCATTAACCAACAACTCGTCTTTTTTGATTATCCTAGTCCATTTTGCTGCCAAAAATCCTTAACTTGATCTCACGTTAGAACTTTCCTCAACTTGCGTTCCCAAAAATTAACTGTCCTTTGTTCGTCAAGCCTCCCCTACCACCACCCACCCACTCCCACACACACACACATCGGTCCCTTAATCATACTGGAAATCCTCAAATTAACCTTTCATTTATTTGGCATTTAATCTACAATCATAATGTTTTACCCTTGGCTGTCATTCCTTTTTACCTCTCCCTTTCCTTCATCTACGTAAGATTACGTAGACTTGAGTTTGGTTCCCGTCTGCTGCGTCATTGTTGCATTATCAACTTTGCGAGTGGTATTGAACATATACGTACTAAGGGCTTTGACTTACGTCAAACATCAACAGTACATACGTAACTCGCTCAATAACCACGTAGATAACCACTTCCTAAATTCCTCATGCAGCATAGTTAATATATTCCGTTTGTCTTTACGTAAGTACATAACTGTTACGTTTTATGCTAAATTTAACTTTAACTTACGATTTTTTATCTTTGTCCATGTACATTCAACAATTGTTTTACATTTTCCCCACAATGTTTAGGACTACTACAGCAGATCATCCCCTGAAGATATGGTTTTTCAACTGCTGGTCCCATCCGCGCAGTGTGGCTCTCTGATTGGTAGAAGTGGGTCAACGATTAAATATATTCGAGAGGTACGTACCATTAAATTATATGTACTTTTGATAATCAAAAACCATTATTATATTTGCATATGCATGTACAGAATCAGTGACTCTTTAACATAAATTAATGTGAACCAAATTGAGTGCAATTCATCGCAAAATCACCGCATTTCTCCTCTGTCTTGAATGTTTTAAAAAGCATACGCCACAGGATATTCTGTGAGGGTTGGGGGTAACCATGGTTAAGTCAGAATTATGCTCTGAGATATTTATAAAACTGTTCAATATTTTTTTAGAAATCTGGAGCTCACATCATGGTATGATGAATTTTAGTTTGTTGAAGTTAAATGATTTACGTCTTTCACTCTGCTTGCGTACGCGTTGCTAACTGGTAACGCAATTGAAGTCTAGCTAGACCTTTTATTTTTACCATTTCTACTGTATAGTATACTGGTCAGTGGTCTAGACTTGTTAAAAGGTTTAACTTGATTTAAATTTTGATAGCTTTATGATATTTATGTCGAATTTTATTTTACAAGAGTGCTTCAGAGCTTAGATTACATTCGCCTACACTGTATTGAACCTCTTTGTTCAATTTTTTATTAAATTAACTACTTAAAAAAACGCAAATTCACTAAATTTTGTTTTCATGGAACTAAGCAACGATGTCTTGTTAATACTACTAATTCACTCACTATATGTGTATAAAACATGTGGGTGATTAAAGGTAAAACATGTACACACCAATAGAACATGTGGGTGATTAAAGGTAAAACATGTACACACCAATAGAACATGTGGGTGATTAAAGGTAAAACATGTACACACCAATAGAACATGTGGGTGATTAAAGGTAAAACATGTACACACCATACGAAGCCACTAAGTCTATATTTTCGAACTTATTATTATTGACTTTTTGCTCTATGCGTAGATCGATTCTGATCCGATGCCACAATCCTCTGAAAGGATGGTTCATATATCAGGTGAACTACGTAATTGTATAAAACTTTTTGTTTTTGGTTTTTTTACTCACGAAGCTTTTACCTACGTATAGGTACCAGGCCTTTGTTTGTCTGAGAACGAATGCATTACCAATATCAAGTGACATTTTCAACTTCTTCTGTAACCTATCTGTGAATGAGATTTTCAACTGAGGAAATATTGCTTGTTGTAACTCATTTGTATTCTTTCTTATTTCAGGCAGTGCCAGCAGTGTAATTGGTTGCATGAAATCAATTTGTGACACCATGGTTCAGGTAAATTTAACATTTGTAATGTGTACGTAAAACATTACAAAAGATATTTGAATGTTGTCAATCGATTGCTGCATTGTAGAGAACTTTTATATTGCAGCATAAATCAATTTATGTGTTAATTTAGAACCCTGTTTCTTGCCATATTGACCCATATTATCCCGAGAACTCTCCAATGAACAAAAAATCGAACAGACCCGTGAGGAATCATCGATATGACCGAGATTCTTACGAGGTAAATCACTGGTTTATAAATATGTCATTTTTTTATTTTTTATTTATACGTGCATGTAGAATGATATTTTTGATTTTCTGCAAGTTGATTTGTTGCAACTGCGGGCGGCTTTTTACGATATCTTGACCGTACTCAAAAGTGTTATTCTTTTGATATCTTGACCGTGTTCAAAACGTATATACTGCATTAAATTTGTTTACAAGTAAAATTAAATTTGTAAGTGAAGTTTGTAGAAAACAATCCAATTCAGTCTGAACAAGACACTAATCGACAATTTTACAACGTGAATATTGCTTCAATATAAAAATAAAATTATAGAAACTTTAGGTCGCGCGCTTCGTACTTAAAAAATATTCTCCTCTGCCTCAGAAGCGTCCCTTTCCTCGTGAAAATATTTTTTCAGTATGGACCTACCATCCGCTAGATAAGATATATTTATTATTTACGTAGCGTCGCGATCAAGGTCGACCTTTATTGAGAAGTCCCCTCCCAAGTAAGTTTCCATTTTATCACTTACCTTGCCCCATGATTCTACTTCAAACGGCCTTTTTCATATGCAGGAAGACGCAAGAGAAGTGATGACTTTTTAGATGAGTTTATGACTGAGACTATGTCAATACCAAGCCAAGTAAGCACGCGGAGTTTGTTTCTTGTGCATGTGTATTACATTAGTTGAATGAAAATTTCCGCCAACTTACGATAAATTGTTGTTTATTAGTTTGCAGGAAGTTTGATTGGTAGACGTGGCGCTAAAATCAACGAGATAAGGTATTGTTACATAACTTTAAAATTCTAGCCGCTTTTGCATTAGCAAAATTAACCTCATGTTTTAAGGTATAGGTACGTATTTTTAATGTATAACTGAGCTGCTACGTATTTTTTGCTTTGTTGCTCGATTTCTTGTAATAACCGCCATATTAATTGTTCATTCTGCATGGTAGTGTAGGTTAATAAGTACAGCAATTGTGGCCGATTATGATGCGTATTTTCTGCTTGTGCTAGAATGTAGTAAATCTAACCGTATAACCATCTGACAGCTTCTCTTTTTCTGGCTTACTGCAGGACGAAATCTGAAGCTAGCATAAAAATTGCGGATGCAAGAGAAGGTTCAAGTGAACGAATTGTAACGATAAGTGGAAATCCCGAGGCTGTTGGCATGGCTCAATTCCTTATAAAGTCAAGGTTTGTTTCCTAGTGAAGCATCACCCAAAGGGGCTGTAAAATTTTGTTGCGTACACGATCCTTTTCGTATCGATAATTTATTCGGCGTGATCGTTGGCCGTGAGAGAATTAGTTCGCTTTGGATGTTTTTAATATTGTAATCTTAAACAATATGATAAATTAATAACTTTCTTTTATACACTATCGTCAATCTTTCGTATCTTACAGTTCGTAGTTGTCTGCTATCTAATGAAACTTCCGACACATTTGCCTGTGTGTCTTTCCTTTTTATCTATTCCTATACGTATATCACGTGCAATATTCATGCATAATTATTAAATGTTCTATTGTGTCTAACAATTGAATAACTTTTTGTCCCGGAATATGCACTTTCGTCATAAGTCTCTCAGTGAAACAGCATTTAAAGCGGGGTGGTTTAGACAGAAAACTTTTTATATTAATACTTTTTTTGTACTACAGGGTGAAATTTGAAGAAAAGAAAGCTAAAAACGAAAATGCTCTATCGTGATCTTGTAAAAGGATTCAACTCGTTTTACTCCGTCAATATACGTGCACAAGAATACTGTCTTATTTAAACGTTCGTGTTTTCTCATTAAAACTGAGGCAATGGTTGTCACTGTTTGCTGCTAATATATTGTAATATTACATAATCTCTCTATATCACTATGGCTACTTTATAAATTTATAAATTCAGCTTCGGAGGCTTGTTTTATTTATATCTTTTACAGAAAATGGTTGATAAACTCGAATTTTTCATTTCTCTCTCCATGCACGTAATTTAATAAACAAATGTCATTGGTGAGTTAAAATGTAATACATTTATTTTAGCGAAACAGTCAACAAAAAATTGCTGTTTGTTAAGTACGAAACACCATTACCAAAACTGAAGTGTTCATACTTATATTTCTCCTGAGCGTTTTTTTATTTTGATTGTCAAACTGAGATAAAAGTACTGTTAATTAATTGAGTTATGCAACAAAACTCATTTTATAAACACGTTTTAGCCCTTATTCCATGGTTTAAGTGCTCTTTCTCTCAAATACACTGATTGGGACGATTTTAAATGTATGAATTGAGTTAATAATTTGTAAATCTATTTTGGCAGTTTCACAGTATATAGTGAATAAAAATTTAGTGTAAAAATAATACTCCAATGAAAGTTTTGTGTTACCATATCTTATTACGTACGTAATTAACATAATATTTGCCTTTCAATTTCATTTTCTCACCAATAGGTACACTGAGATGGTACCCGTAGGTAATATTCTAATTAAATATGCACGACTATGTTGTGCTGCAAAGTGGACCTATTGTTTGTTCCTTATACTGGAAAAATATTGAGAATATAAATTTGCCTTCTACATGGAATTCATTAATTGTTAGCAAGGAAGCGCTAGGAACGAAGAAAAGAATCTCCAATTTTTATAAGTACATTTACCTGTTTTAAAATTGTAATCACACAGATTACCATAAGATAAACAGCACGTCATTTGAACATGATATTTTTATTGTATCACTTCAATATATACATATATATATAAGTTTGAAAATTTGTAATCCAGGCGTTTAATACATAAAAGATAAAAGTTTCTCCGGATTTTAAGTGATTTTTTAAAAAATCACTCAAAATCCGGAGAAACTTTTATCTTTTATGTATATATATATATATATATGTCATCGACGGGTGTAAAGCGTGATCTCTGAATTAAAAAGATAATTATGAATTCACGGTCTGTATCCAGATACAGCTCAGCAACATTGGTCTGTATCTGATTGTTTAGCATTATTCAGCTCTACGTTTCGTCTGGTTACAGCTCATGCATGGAGTATTGCAAATACATCAACATCCAGCAAGCGTCCATTTTTAGACACCACTAAATACGTGGATAACTTTATACTCATTTAATTTATAATTTTAGCCAATAACGCCAGTGACCACCTGCCCTAATGTGGACGATTGCTTCCAATTTTAGAAACGTTTTGAACGAAAAAGATGAATGGTTTGAACCCGAGAGTATCAGTGCAATTGACCATGTAGTTTTTTTATGATCGGTTTTCTCATTTATTTGTGACCACTGACATGAAATGCATTCATTCCAGTTTGCTAGCTAAGAGACTTTTCAATTTTTGCAATTTTGAGAAAATGACTACAAAATTTCCAGACAAGGTATGATGAAATCATCTTCACATGCTTGTTTTAGGTATTATCATTACTAAACAATTTTCACAAACTTATATTTTAGTAGCTAATAAAAGGACTAATGCGAGAATATGAGTAATTCACAGGAATCAGAACTACTTTTAAAGTTAACAAAAGAATCATAACATCTGAAAACTAAAATGCTGCTCAAATTATTTTGAGAACACATAAGAAAGACTTGACATATCAATTCATTGTTGCTATATGATATATAAATAGCTCATAGTTTAAATTACGTAAAGTTTAAAGGTGTATGATGAGACTAAAGTCATTTGCATCTTGACAGTGCATTTGATTAATGCAAAAAGTTCACCCCAAATATGGCTTGAAATGCGTCGAAAAATTTCTTCATCTGTTGAAAATCTTTGCACTGGAAGATGTACATGCGCCCTTTCTTACCAAGCAAACATACCAAGAGGTCTACATATTCTTGGTTACTATGATGTTTGATGATAACATCCACGTGTTTGCCAGGAAGAATGTTTGATAGCTCTACAAGAATACACATTCGATTAGGAATCTTTAAATTAAGAAAAAATTAAGGAAAACAAGAATCATACCAGCCAAAATTTAGATCGACTACTAAAAAAGTGCGTCATGGATTTGAAGGGTTTTATTTTCAACCGAACCGAATGTTGTAACCTGATAGTTACCAATTGTTACAAGTGTTATGTCTCAAATACAGTGCTGGAATTGTAAGGGTTGGCCAAAGAGATTTTTGGGTATTGTTTATTATATGTTCAACTTTCAAACATAACTATTCAGAAACTTTACTTAAACTGTTCGGATCGACAGCAGTTTTCTCATTCCGAATTCAAAACCGAATTCAATAAATAAAACATGTACAGTAATTTTGTGTTTTACCATTAAGCCAAATTTTTGTCGTTCGCTGTCTTTTTAAAAAGACGTATTCAAAGTTCAATGTCGTTTCTTCATTGTTAAGGTGCAAAACTCCTTTCACTGGTTTTGATGTAACTAAACAATAAAGAGAGAGAACTTAGATTATTAAAAGCTTTAAAAAAAGTACAATTACCATTTCTGATGAATCAAATGTCAGGCCTAATCCTAATGTGCTTTTTATAATTAATACTAGTTTTGTTCACATAATTCCAACATCTGTTTGGATCAAACTCAGACCAAAGTTTTAGAACTATTTTACCAGAATTGTATTTTGAATCTCAAAAGATCATTTTACTCTCTGAGAGAAATTTTTACAGCTTTAAATTCAGTTGCCTGTATTTTAGTTGAAGTTAAATACTTATACATCAAATCAAACCAATAACCTAACCAAGTAATAAGCAAACCCAATAAACGTTAATATTTTTAAATTTGCTACAAGTTTGCCAGCAAAGTTAGATGAAAATATAGGTGAACGTATAATATTTGAGTGGCATGCAGTAAATACACAACAATGGCATTTAATTTTATTATAATGCTTAAAAATAGCCTCGTGCAACATTTGCTACCACTTCGAAATAGATTGTAAATAAATTTCGACCGAACTCAACCAATCAAATCATTATTGTTGAGGTGATTGAATCAATAATGATTTATACAATAGTTAGTTTTCTAAAAGTACTTTGCAGTTTGCACTATTGTAATGTTTAACGATTTCATCACAGCATTGAATAGTGAGCACAAAATGCCCGAGATACAGTGATGTGTCTTAATACAAAGGATGTTATAAGGTGCCCCATATAGATAGTGTGATTAGATTGCATAGGTTTTCTCAGTTACTGTGATACATGTACTATTAAAGGGTTTGTTATTAAAATGAATTGAGTGCCCCAGCTATAGTGATATTTATCATCTCATGTATCATACCTGATGTCCTAAGTTTGAAGACTGTAAGCCCCCTTTTCAATAATTCTATTAAACGTTCTTGAAGCTTGGATCTCGTTGGATGAAGACTTAAGATTTTAAGTGAGGACTGATACTGCATTGCAGCTGTTGTCATCATTATTGTGCCGCAGATCTGGCCACGATTTTCATCGAGCAATTCATAATGCGTTCCAGGAACGTAAAGAATATCCATTTCTTTCACCAACTCCTCCCAAATCTTCATTCCACAAACGAAGTCCGTAACGGTCTGATCACAACTAATGTAGGTTATTTTCTCGTTATAAAATACCTTTAAAGCAAAAAAATTCCAATGTCTGTCAGCAAATTTAGTCGTGGTGTTTTGCTCTTTTAAACTACAGTTATAGATGTACGGGATAGGGGGGGCAGCTTTTCCTCCCCAAGAAAGTTTGAAAATTGAAAAGTTGGGAAAATTTTAAACGCTAGTCGGGCAAAAATATGGTGGAACCTTCATAGTGCGTTAGGGAAAATATTTACTGCCCTCCCACCAAGAAATAATAGCTCCCGTACGCCTATGACTACAGTAAACGCAGGTGAATATAATTCTTTTTCATTTGAAAATATCATTTTTAACTTATAATACTATGACATTTAAGGTTAATGCATGAGGACACTTTCCACCAAACCTTCGCGGGTTGCCATTCAAGATGAGCATCTTTAGCTGATCTCAGTTCATAAAGAACAGTGTCGACATTTTTTCTTAGGAAAAACTCTACATTTCGTTCAGCAGCCATATCTTCTAATGCACCAATGATGGCATGGTAATCTTCGAAGCTCTCGTAAAGATCATGAACTTGATTTTTTGTTACACCCAGAGACGTATAAGCAAAACCCTCAATCAATTGTCGAACCTAAAATATGCGTTTTTAATAAATATGCAAGATGAAGAAAATGACTTATCATTATTTAATCATTTTTTTGTAAATATACTTTACTCAAAATTTTTTAAATATTATCTACTTATAATAAAAAGTAAGTACAGCATTATAAATGTTGCTCAAAAGCAATTTCTGAAAATTGCCGAGAAAAGATAACGAAGACTTTGTCCTGAAGCAATTTAAATATTATAAAGCGTATTGATAAGCAATTATGTGCAATAAGCGATATGCAAAACATAAGTAATAATATACTTTGAGATACTTCTCAATTGTTATTAGTCATGATTGCACTGAGTATAGTATTTATAATTTCACTATGAAAATGTGCAATTGCATTGTGAAAATGAGTATTTGGACGGTAAAAAATCTATAATTGCACTATAAGAATGTGTAGTTGCACTGTAAAAATGTATAATTGCACTGTAAATACTGTAACATGATTGGCTAAAAAGCAGTAAAAGAAAGATTTCGTGTAAAGTTCAAAAATTACAAAAGAATACCAAGAATAAAAACAAAACAGAATTACAGAGAGTAATCCGATATATATTTGTATGTTCTTTCAGCAGTATCAATGTCAATGAGATGACGGATTTTCTGCAACAAGTTCACTCGTCCCCTTGCTGCTTTTCTATAAACTTTATTAAAATATCCGGAATAGGTTAAAATAGGTTCAAGATCAACCCCAGCTATTTATAACTTGTTGTCATATTGATTTGCGTTTCGTTTATATAAACGGTGAGCTTTTAACCTTGTAGATTTATTCTTTTCGCAGTCCCAAAGAACATACTTCTGTCACATGACTTGAAATAAATGCAATGTTGCCCACCAGCAAAACAATTAAAAAATTGTCGCCAGCTAATTTTAATATCGTAACAAATAAAACAGGTATGCAGTCATAACAAAAAAAAACATTTCTTGAGCTTTTTATGCACCGAAATTCAACTATTAATAGAAAAAAATATCAGAGAACATTTGGAAGTCGACCAGAAATGCTGTTGTCACCCTAAGCATTTTGTTAGTAAATTTTGCCGGTCAAATCCACCCTGAAAGACGTTGATTTTATTGAAAATGTTTCGAAGTATATGACCTTTGTTTCTATAATGTTCCTCTACTTCATTTCGGGAAACAAATTGAACCTCTTGGAAAACAAAACTCACTGTTTCCCTCTGGAGCATACATTAAGTGTATATTATTTATCTTGTGTCTAAAGACGCTCAAAAACAATGTACATTGACACTGCACAATGGCGTTCAAAATATAACATAATATTTACCACAATTTCCATTGCATTTTTTAAGTTGCCTTCGGCTTGATTATAAAAGAAATCTTTTGCGTACAGTAGAGAATTAGGAAACCAGGCGTACGTATCGACCATCAAAAGCATTAAAACGGTCTCATTGTTTCTTTTCAACTGACTTGCCATTTCGTAAGCAACCGTTCCACCAAATGAGTATCCCGCTTAAAAAACAATAGAAATTTTTGTCAATAATAGATTTAAAAAATCTATGTCGTTCCATTGTTGGATGTGGTAATAAAAATGGCAATTTCTTCATCTTGTGAAAAATCTTACCCAAATAGTACGGTCCCAGGCGTTGAATACTTTTTATTAATCTAATGTAAGATTTTGCTAAATCTTTTACATTGCCATAGTCTGATGTCTCAAATAAATTTTCATCCATTCCAATACCATAAAGTGAAACGTAAGACTATATAATGTAATAAAAACACAGAATGTAACATATAAAAGATGATTATATGCGGAACCAATGTCGCTTTAGTGACAGTAACGTTATCTATCTACCAGCAAGGTTGGACATGCTAACTGCTAAGAAATTTTTGGTCAATATTTTTTTACTGCAAATATGTTGTTTTTAAAGTGAGTAAATACCACAATATTTACATGTTTTGTATGATTCATTTGCTACCTGATCTTCAAAGCCAAGAGCAAATGAAGCCAATGATAAAGCAGATTTATGACTACCATGAATCATAAATACGTTTACAACAACTTCATCTGGAGAGTAAAGTGCAATCACTTTCTCTTTGCTAATTTGCGAGATTTCGACTTCAGCAATTTCTACACTATTCTCGATATCATTGACTGCTCTATCCGAGTGATCTTTGTTTTCTGTTTGTCTTTTCATTGCTATCAACACATCGATTTGCGCCATAATGTCATTGATAATTGTTAAACCACTTGTTTTGGGTTGAACGAAATAATAGGACTGTAAATAACAAAAAGATTAGTTACGTGAAATTGATATTCAAATGAAAGCATATTTTTAAAACTGATTTTTCGAATCATAAATTGTGTAATTTCCCTAATTCTTTGCCAAGCTAGCAAATGTTACAATTTAGGTAAAAATGACCCACCTCGAAGATAGCTCCAATGTGATTTTGAATTCGGATTTTCATATTAGTGGCTGCCATTGAGTCGATGCCATATTTGTGAAGGCTAATGTTCATATCATAGTCGGCTTCATCAACTCCAGACCACATTCCCAACAACGTTTGAACAATATTTGTTACAATTTTTATTCGTGATTCTAATGGTTGTAGTGATAGGTCTTCAAGTGTCCATATTTCATGTTGTCTTGCGGTAACGCTTTCTGTTTCTCTGATAATTTGTAGTCGTGAGGAATAGTGATTTTGTAGATAAGTTTCCCAGTTTACTGGACATACACAAACAGAAGCAATTGTTCCCTCTCCAAAGAGAAGACGCTCTAAGTATTTGATGGCTATAGAGAATTCATAAGCAAAAATGTAAAGATTTAATGGTTATTTTATTGTTAGGTTAGTTTGTATAATAATGATCGGGAGAGAATTGCCTTTTAAAATCAGTAAAAATGCGGCATTCACATATTTTACTTTTACATGCTTTTTAAGATCTCGATGCCATTTTTTAAAACCTGTGGAAGATGAACTTATAAGATGAGTTAGAATTTCTTTCTCTTTGAAACTTTGAACCTTTGAGCATTTTAATATTTTTGTTATATTGCAATAAATTAATGCAGCTACAAATAACAAACCAGTGAAAATTGTTATTGATCCCACTCTAATTTTTTAAAATGTTTATTCTAATTATTCATTTATGAAGGTTCATACAAAATGCATTGACAATAGATAATAATAGCATACTAATTGTTACAACTAACTTGGCTTGTCAGCAATATACACTTAATTGATGAGTGCACAAACGTTTCGTATTAACTCAATTAAACTTTCTTTTTCGAAGTATTACTTGTATAGAAGCTGCAAATTAATCATTTCATGTATTGTAAGTATGAAAATTGAAGAATTAATCCTGACATTTTTGACAAGCGGATTACATAAAGTTTTTGATTTTGGGATTATTTAAATAGACCATCGGTCAAGTGATGTTATATACCTGCTTTATAATGAATAGAGGTAAGTCCATATGACTCAAGTACCGGCAAAACATTCACTTTTCTACTAAGAACGCCAGCACCAGCAATTGGACCCCATGCAATCGACAAAGCCGGCAGATCCAATTTTTGCTGACGATATTCACAAATTTCGTCCAAAAACGTGTTTGCTGCAGCATATGCTATCTGACCAGCATTTCCAAGAGCTCCAGAGACTGAAGAGAACATGATGAAGAAGTCAAGGTCCATTGAAAGACTAAACTCGTGAAGGATCACACTGCCTGCAAGGAAAACATAAATTAGTATCAATATTGAACAACTCTGATATAAAATTATTATATTTATCTCCATTTTATGCATCTGTTTAAAACAAAACACCAGTTTTGCAAATGATCTTCGACAAAGATGAATGATCAGTTTAAATCTCTTACTAAATTTGCTATGTCGAAGCAATTTTAGTGAGTCCCAAAGGACATTAGTATTACATAGGAAAAGGTTTCCTGCAAAAGTGCTTTATTACAATACAGCTTATGGTCAGAATTCACATTCATTAAACTTATACCTTTAACTTTTGTCTCGACCACTTTTTTGCATGTTTCTAAGTCAGCATCACAAAGAAGTTGATCAGCTAGAACCATCGCAGAGAAGATAATTCCAGCTAAGGGAGGCATATCTTCCATTTCTTTTGCAAGACGTTTCATCTGCTCTATCGATGTGACATCTGTTTGTCGAACAATAATATTCGAAGATGTCTCCTTCTGTAAACTCTGAAGTTCAGCAAGTTTTTCTTGATTGGGAGGAGAGCGGGCGGTGCAGATGACTGTTTTTGCTCCATTGAAAACCATCCATTTGGCAACTTCAAATCCAAATCCACGAACTCCTCCAACCACAAGATAAGAACGATCATGCTTGAAGCCGTTTTCATCCAATGCTTGATTGTAAAAATTAAATTTTTCTGGATGAATGTCAGGTTGCATTGAGATTGTATACAGGCCTTCTTTATTTCTTTCATTAGAACTGAGAACTCCATCACTGGAGTCACTGATCAAGTTAAAGATACTTTCATCAAAATATGGTATATTTAACATCTGTTGCAAACCTTGACAAGTTTCTAAAGCGGTAAAGCAGCTATCAAGGATCTGTGAAAAGAGCTGAGAATTTTTAATAGAATATTTCAGACTGCTCGTTATGACATTCATATCTCTGCTATAAATTGCCAAATTCATCTTTTCCTCTTCATTTTCACTCACAAGAACCACGCTACCTCCAGGTTTCAGGTGCTCCACAAATTTGCCAGTCACAAAACTATCTAAGTTGCTAGGAATGCACAGAGCATCAAATGCAATTGTTCCAAAGTCGTCTCTTAAAATTTCGATGTCAGTGAGAACTGTTAAATCTTTATTGCTTTTCATTATCTTTGTATTTGCAACATTGTTAACATAGCATACAGGCCGAACACCAATGGAAATTGCCACACATGCAATGATGTAAGAAATATTTTGATTTTGATGATATATCAGAACAGTCTCTTCTTTTGACAGTGTCAAAATATTTTTAAGAAGGTAGTATGCCCAAGCCAGAGGTAAACTGAGTAAAGTTGCTTGTTGAATGTTTAAACAAGGTTTGATATCTGCGAAACAGCATTTTTCAGCGTCAATGAAAGTTGCAAGGTCACCAACTTTGCAAAAACCAGTTACAAGACGGCATTCCATTTTTTCTGAAAGTAATTTTCCAGAAAAACTCAGATAATCAGATAGTTTTGCTTTTTTCCAAGGCTTTTGAAGAGCAGTAGCGACATGGTATACTTCAATGGTTTGTTTTATTTCTTCATTTTTTTGTGTCACTGTCATTTCTTTTAGAAAAAATCTCGCTGAATGCAACACTATTTGAAATGGTTGCCTTTTTCCATTCTTTATAAGAGGAGACGATTTCGTCGTTGAGTGTCCATTACCCCATTCATCCATTTTTTTAACTCGGTTAACATAGCGTTCGCCATTCCTATATGCAATTTCTTCTTCCAAATGAATATTCGTCACATCTTTTGCCAATTGTTGAAAATCGTCTTTACATGGACTGCATGGTAAATCTATTATATAAGAATTCAAATTTGGATACTCTTCCTGTAAGCTTCTTCGAAAGCCAAGGATTGATGACGCCCATGGAAATGACGTTAATTTGTTGGCATTTGAATTTACGTTATCGGTTGAAAATGTAACTGCCCCTGAAGTAACAAAAATAATTCGAATGTTCTTCATGTAAGCCTCTTTTTTACAAACTACCTTAGAAACTGTGAGACAGCTTTCGAAAGTATGACCATGAATGTCGTCAAAGTTAGATGATTGCAAATCAAAACCTCTTGCATTCACTGGCATAAAATTAAGCACCAGCAACTTTTCTTTATCTGTTTTGAGTTTTTCAAGGGTTGCATCTATGATATCGGAAAATGTATCCAGTTTTTCGACAATTTTCACGTTGTCTTCTTCTGGGATATTTTGGACAAATTGCTCACTAAACTTAGTTTGATCCTTTATGATGAGCCAAACGTTATGATAACTGTAGTCAGCTGGTGTAGAAACCAATTTTTCCCACTGTAATCTCAGTAGGGAATTTTCAAAAGTTGGCTCCGCAGCTGTTGATCTAATTTCAGCAAAAACCATTTTTCCGATAACTAAAATGGGTCTTCCAATACTATCTATCAGAATGATCTTGCAATCTAAATTCTCCTTATATTCAACGATTGTAGTGAGAGCATATAGATGCTTAAAGTACTGAGGTCTACGAAGCACAGTAAGTTGATTGATTTTCTTTGGGACCATTTTTCCTTTTAGTGTATTGAAAAGAAGAACCGTTTGAAAACAGGCATCAATTATTGTGGGGTGAATGAAATGAGCTGGACATTCTTCTATGATTTCATCCGTAGGGCAAATAAGAGCAAGGACTTGTGTATCCTTTAACCATGCATCTTTGATTAAGTCAAACTTCGGTCCAAAGCGAAAACCTTTCTTATCACGTTCAATTTGAAAGTTTTTTTGACTCCATCTTGTCGCTCCCAATTTGAAATTTTCAATTTCACGATTATTGTCTCCTTGAATATTATCTGCAACATGATATTAACGTGTTAATGATTAAACATATATAGCCCACACAAACTTTCTGTTAGCAATATAAAGATCATTTAAAATGATCTAATAACTCTTTTAGATAGATAGATCAATTTCTAAATGAAAACTGAGCTATCTCAACTTAAAGTTCTCAACAAAAGCTTTCACATGAGCTAAAGATCGTCGCCGTACCTAAAATACTTTAGGAGATAGTACTGAGCATGCGCAGATACAGTCTGTAAATGAGTTACATCAGATGAAAAAATATATTACCTTCTTCTTTGAAATTGCAGTTAGCATTCATTGTTAGCGATCCAGTGGAAAGAACAACCTCGCTATCTTTCTCGTAAACATTTGTGATTTGAAATTGGTGGCTTCCTCCTTCATAAGGCAAAAGACGAGTGCGTAATAAAAGAGAATCATTGTTGGATAATGTGAGCAGATTGTCAAAGCTCAAACTCTCAACATGTGGTGCTAAACCTGGCAATAAATGAATTGACATGGCAAAGATCATCTCAACAAACACTGCACCAGGTACGATAGGAATATCTTGGTCTACAAACTTGTGGTCTTCAATATAATCTACGTCATGTAAGGTGATTTCAGATTCCCATGCTTTTAAACCAGTAAATGCCAAAGTTGGCACAATCTTTCCAAGTAGAGGATGGACGGATGTCTCCGTGATATATGATTGACTTTTTTTTTGATTTTCTGTCTGGAGGAAAGTAACACAATCAATACGAGGCTCTTCGCGGAACCAAAATTCAGTCTCTTGCCATGGATATGTTGGTCGCCGGAAAAACGTTTTAGACCCAGAGCCTTGTATGTTATGCCATGAAAGAGAAACGCCGTTTACAAAAAGCTGACAAACACAATTTTGGAGAAAAGACAAGTGCTGTTTTTTTACCGAACGTTTTGGAATAGTTTGAATCACAGCAAAATTGTTTGTTCTGTTAGACTGTGATTTTTGATAATTTGACCATGTTTGTCGAACATGATAAGAAATCTGTGG